GTTATATAGAGTTATATAGAGTTATATAGAGTTATATAAAGTTATATAGAGCATAAATCCTATATAGATATCTTTTTTTGAGGTCCTTTTCTTTACGACCGGTCGGCTTATTTGCGTTTCTCTATTTTCATTTCAATTATATAAATAAAATTTTTCCATTCATTTAGGTTCTTTCAGGTTCATTCATTCAGGTTTAAGCTTCCAGAGGAGTTCATCGTGGAAGACCAGAATGGTTGTGATGTCACGCTACGTTCGTTCATTCAGTTGCAAAGAATGCACGCCTGGCTGGGCTTCGTTTTACGATTTCTTTGCGGTTCCTTAGTTGCCAGTTGGCTGGCTTTTCCGGCTGGCGAGTTTCACCGCGGCGAGTTTCTTTATTTTCATTTAAATAAATTAAATAAATAATAAATTTTTTCATTTTATACACTTCATTCAGGCTGAAGCTTCCAGAGGAGTTCATTATGGAATGTGTCAAGCTACGTTCATTCATTCAGTGGCAAAGAATACACGCCTGGCTGGGATACGTTTTATTCTTTTTTCTCTGTTTTTCTCTGTAATTTAACATTAAGTAAGAATGATCACTTGCACACACACACACACAATTACATTACGTAGCTATATAGGTAGGTTAGAATAGCGTAATTTTAATTGTAGGTAGGATAGATAGGAAGCATCCAACACTAATGTAGTAGAATAGGTAGGCGCGTAAGTTTATCGCTTCTATTTTTTCTTGCACCCACATTACACGCATCAGCGTATTACACACACTAATACATACATAAACACATATGTTAGTATTTGAGCGTAATTTTATTTTCATTACACATTCTAATTTATTATTACTAAGGTTGAGAGTAAATTAATTTCATAGGTAGTTAATGGCAATAATGTAATTCTAGGAACAATCTTGTAATGTAAATTAAAACGCTGTAAGTGTATCGATAGGTAGGTTAATTATTAAGTTTTACATTATTATTATTAGGTCGGAGCCCAAGGCATTACGTAGGTGGTGGGGTGGGTGCCAAAAGGGCAATGAATTGGGCTCTTGAGTTTTGTAATTTTAGGTAAGCTAGGGCCGTAATGTAATGAATAGGTAAGTTAAGGCTACGTTGTAACACACACTCATTAATAGATTTAGGGTTTAAGTTTTATATTATTATTATTACTAAGTTGGAGCCCAAGGCATTACGTAGGTGGTGGGGTGGGTGCCGAATGGCCAATGAATTGGGCTCTTGAGTTTTGTAATTTTAGGTAAGTAAGCTAGGGCTTAATTGTAATGAATAAGTAAGTTAAAGGTACCATTAACAATTTTATATAGATAAGTTAAGGTAATTGAATAGGTAGATAGGATTATTTTTATAAAGTAAGCAATTTTAGATGCAGGCACCGCTAAGCTTTTTGATGAGAATCTTCTCTTTATCTTTCTCCATAAACACGGGCTGTGTTTCAACAACAATCTCGAGGAGGACTGGCACCAGTTTTGGAGGACAACGTAGGAACCGGACAGTCAAATGGATGACGGTAAGTTTTTTTTACATTTTACTCTTATTATTATTTAAGAATGTTATTTATTTGACATTATTTTCATTTTATTATTTTTTGGCTTTTAAGATTCTAACATTCATTTAATACTAAGCAGATAAAAAAAATTTGTCCACAGAATGATGAGAGGTGGGCAGTGGTGTGAGTCAGCACGTTTAAAATGGTGGTCTCATGATGGTGGTGTAAGAAGAATCAGTTCGTGGGCTGTTTGACTGACACTCTGAAGTTCGGATGACATCTTGTGTGCCGACAAGATGGTGGAGGTCGGTGCAATGGATTACAGTAACGACGATTTTTGAAGTAAGGTTCAGTTTCGTTTTTTATTTTTCTAATTCGTTCATTCGTTCATTTGCTCATTTTATCATTCAACATTTTAAATTATTCCATTAATTGATATTTTTTAATTTATTCTATTCATTAATTGAATCATTGATTGATTAAGTCATTCATTCACTCATTCATTCAACCAATTATTCAATCATTCAGTTAATCATTAATTCGTTCGTTCGTTCGTTCGTTCGTTCCTTTGTTTCTTGATTTACTACTAGGCTAATAAAAAAATTCTACAGAATGATAAGAGGTGGGCTGAGGTAGGCGTCAACACGTTTCAGATGGTGGTCTCATGATGATCGTTCTGATGACAATTCGAAGAAAACAACAACGATGGTTTATGAAGTATGGTTTAGTTTCTTTTTTTTATATTTTTCTCATTCATTTTACCACTATCTTTCAAATTATTCCTTCGTTAATTGATTCATTCTATTCATTCATTAAATCATTGATTGATTAATTAATTAGTTAATTCATTCATTAAACTAATCGTTCAATCATTCACTTAATTATTTATTCGTTCGTTCTTTTGTTTTTTGATTTACTACTTCGCTAATTTAAAAAATTTGTCTACAGAATGATGAGAGGTGGGCTGTGGTGGGTGTCAGCACGTTTCAGATGGTGGTCTCAATGATCGTTACCATGACAATTCGAAGATAATATTGAAAGGAAATTTGTTTTTGTCCAAGTGTACCTTTGAAAGTACTAGAATTTGATCAAAGGTTTGAGTGTTATCTCAAAAAGATATGTTGCCTACTTTTTTCAATGACTTGTTTTTTATTTTAATGAATTAATTTTTTTTCAATTTAGTGTTGTTTAGTATCCGGTCAAATTCATTCCATCGATGCGTGTCAGATGATGGTCTGTGCAATGGAGGTCGTCGGTAGTGAGTGAAGAAGTTTCTGGAGAGTACACACCCGTACGAGTACACACACACACACACACACACACACATCAATACAACACACACATACACAACATCCATTCATTCGGTGTCGTTGTTGTTATGTTTCTCTTCAAATTTCTATTTTCTTTACCGGACTTAATTTAATTCATAGGTAAGTTAGGGATTGAAATGAGTTGAACAATCGTAAGTAGGCTAGGGCTTAACATTATTAAAAAGTTTCAAGTAAAATAAAATTGTAAAAATATCTAAAATAAAATACCTAAAACGTGTAAAATTCCTAAAACTTAGTAATACAAATAGTAGTAATAAGTAAGTAGGTGAGTTGAGTTAATCGTTATAGGTAAGCTAGGGCCCTGAGAGTAACTTAATTGTAGGTAGGTGACTGGCCACTATTCTTGCGACTTACTAGTTTTGTGTGATGTGTTTGTTTTCGCTTCACAGCACCACACCAACAAAAACAACATTTTATTTCGTCGTCGCCTTAAATTTTACCTTTTTGAACAATCTTTTTAATAATGTATATTATTTATTTATTTATTAAATGTTAACTGTTTTCTATTTTTTTAAATTTGGTTATATAATTTTTAAATATTTCTTGATTTACTTTGTATATATGCATGTATAAATAATTTCTGTTTGGTATGTTGATTTAGTCATTATGATATGCTGTGAACTGTACTTACTAAATGTTATTGTTACGTGAACCATTCTCCGAGAACAACCAAGGAGTGTGTATAACAATACAAATAATGGATAATAATTATTTTTTATCGGTCGATATTTTGTTATTTGTTTGTTTAAAATACGAATTTTTAAAAAAATTGACGTTTTTAAAATTTTAATTAACCGTCACTTTTCATTTTTGAATGAATTCAAATAAAAGCAACTATTGTGTTTTTCTTTCTTAACAAAAATCTCGAAAGTGTTTGTAGATCTGCACTGTTAAGTGTTGGTTCGAGTTTGAACAAGCCTTGCAAATATTTTTTATATTTTTTATATTTTTTTTGTTTTTTTTTGTTTTTCGTTTATTTGGTTCATTCAATTTGGTTCATTAATTGGTCCATTGGTTGGTTGATAGTTGATTGAATGAATGGTTGGTTAATTGATTGGTTGGTTGGATGGTTGGTTAATTGATTGATTGGTTGATTGATTGATCGATCGATCGATTGATTGATTGGTTGGTTGATCTCATAGTATTGTAAACATGAAAAAAAATCCGATTAAGACTAATTATGAGCACGAGCAGAATGTAAAATATTCATTGAATATAATGAAGATAGTTGTTCAAATATGCAAACCCATGCAATTTTGATTTATTTAGGCCGTTTATTTCATAAGCAAACAAATTTTTAACATGATCGAATAGTTTAAAAAAAGGGTGACTATAGTTCAATCCTAGTAAGACAACCTTCGGCGTCAGTAAGCCACCGGATTTCACCGGACCAAAAGCAATTTTTATATTCAAATTAACAAAAATAATTTAGAAATACATAATTCTATTGAATAAAATTAAATAAAAAACTGCTATTAAGTCAAGTAAATATTTTATATAGCTTGCTTGTTAAAACCCATGCAATTTTGTAAGTCAACAATCCAAGCATGTCAAATAGCCCGACCGATTGATCGAATTGATCGATTAGTCCAAGGGTAGGCCTATTTACCAATATACAACACTTTCTTATGGGTTGAAGAAGGGATCATGGATATAAATATATATCCATGGAAAGGATATGCAAAGAACCTCAATCTTTATAACTTTTAATTATTTTCGGTAATGTCAATTTTATTTTTTTTAATTTATACCAAATAAAAAAAATTAATTATCACATTGAATAACAATTAAAAAACATAAAATTTTAACATTTTAAATAGAAGCAATATTCTGAAATTAGTAAATATATGATCGTAACTTTTGATTTGAACGATAAAAAATCACCCTCCGAATCTTCTCCGGAAGTAAGCTCATTGTTCGACCGTTAAAAGTGAGCGAAGGCCGTTATATTTATTCTAGTTATGTGTTCCTACCTAGCAACGATTTGTTTTAGGCCATCCAATCACGAGTCCTATAACGTTGAACAGTGAAATTTGTATCATATGTTTATTTGTTAGTTGAGTGTGATTTGTTCATCTTTTTTTTATCAAGCCATTTATTAATTAAATGCATTTTAGGCCTAAGCATCTGCAGAGTGACAAAGTTTATGTTTGTTTTGTTGAGTTTAAATAAATTTCCCTATTAATAAAAAATGTTTTAACATTTATTATCAAATGAATCAAAGGTGAATTAATTACTATTTACAGTTTACAATAAGTTATTATGCTGACTATGGTGCGTGTTTTTGGAGCGCATGATTAGCAACAATAATATTAGTGGTCGGTTGATTGGTTGTTAGTAGAATTTAATGTCGTTGAATCGTAGACTGATGCTAGATTGCGGTCAGCATAACTGACACTTTGATAGTCCCTACATCTGACCAAATCTGGACAGAACTTATTAAAATGCAGGTCGCATATTTCAGACTTGCTTGCTATGATGCTACTGCATGCTTTCGTTTTGTTGGCAATGTAGAATGTCATTTTTTGGGGCTTAGTAGCAACAGATTCTGAAATGGTGGAGTTTGTTTGGAAGCTGAAGGTAGGTTGTTGTGGATGTTGTTGTTCAGTGAACTGTTGTTGTTGACCATTGATGAGGCTGGGATAGGTTTTTTGTTGCGAGTCGTATACATCATGCTTAGGTTGCGCGTAGATTGTCGTGGAATTGTTAAATCCGTACGAATTTGGTTCAGTAATCAGTTGCATGTCGGAGTTGAGTGCCCAATAATTTGATGAATTATTTTTGTCTAACTGTTGATGCGGATGTGACTGCATGGCTGCACTGGTTGCAGTCGGTACATTGAATCTCAAAGGGCAAAATATTTGGTTTGCTGATTCTTCGTACAATTCGATTTCACCAATTTGTTGAGCAGTTTCTGCCAAACACCGAGGCTTCCTACGGTAATTATTTTGGTCGATTACAAATTATTTTTGGATTATATATTACTTTTCACACAAATTATTTTAGAGGCTTCTTAAACTCATGCCAAATGACTCCCGCCTGCTCCTTCCAGGCCTCCATTCACTCATCATGCTTATGATCCATTGTAAACGCAAAAAAAAACAAACCAACCAACATCTAGGCAAAGGCTTTTTGAAATAAAATTGTAATTAACATTACTGTTTAATGAGGCAGATGGCAAAACTGAGCATGATCATCCCGACAGCAATGCCTAACAAGACGCCCAAACAAATGACCAACGTCAGTCCTGCTCAGTCAAAATCAATTTGAGTTTTCAATTTCAACAAAATCATTGATAAACTTTTTTGAAATACTGGCTCTTAAAAACTCATAGTAACGTTGTAGAATAACAACATCAGTGCCATTGTTATTAATACCACTAAACACTATTACTAATAATAGTAATAATAATGAACAAATTTATGATGATAATAATAATAATAAAGATTTACAATGATTTACAACCTTTCGGACTTTTCCATTCATTTGTTATTGTAGACCACATGTCTGCTGAAGATGCTGACTCATCTGAATTATTTTTTTTTTATTCCTCTATCCATTCATCTATCCATTCAATCATCTACGCATTCATCCATTCATCTACCCATTCATTCATTCGTTCGTTCGTTCGTTCATTAATTAATTGTTTAATTAATTAATTCATTCATTAATTCATTCAGTCATCCATTCTGTCATCCATCCATTCATTCTTATACCCACGCATATTACGCACGTCTGACCTTTCTTAGAAACGACGGCCAGCTGCTGGCATGAGGCGACCACGCCAGACCAGCCACCTTCGACGCAATCCAGTTTCGATTTCTGGCTGCTTGAATTGCAGATCACTTCAACGGAAGTCATTGACGTCATTACAACGTGACTTCCGGCAAATGTTGGTAGAGGGCAGTTAGTAACTGAATGAAAAAATTTATTTTTACTTCGATTTGTTTTTGAAATTATTTGCACCGATTTGATAAACCAGAAGTGAAGTAAAAAAAAACAATTCTAACCCCCTACGTTTATTTATTTGAACTTTGTTTACACATTTTTTCAACTCTAAGGATTTTAATATATTTCTCACTTATTCCTTCAATTGTGATAATATTTACTGTTATGATGAAGTTGGAAATGAAAGTTAGCCAAAATAGAAAGTTGGCAATGTTGACCGAGACGACCTAGCGGTTAAGGTCGTCTCGTCCTGTTTCGCAGTGCGAGCAGTGGCCGGGTTCCAATATGATCAAATGCTCCTCGCCTATCACATGCTTTGCATAGGATGCGTCGTTTACTCTTCAGGTACGATTTTTTGTGTTGTTGATTCCTCCGAACGTAGAGAGAGTGCCATGGACCTGACCCTAAGGTCAATATCGCCGATAGTGATTTAAAAAGATTTAAGCTTTTTGTTATCACTATCGCGATATTATATCGGCGATACATTTCGGCATTGGCTTTGGTTTGGTATCGGCGATACTTTTGCTGCCGAGTTTCCAATCTGATATCGCCGATACTGTTTAGACAGAAAAAATTCGATACTCTTTAAATTAAAATTAAATTCAGGATTTAAAATTAAAATCTGCCGTTTCGGCATCTGTTTTTTAAAAACTTGTTTTGCCTCCGCTGTCCTTCCATCACGAAATGCTCTTGTTTTTTTGGGGGGTGGGGGTTAAAACTACTTCAAAAAATTGTTCAGTCTATTAATCAACAACAGTTGAATTATGTAATAAAAAGATTTTTGCTTAATGAATGAATGAATGAATGAATGGTTGAACGAACGAACGAATGAATGAACGAACAAACGACCAAATGAATGAATGAATGAACGGATAAATGAATGAGCGAACGAATGAATGAATAAATGAATGAGTATATAAATATATATAGACGTACACAAACATTTACAGGTACATATATATATTTTAAAATTGTTCAAGTAAGGAGCGGTGGCAAGTAAATTTGGAATTCATAACGACAAATATGTACAATTGTAAATACACAGGCATACAAATATCTAAAATAATTTTTTAAATAATAAATCTATTTAATAATTAAATAAAAATATTATTAATTGCGTGTGTACGTTATCCGGTTTTCAAACCAAACGAGCCAATCAGGAAGTTAGGGTGGCGTTCCTTAATTTCCTACTAGTATAGAATTCATTCTAGTATAGTTAATATATTGTTGTTAAACACCTATAATAATGTTTCAAATACATTAAATAAAGTTTTTTAATGATGTCAATGATTGAAATGATAAGAATATATGAATGGAACTGGTATAAATAGGAGCCGAAAATGCGTTGAAATCCGACCGGGCACTTTGTGGCATTCCCTTAGCGCCTGGTCCCTTTTTTTATTTCTTCATTTTAGTTAACTTATTTATTATTTCTAGACGTGTTCGTTACTTATTATTTCTAGATTTATTCGTTTATTTTATTCGTTACATATTATTTCTAGATTTATTCGTTTGTTTGATTCGTTACTTATTATTTCTAGATTTATTCGTTCATTTTATTCGTTACTTATTATTTCTAGATTTGTTCGTTTATTTTATTGTTATTATTATTGCGCGGTCATACATACACCCACACAAACACACACACATACAAACATACATACATATATTCGTTGTTTTGTTTGCTTGATGTTTTATTCTCTTTTCCTTACTTTTTTCTTCGAAATTGTACAAATAGGTAGGATTAATTCGTAAGTTGAGCTAATTGGACATAGGTAGGTGAGTTAATTTAGTGAACATAGGTAAGTTAGGGACTCTATTCTTTCTTTTTTTCTTTCTTAAGGTCTAGTTTATTTGTATTGTATTGTTTTGTATTGTTTTTTGTTCAACACAACACCAACAGTAGCATTCAAACACAACAATCATCGTAATATTATTTTTGTTCTATTTTAGTTAAGTCTAGTTAAGTTGTTTATTATTACTAGACCATTCGTTACTTATTATTACTAGATTTGTTAGTTTATTTTATTCGTTACTTATTATTTCTAGATTTATTCTTTTATTTTATTCGTTACTTATTATTTATAGATTTGTTCGTTTATTTTATTGTTATTATTATTGCGCGGTCATACATACACACACACACACACACAAACATACATACATGTATTCGTTGTTTTTGTTTACTTGATGTTTTCTCTTTTCCTTACTTTTTTCTTCGTAATTGTACAAATAGGTAGGATTAATTCGTAAGTTGAGCTAATTGAACATAGGTAGGTGAGTTAATTTAGTGAAAATACGTAAGTTAGGGACTCTATTCTTTTTTTCTTTCTTAAGTGTTCTTGTTTATTTGTATTGTATTGTTTTGTATTGTTTATTGTTCAACACAACACCACCAGCAGCAATCAAACACAACAATCAACACAATATTATTTTCGTTATATTTTAAGTTAAGTTTATTATTTCTAGACCATTCGTTACTTATTATTACTAGATTTGTTCGTTTATTTTATTCGTTACTTATTATTTCTAGATTAGTTTTTTTATTTTATTCGTTACTTATTATTTATAGATTTGTTCGTTTATTTTATTGTTATTATTATTGCGCGGTCATACATACACCCACACAAACACATTCACATATATAAATACATACATATATTCGTTGTTTTTGTTTACTTGATGTTTTCTCTTTTCCTTACTTTTTTCTTCGTAATTGTACAAATAGGTAGGATTAATTCGTAAGTTGAGCTAATTGAATAAATTTTTGAGCTATTTTTGAAACATAGAAAAATCGTTAAAATTGAACAAATATTGATTTTTCACTTTTCACACAGTCACTTTTATTTCAAATTAGCTTAGCTAAGCCCTCAGCCCAGACAGAATTTAACCTTGCTAACTAACCTAACTTTTTTACTTTGAAGTTATTTTTAATTAATTGGAAATCATTGCACCAACTAGATCTCTGTTGACTACAGAACTTTTGTAATTTTAAATTTAATTAAGTTAGATAATGATAATTTTAATCGTAGGTAGGAAAGATAGAAAGCATACAACATTGATATAGTTTAGCGGTGGGCAAAATACAGCCCGTATTTTATGCGGCCCGCCAGGCCTTGTTACAAAAAATGAAAAATTACATTATAAGCAAAAAAAGGTTGTAAGCCAGTCTCAGGATGATGTTGCTCCACTGGTCAACATTTCAACATTACGTGGACAAATTTCAAAGGCTTTAACTTTAGACAAAAAAGTCAAGTTAGATGCTGAAGAAATAACCAAGCTAGCAATGAATAAAGATGGTTGGAACATTGTACAATCTCGTAAAGTTTGGAAATAATTGACTCTTGCTGTAAGCTGTAAAACTGTCTACTTTGTAATTGACATAACATTGATTAGACATTGTATATAATGCTAATACTATTTCAGCATTTAATAAAAATATAAAATTTGTCGTTGCTTAAAATTAGTTTTCTTTTTTCGACGATTTTTATAATTAATTCCTAAATTACGAAAATAAACATTTTAGCTGAAATTTCAAAATAAAATTTTCAAATCTAAAATCTGAACGTTAATTTGGATTCAGCATAACAAAATGTATCTTTTTGTAACCCCTGGTTTTTAAAAATCTAAAAAAATCAATTTCCGGTATAAAATTGACACCCTATTGGAACAATCATATTGTCGCTGTGAACTAGCCCGGTTGATGATGATGATGAAAAAAACCATGAATTATTATAAATTTAAAAATACGTTAACCAGATTGTACATTGAAATGCTAAATTTATTTACATAAAACCTTAATATTGACAATTAAAATTTTATAAACCAAAACTAAAGATTTTAGATTGTAGACCTCATTGACTTTTAGACTTTGTTTCATGTCACACAAGTACGCCTATGAAACAGTGTTTTATGTTAGAAAACCTTGTTTTATTGTCATTTCAAAAAAATTAATTTTAAATGAAATTAATAGTTCGTTTCTCGATTTTATTTCAATTGTAACACCAAGGAAAGTATGTTAAACATATGCTTTACAAAAGCATTTAGTTTTTCCATAATTTTTATTTTCTCTTTTCTTTAAATTTGCACGTGTGCCCTTTTTATCCCGTTTGCCGGTTTAAGCTTTCTTGCTTTGCTTACTTTTACGGCCACGTTATTTTTGTTCACTTTACTTCGTTAATCTTTTAGTAAAATTCAAAGAAATTGTTAACGATTTGATAGTTGTATTGAATATATTATAAAAAAAAGCAAAATGAATGCGATCAGAGACGGATGGTTTAGCGAAATCAACCCAATGTGGCCTGGTCAATGCATGTCACTCAAGGTTCAAAATGTTCTGCACGAGGAAAAATCAAAATTTCAGGACATACTAATTTTTGATTCGTTAGTACGGAAATCAATTTTGTTATAAATATCAACTTTTCAATAATTCACCGTTTTTGTGCAATTTAATAATTCAATTTCGTTTTTCTCCAATCAATCAATGTGATTAATTATTAATTGATAAATAATTAATATCAATTGTTGTCTTGATTATTTAATTAAAAATTAAATTAACTCAATTATTAATTAAGTTTATTTAATTTACTAACTTTAGCTCTATTATAAAAGATTAAAATCAAAAGGATTAACCTAACAATTAACATTGTCAACAATAACCTTGTACACTACTAAAACTACATTGAAGACCACAACACACAATCATACACAGCAAGATTTTTTTTTTCATAAATTTGATTTATTAAATTAAGAATAATTTTTTTGCAATATTTCATATTTAATTAAATTAAATTATAAAGCCAAAGTCACGGCAGAGTGTTAGTTTTGGATGGTGTGATACAGCTGACAGAAAAAGATGAATTTACTTACCAGGAAATGATGGCATTCTTGCCGGTTAACAGTCATCCGGACCCCAAAAATGTGATCCCATTAACTGTTTTTATTGAATTTTAAAATTATTAACTCCCAATATTAAATTATTCTTCATCTAGAGTCTTCCTAACCATGGCATCCTAAATTTATTTGATTTATAATTTTTAAAGAAATAAATGAACATTGTAAAAACTAGGTGTTGGTGATAGGTGGAGGAGATGGGGGCATAGTTAGAGAGTTGGTGAAACACCCCAAAGTTGAATCCATTGTCTTGTGCGAGATTGATGACGTAAGTCTTTATTTTAATTTAATCTGGATCGCAAATGCTCACATGCACACATGTATTACATCAAAATGAATATACAGTGCCTATAGAGTTGATTACAGTTGAACTTTTTGTTGATTTTGAAGCACACAACCAACCAGTCTTTTGACCTATTATTTTTTTCATAATAGTGAATAGTGATTTAGAGCTGAGTTAAAATAATGCTAAAATTGTTTATTTTAATTATTGTTAGTCGTTTTCTCAAATTTTTATTTATTTATTCATGAATGCTAATGCATTGTTTTTATGTTTAATAAAAAAGAGCTCACAAAAATTTTTTTACAGTTTTGTCTAATTTTGATGTTTTGTTTTGATGTTGGTCTTGCACTCCTAAGTCATTCTTTTTAAAAGCCACAACTCGTTCAAATATTCACTTTTCATTCGTCTTGTTTAGTGTTTCTGTTTTAAAACTTCCTTTTCATATCTTGAAACATAATTTACACCAGATTATCAATACATTTGCCATATGTAGCACACATTGAATATGAATATGTAAAGTATCAGAACTTTTTTTATTTATTCTTGTATGGCATGGCAATGAGGATTGTTTAAATTTTGTTTAAATAATAGTTTAATGATTTAGTTTTTATACTATTTTCAAAGAGGGTGTTAGACTTGTGTCGACAGTACCTCCCATCACTCTCTTCAGCTCTCGATCATTCAAAGGTTTAATTTTTTTCAATTGTTCCATTGTTTAAACAAATATATTATAATGTAATTTATAGTAATTCAAACCGCTCAAAATATTTTAATCAACCTCAAAAAATTAAATAGTTGGTAGAAAGACTTTTGTAGAATTGTAACATATTTTATGATCTTAAAAGGTCAAAGTTCATGTCGGGGATGGTTTTGAGTTCATGAAAGGCCACAAGGATGCTTTTGATGTCATCATCACTGATTCATCTGACCCTGTTGGTATGTTGTCATTCATTTATTTTGTTTTCATCATCATCTGCTATTTAGTTTGTTTTTTTGTTATTTTGAATTAATGAATATTAAGAATAATAGAATAACATTCCTGGTAAAATATTTATGTTGGAACAATGACGACGACAATGATGATGATGGTAGGTCCAGCTGAATCACTGTTCAAGAAGGAATATTATGAACTGATTAGATCTGCACTGAAGAAAGATGGAGTGTTATGTTCACAAGGTGTGTTCTCATTCAACTGTTCATTTATTATTTTATTTGCTTGTTTGTTCCTTGTTTCATTAATTCATTCAGTAAGTCATTAAATTATTGATTAGATTAAATTATTAATTTTCAATCAATCCAATAATATTAACAATGATCGCTATTTAAATTTCTTATCAATTATTAATTGTAACTGCTGCCGTCTACATTGTCATCATCATAATCACACTTTTCATTGAAACAATCACCATCATTGCACCGTCACAACAAACAAACAACAAAATATACAACAGGCGAATGTATATGGTTGCATCTGGATCTCATAAAGAACATGATAGATTTTTGCAAGGAGTTGTTCCCTTCAGTTTCATATGCCTGCACCCCAGTCCCTACGTACCCCAGCGGCCAGATTGGCTGCCTCCTCTGCAGTCTCAGTCAGGTTAGTTTCTTTATTTTATTTTTATTGTTTTTGTTATTCTGTTTAATAAATTAGTCGTTTTTTATTGAAATACATATTTTGTTTAGTTATAAAAATTATACTGTTATAAAAAATTATGAAAAAAAAAATTCTATTAGCAACCAACCAACCAACTAATTATTCAACTAACCATCCATCTAACCAACCAATCACTCAACCAACCAATCAACCAACTATCCAACTAATCATTCAATCATCTACTCACTGAGTTTATAGAAGACCGACTTCAAAGAGCCAGTAATAAAATTCACAGAAGAAGAAATGGAGCTGATGAAGTTGAAATGTTACACCCCGGCCTTTCATACTGCCTGCTTTTCACTGCCCAACTTTGCCAAAAAGGTCTTAATTTGATTGTTATAATTGTTTTATTTGTTTCTATTATATTTTTCCTATGGTCATTGTGATTTCATTTTGTATTAATAATGTTAGTTTAGTATATTTTATAAAGGGATTAGCTTAAATAAAAGTTTGTAACCTTGAGTTTTATTTAATTAATTAATTAATTATAATTAATTAATTGAGTAACCACTATTATTTTTACCTTTTTTGATTCTAGGTACAATCGTAATTAGAGTCTGTATCATGTAGTAAAAGCTGGTGTACTGATTGGTTTGCTTGTTCTTTTAGCAGATTAAAAAAAATTCATTCTTACTCACAAATTCCATCGATTTATTTATTCATCAGCTGGCTTATTTGTTAACGATATTTTACAATATGAAAATGAGTTTAAGATTTATTTATAAACAAGGTCTTATCCAATCATTTTATGTCAATAATCTTTTATTTGATTTTTATTATTTACATTGATGATTTTATTATTTACATTGTCATTGAATTTTCTGTTTATTTACTTAATTGCACTGAATTTTTATTTGATTACTAAAAGAATTTTAACTCTATTCACTCGATTTTTACAATATCTCTGAAACTGCTATCATTATTATAAACACGGAAAAATTTTGTAAACTGGTAACATTGCATGTGCATGCTATTTGCTATGTTATACATGTATTCTATAATTTTTAATGTGTTACTGATTGCATTCAAATGATTGCCACAATTTTTTTCAACATTATTTTGACTTTTAACTCAATTTCTATGTATAATAAATAGTTTGCTGCTGTTCAATCTCATATTTTTCATCTCTTGACAATGGTGAAGTTTTAAGTTTAATTTCAATATGCAATGAAAAATTATTATTAACTGTTAAATTAAATAAATTAGTACTACTAAATGATAATTAACGTAAGTTTTTTAGGTATTTAATTTATTAACCACAATTGGTTAGTTATATAAATATACTCACGTTTGAAGTGTTTAAGCAAGTTCATTCAGATTATTTGTTAATGGTTTGCTCAAGACCTCATATACTGGTGAGAGCGTTTGCCAACTAAATGTGCGTTCTATAAGTTGAATGAATCAGCACGGATATATCAGTAACAGGAAGCATGTCTTGGTTCTGCTTAGGGCATGCAGGTATGATTAAAATTATGGATGGCGGATATAAGAATATATATATATAATATATATATACAATATACGTACATATGTACATGTATGTGTGTTGCCTGTACGCTGTGACAGATTTTTATTACTTTGTTGATTGAAGTTGCACACGGTGTTCATGCATGTGCAGAAAGAATAATTTCAAAATAAATTGTTATTGAATATATACAATTAAATTAATACGAGATATTTGTGTGTATAAATTGACATTAATAAAATATAAATGAAATTTCGTAAAAATTTAAAAAATTTATTTAAAAAATGATTGTCCCAATATATTTGTATGTTTAAATATTTCTTGCTCCATCAGCTCGCGGATTAGAATGGAGCCAAATTTTATTTGAATGGAGGTGACTCATTGCATGCATTCAAGAGTGGTCGATGCACTTGTGAGCAGTGCATTTTATTGAACGAATTTTTGTTTATGGCTGTTTCATTGTTCAGGTTGGTTCTACCTTTCATTAAAATTCTATTTATTACCTTAATCAATTCTGATTGAGGAAATTGGAAAGTATATTTGTTAATTCAATTTAGTGATGTATTTAACTTCGAAGCGATGCAGTTTGGTGTTTGGTTTGTGCAGTAAAGCGTAACAATATTATACGTAATTTGTGGAAATTTTTCTCATAAAGATGCAAATTTGACTTTATTGAATGCAATGCACACGTGAATGTAAGAATACTAGTGTGGATGTACATTTGCTTTGTGTCTGTTCATGTATGTACGAATGTATATATGTATGAATGAGTATCCGTATGAACGAATGTACACTTTCATGTGTTCAACTTGTGTACATCAGCCAGTGAAGGTTGCACACTGCTTGAACGATGCATGCTTCGCCTGGAAGACAACGTGCGTTGCTACGAAGGTATCATGTCGTCATTGAGACGATGATGTTGAAATGTTTGAGTGTCGTCTGATGATGAGATGATGATGAAGAACATGAAAACCAGGATACTAATGATGATGAATAAGATGGCGCTGATGCGTACAAAATAATAAATCGTTCAGACATGAGCTAGCCAATCAACTCAAACAGATTGAATGCAAAGCTTTTCCAAACTGGACTTATCTCAAAAGAACAGATTCAATACATGTAATGTTTTTAGGCATTCATTTTTTGTGATATATGATACGAAGTATACATACAGAGAAATTAATATATAAATATATACACGGGGCCACTATATGCAGTATGCAAAAGTATTTGCATGCGTATTTATTGATAGTGTATGTATTCAATTTTATTGTGTACATGCATGCATTGTAGGTTTTTCTTTAGACAATTTTCAACGTTAAATTTGTAATGTTACATTTTTAAACATTTTAAAACTTTTATTGGAATTGAATCTTGAGTTTTTTCTTTTCAAGACTTAACCATTTTTTGTGCAATCATCGTTGGTGAAGTTGATTATAAGGACTGATGATGTTTGCACACAGAAGTTTGCACGGCCCGCCCAAATAATGTTGCGTTGTCATCGTCCTCAAATCAATGCATATGCCTAAATAAAAAACGTAAGAATAATGTACAATTATGAATAATTTATATATATTATATATAATATATATATATAAGTATATATATTATTCTAATTGTTGGAAGGAGATCATATTTAATACAGTACTGTATTAATTCTACCGATTTGTTGGCATTAATCAATTTAAAGTTTAAATGTTGGAAGGAGACCAAACATTAAATTGATTAATGCCAACAATTCGGTAGAATTCATACAATACTGTATATATATATATTTACAATATTCTATAAATTATTAATTATGGTCTATTATCAACATATATATATATATATATATATATATATATATATATATATATATATATATATATATATATATGCACAGTATTGCACAGTATTAGTTAAGGTGGTCTACACATACATATGTATCTTGATCTCCGGTGCTTTAGCCGAATGAAATTTTGTTTTGTGTTCAAATATATATATATGTATATATATATATATATATGTATATATATATATATGTATATATATATATATATAAGCAACATTAAAGAGATTTGACCATGTAAATAAAGAGATTTGACCATGTAAGTTCATTCTATAAAACAGCAAATATCCTTACCATAAACAAACTACATACTATCTTTTTTTAAAATATATAAATTAAATTATTGTCAATCTCCTAAAGATCACATTAATTTATTTAAAAATACTAGGCAAAATTGTTTACGTTCTAATTCTGAATTTTACTTTTTGAAACCTAGAACAAATTTTTTCCTCAACTCTGTCTTATATATCTCTATCATGGATATATCCATGATCTCTATGCGTCTTTGGAATTCATTACCAATGACTACTAAAAATTCTTCTTCCTTTGCTCTATTTAGAAAATCTATCTATTTGCTCATTCAGTCTAATTATTTCAACCATGTCCTCTGTTAATGCGATTGTTTCCCGTAATATACTTTATATTTATTCAATTTTAAGATGGTTTATTAATACCATCTTAAGATTGAATAATAGATACTTAAATAATTAGATATTTATAGATACTTAAATAATTTAATTAATCTTATTTTTTCTTAATTATAGAACTATCATTATTTCATTTTGAAATGTGAAGATTTTTTTTCTATTTATAATTTTTGGTGTAAATTTTATAGTGGCCCAACAAGTCATATCTTCGGGTCTCCTAGCTTTTTGCTTAATAAACTCATTATTGAATTGAATTGAATTGAATTGAATGTCACTAGCGTTGATATTTCTACATAAATTTAGTTCAAATCAATGTGATGAATAATTTAATACACGTGCTTTTATATCTTAATTATAGTCTTATTTGTATTAATGATTTTTTTTAACTTTTTTTGCAGTTATTAAATAAAGTGAAAGAATGAATCATCAACAAACACATTGCTGAAAGAATATATGATGAAATTAAGAATGAAAACGAGTGTGGTTCTCTTCATTTATGCTTGTTGCTTTTTAGCAGTTGATTCTATTCAAATCGTATCCAATCCTTACCACAACGGTACCATTATAACGACCGGCTCCACAAATCTTGCTGACTGTCAAATTTCCATAAAAAATGAAGTTTTTGAAGGCACATGCTGGTGCACCAGACTCAAAGAAATCAAATGCTCCGGGTTAACAAAAATTCCTATATTTATTTCTCAGTCTGTCGATTCTAACATTTCCGGATTTTATTTAGATAACCAAAAAATTAGCAGCGTCTTAGAAAAACCTTTTGCTGGATTGAAAGTTCAAAAAATTGTCTTAAATTCAAACAGAATTGAAGAAAGAATGAGTTCTAATGCATTTGAAGGACTCGGGGAAACGTTAAAAGAATTGCATCTGGCTCACAATAAAATTAAAAAGATGCCAAAGTCTATGTTAAATAAGTTAGGTGAATTGAGGGTACTGCATCTTTGGGCCAATTCCATTGACGAGTTTCCACTTCGCTATTTTCAGTTTTGTCGTAATTTGCAGGAATTAATTTTGTGGGGTAATGAGCTGAAAATTATAACGGAGAGCACGTTCGATGGACTCTGGAATTTAAAAAAGCTTGATCTCGATAGAAATAGGATCGAAGCTGTGGAAAAAGATGCTTTCCGTCATCTTTGGAATTTAGAAATTCTTCATTTAGGGGAAAATAAGTTAATGTATTTGACTGAAGGTATGTTCACTCATTTGACAAAATTGAAAGTTTTAAATCTTGATCACAATCGCATCACTCTTGTTCACCAAAATGCATTTTCTGATCTAGGTAGCTTAATAAGTCTTTCATTGGACAACAATTATATTTCACTTTTGTCTGGCGAAACGTTCACAAATTTAAGGAATCTTACAATGATTTTTTTACACAGAAATGTTTTAGAGATGGTTTGGGTTAACCAGTTTTTATCTCAGAAATACCTTTACATCCTCAACCTTTCACACAATAAAATAAGTATTCTCCCAGACGGATTATTGAAAGAAAATGGACATTTAAAAATTTTTGTGGCGGACAATAATAATCTTCAAACAATACGAAGATGTGCATTTGCAGCGAGGTACGCTCATCTCACGCATTTGAAAACATTTTCCTTGTTTGGAAACAAAATAATATGCGACTGCAAATTGTCCTGGCTTCTTGACGTTCACAGAAATATGTCTACGTCAGTTCTCGGTGTATGCGACAAAACGAGAGAGATTGATAGTCTATTTTCTAGTTATTCCTCTACATTGAGACACAAACATCACAATTTGATAAATCATCGCCATCATCATGACAACTTGAACAACTACAACGGCATACACAGGCATCAACACTTAGATACTAACATAAATAACATTAACCATTACACGAACATGGGATCAAATGAGGCCAAAAGTATGAACCTCATCTACCCAATCATTGATCGAAGTTTATATCGTAGTTGTCCATCTGTTACTTCAGAATGCAACTAAAGGTTTAACAATCGGAAATGAACAAGGTGTGTGGGCTTAGCTTGAATTTTTATTTTTGCATTTTAAATTATCCATTTGCGATTTTATATACAAGAAAAAATGTTTTTCCCAAGTTTTTTTAAAACCAACTGTGCAGGTCGATTCAAGTTTGGCTTAATTTGCTTTATTTGTTTTGCGCTTCAAGATTCGGTGCCATGAAATAAAACTTAACTATTGCAAAACTATTGTCACTGCATTAATTTTTAAAACTATCGAGTAAGAGATGGTGATGACGACGACGATAGAAATGGAGACAATAATTAAATTAACGCTTAATTTAACAATTTCACAGTATCAAATGATAATGGTTATACAAACATACTTAAGCACAAGCGTCTCCCTTTTCGTTTACTGCTCCGAATCGAAATTTATTGACATTTAGCGTTCACTCGTTCATGCAGCCTCTCTGTGCATCTAGGCACACAAATTGTTGCTTAAGAGAGTGTCTTATACACGTTGTATGCATGTGTGTATGTATGTGTTTGCACATACATAAATGCATTCGCCGGAAGTGTGTATGTATGCAGGGACGGATTTAGACGTAATGATGCACTAAGCTTTTTTTGTATTTGGGACCCTCTATTAGCTTATATATATATTAAATATATACAAGTTTATATATAATTCGACTCAAAATATGATTTCTAGGTACTTCGAGCGTGAAGTTTAATTATATAAGGAACAATACTCTTTTATTTTAATTACTTTAAATTTATAAAAAATAATAGTCTAAAATGCCTATTCTTAAAATCAAGAGCATTTGTAAAAAAGCAACGTTTAAACGTTTTTTGTCTAACTTTTTAGAGAAAAAATGTTATACAATGATTAATGAAATAATCACGATTATACAAAACTAAAATATTTTTGTTCTTGCCAGGACTGAAAGAAAGATTTTTCTCCGGCGCAATTCTTTATTATCATACATAGAAATAATCTCTAAACTGCCTTTACATTAAAAAATGCCTGTTGGACGCAATCGTTAAATATAATATTACTCTCCGGTCCACAGGGGTGATTATGTTAATGTTAAACTGTTATTATGAAAATGTTAAACTTTTCCTACAAAAATGTCAGCCATAAAGTTTTGTTATATATGAAAACGTTTCAGCAGCATCATTCTACATTAAAACATCCATACAAATGATTTAATTCTCAACTTACTGATTGGCTTAAGGTTATGTTATCTCAGGCATCACTTTCATTATTTTTAGTGTGTTTCATTCTATATTTGCTTTCTTTATAATCATCCTCAATAAATGTTTCTTTTTTCAAAATGATCAAAATTTTTTGAAACCTTTAAAAATCAAAGATTGAAGCCTACAGTTGAAGTTTTTTTTTACATGTAGACTAATTTGGGAGTTTTTTGGTTACTGAATAGTTTTGTGGAAATTATCTGGCAAGTATAATATAAACGTAGATTCAAATTTTTCAATTTGATTCTAAATGTTCATGGCTCTTACTCAAACAACAACTGTTCGGCGCACCCTTGAATAAAAAGAATTGTAGGCATGATAGTCAAATATGTTTTGACAATAATGAAAAATTTGAAGAATAAGCTGAAAATTAGGGTAAAGTATATTGAAAGGGTTTGGTTGGATAATTTTTCTTGGTCCCCAAGAGAATGGGGTTTTTAATCTTGTTTAGCCTATACGTTAGTTAATCCGGCACTATGTGTATGTCCTGGTTGCTTATGTGTTTGAATGTCTGCAGACGCGTGCATTGATGCGTGTTATAATTTTTCGTTAATCACTTTTAAAAATTATTGACTCGAAATTTACGTGAGTCAATGTAGACATTTTGCAAGTTTTATTATTCTGTGCACATCATCTTTCTTTCAATGATTTGATTGGCCAGTTGGAAATATGAGATCTGGTGTCGATCTCGACTTGACAGCTGACTAGGCCTGTTGGTGTCTGTCGGAAATTCAATCGAACACGATCTTACGTCTGCTGCTTCAATCGCCTGATGTGCCTTGCACCTAGATGCAAAAGGGTAGAACCGACCCATGTTATAGTTTGGTAGCACAACATGTTTGATTGCAACTATGTAAAGGACCAACGATTCATATGCAACTTCCATTTTGTCGCAAATGCAGATTGAAGAACCAAAAACAAGCAGATGAAGTTTTTGTTTTGCAACATATTCGAACATTTATAAAATTATTCATTAGTTGTGCTCAACCTTCGTTTAATATTTATTTCTGTAAATTCATTACATAGCATGATGCTTAAACAAGCTTAATGATAATAATTATTTACCAACAGGAAAGCACTATACAGATGAGGTGAATGAAAAACTATGGAATGAAGATGAACGAAAAAACGATTGGGTGATTGAAACTTTTTTATAGTAATATCAACACTACGTCTTTCCCTATATATATATATATATATATATATATATATATATATATATGTTGTAGACAGTATATATATATATATATATACCGTCTTGTTTAAAATAATTTTTTCATGTTTTATATAATAATTGATGTATTTATTCCCAATGACAAAATTTTTAGAGTAGACATGATTATCCTATCTGCATAAGTTTGTTCACCGCCATGTACCAAAAGTTTTTGTTTTGTTTTTATGTTTGTCTGTCTGTCTAATTATCTGTATGTCTGTTCGTCTTCGGGCCTGTCTTTTTTATGTCTGTGTGTTTGTATTTTGGCTTCATTTCACAATTTATATAATTTTTCACATAACTGTTGTTTGTAGATGCTGTTTTGAAGTTGACGATGACATGAGTTTTTTAATAATTACTACGATGAAGGTGACAATAACTATGATAATATATACATACCTATTTCGTTATATTATTATAAATAAATATATATATTTATTATTTTGTGTTTTATATTTCACGAATATTATTGATTAATTATAGTGGCAAATCTTTCACTGAAGAATCATTTTTTGTCGTTATTTTCACCTAGTCTGTGTTAGACTTTATTTTCAATTTTTCATAATTTCGTTTGGCCAATTCACCGTCGAGACTAACAACATTTAATATTTCAACGTCTTCAACGATATCCACGCATGTGTGGCGCATATTTTACATAGCTAGTTACACCATAGTCTTTCAAATTTTTGACATTTTTTCGTGTCATCGCGTATGCTTTTTATTAAAATTATACATTTTTTAATTTAATTTTACTTATTAAATATAACAGTTATATATTTGTTATCAGTACAATTGATTAGTTTTATATATTATATATATATATATATATATATATATATATATATATTTATATATATATATATACATTATTTGGAGAAGTTTGATTATTTTATGCCGTTGTAATATGTAATAACTTTCACATTCTTACCAATCATTTTGTTACAATTCTTCTATAATTCTTTATTTTTAGTAATGCTATGCTTTAAGCATTATTATATTATCACCGTTGTCATTATTAATTATAGATATATTTTTGTATAAATTATAGTGGATATTATTGTTAGGTCATATATGCTCCTAATGTAACGTATCTCATCATCAACAACACTTTATTACAAATATGTATAGCTGCTTGTGAATTAAAAGAAGTTGAATAATAATAAAAAGTAAGAAAGAACGAAAGAAAAATAGTGCAAAATATTAAATTATATTTTTATACATTACAATGCCCAGTTATTAATAAGAAGAAAATTTATCAGTAGAAAGTTACAAAAATCAATTGTTAATTTTTCACCCAGTTTTTAAATCAATGCCTGCTAATATTTTTAATTATCTTTGGTATGTTAGTGCAGTTTTTGTAAAATTAATCATGGTTCATAGTTCCATTTATTTATTTTTTAATGTTAAATCTATCGATGAATTGAGAGGCTTATAGTTTTGAACAGAAGGTATAGGTCGGTTCTAAGTATTCAAATCTCTGAAAAAGCTAATTTTTTAAACTTAAAATGTAAAACATAAATTTTTAAACAGCAAGTCAGTTACAAATTCTTTTAAATAAATTATCATTTACGATTTTGGTATATAACGAGTAATTACGCGCTTCGTGATTTTATTTTCTAAAGAAAACATTCACTGAGGTCTACTAAAACATCGTACTAAACTCGTCTGTTCCTGAAATAAACAACTCTATAAAATAAAATGGTTTGTTTTTCAATTCATTTCATTGTAATTTAATCTAAAGAATTTAATTGTAAAACTGGAGGTCGGTTCTAGGTAAAAGGTCTGCAGTAGTTTTTTAAAACTTGCCACAAACAGATGCAAAGAGGATATGAATGAATGATACTGACATACTCACTGACTACCAGGAAAAAAAGATGGTACCAGCCAATTAGTTAGACAGGCTAGAGGAGGACTAGGAGGCCATAGATGCACGCTTTTTAAGAAGTCAGTTGGTAAAATGAAGCAAAAATTTTTAGCAGTAGGGTGGTGGTAAAAACATGGAATGAGCTGAATCTGCTGAGTCAACTAACATTTTTGATATGATTGTTTAAAAAACGAATAGCCCCAGTGTGAATAATTACTTTAAATTTCTTTCAGAAGGTTTTATTAGCTTTTTAACATTTCAAATTTAATAAAAAGAATCAAAATGTTGAAGCTTACCAAACTAAGCAAAAGAGGAAACGTTTTTCAACTGCAAAAGTTTTTTATTAGAAGGTATGGTTTGAACTAGGAATTATATTTTGAACTGGCAAAAATACTTGTGACAATCAACCCATGTCACATGCAGCCTCAGCCTTTTCTATTTATTTTTTCTTAATTTCATATTATAAAACATAAATTTACATAACACAGGATGTATTTTTGATGGTACGTCGCAAGAATGTTACCTTGTTCTTGGATGCCAAAGAGTCAACAACTGTCATCGAACTGAAGAAAATCATCAAAGGAATTCTGAAAAAAAATTTGGACGAGATTCTTTTATACAAAGACAATCAAGTTTGTGTTTCATTTCTTATAATATAACAACTAATTGAGTTTCATTTCTTATAATATAACAACTAATTGAGTTTATTTTAAACTGTCTACGTTCAATCTTATAGATAACTTTAGTCCTTTACAATCGAGTTTGTAACTTTATAAACTTTACTTTAACTATGTTTGATTATGATATGTTATATGGTAATCATATGTTTGGTAGACGTTACTCATTTGTAATCCTTATAGTGTAAGTGCATGATGAGTCACTTGTAATTCTCGAAGCACACTTGTGGCAGAAGCAAGGTTATGCTGTTCTGTGTTAAGGATTTGTTGAAGAGCAACTATCCAACTTTTACAAAAGGTCTTGAATCAACATGCTGTGCATTCTTAGATCATGTCTAACAGCAATAATCAATTTTAAACTACAGTGAATTGTTTACTCCTCCAATAATGAATTTTTTTTGTTAATGTCTTTTATAAACATATCTGTAATAGGATCATTGAATTCAACGTACATAGTGAAATGAAACATTTGATCTGGACATTGACTAGCAAGCAATTGCATCATTATACTGTACTTTTGCCTCATAAACAATCACCACCCTCTTGTGACCAGCATCAGCTCTAAAAGTTGCACCACGTCATTGCTTCTCTTGATTCAATAGGGCAATTCCAGTTTAAAATTACCTGGATGTTTGTTTTACAATTCGATTTTATGAGCTCAGTGCTGCCTAACATATAAGAGTCTGTTTCTTCTGGTTACATGGTTGTGAGTGGAATCAAGATACTTAAATATGTACATTTGGCGCTATTTTATTTTATTTTATTATTTTTCTACAATTTTATTGTCATAATTTCATTATTTGAACAGTTTTTTAATAGTTTTGTTGAATTCTATTATCTGACTGAATGAAAGGGTTTTAACACATTTCAACTCTAGCAGACTGCATTTTATCCTATCTAAAAACTTAAGAATTTGACCTTCTTTATATTGATGGTTTGAACTTATGCAGCCTATAATTTATATGACTATCTTTATCACCCAATTTGTAAACGCTGTAGAAAGAAATTCAATTTTTCCCTTATTTCGCGGAAGAGTTGAAAAATTGTGTTACAGTATTGACTTAGAATAGTAATTTTTCATAATATGTGTAGCAGTATTTAATGCAGACATGGCTCAACATTAACTATCAAATCAGTAATGGCTCTTTATGAACTTTTATCATTTTTAAATAATTAAAATTTTTATAAACTGTTAAAAATTATTTCAATTTTTTGGTGTTTCGTCTAATTTGTTTCCTTGTTTTTCAGCAAATTGATGAGACGAAGACACTTGGGGACGTGGGCTACACTAGTGTGACTGCAAAAGCACAAGCACCTGCAACCATTGGTCTGGTCTTCAAACAAGATGGTTGGTTGCGTTGATTTGGGTTTTGGTTTTTTTTAACTCTCCTATTCATGTTGGGTGATAATAATTTACAATGTTGTGAATTCTTGTCAAATAATGATATTCAAATAAAAATTTCTTCAGATGGCACATTCGAACCTTTGGAGATCACAGAACTCTCCACCCCACCCGACCTGCCGGAAGTGATGAAACCCCAGGAGACTGCTGCCTCTCATGCTCAAGAGTGCAATTGATGATGATCATGATAATCATGATGATGAAGATGACGATGAAAAATAAAATGGTGATGATATCAAAAAAATTTTTAAAGTCAAATTTTACTTTTGGTAGTTCCGACTGCTTGGTCTGTTGTTTGATCAGTTTGTTGTCTGAGTAATTTAAATTTTTTGAACAGAAGAGTATGCGGATGCTTTTTCATTCAGTATAATAAATATAAATTATTATTGTCACAACTTTTTCAATCTTCTCAACCTTCTTATAATTTTTGTATGGTGTTTTTGCTTTGTTATTTGCTTTGTTGTTGTCGGCGTTGTTGAAATTGTGTCATTACTACCAAGATACTACTACGTGTTTGCATCGTTGTTAATATTATTATTGCTAGTACTAAATTATAACAATATTTCCAGCAATCTGTAATAAATGTTTAATTTCATTGGCCTGCCGTAGAATGATTCTTACCGCATTGCTGTACAATATGAATATGTGTGTGTGTATTAAATTTCATTGCCTGTGTTTACGCTATATGAGTGTCCTGCTCAGTGTGTTAAATGTCAAGGTTATTGTTCTTTAAGGCTTATGATTTTGTATCGTAGCATTTGTGTTTGTGATCAATATTTGTTTACTTATTTATTTATTTCATCTCAAATGAATATCTACGAAAGAAATTTAATTGTGTTGTTCATGAGTCAAAAATCATTTAAATCTAACAATTAAATGTTGTTTAAAGGAAAGGTATGTAGGTGAGTTATAAGTTTGTACGTACATGTTTGTAAGTAGATGATGGGGTAGATTGTCTAGCGACCTTAACTCGAGTTTATTGTTTGATTAAATGATGCTTTATCTAAATTAAATTTGATTTTTCTTATTTATAGATATGGTAAAATGTTCATTTCAAATATTAAGTTGGCACTGTAAATGCATGTTGTAATCAAATGTAATTAGACACAAATACAAGGTTATAACTTTGCAAGTTCATCCGTGGGCAGTTCAAGCGCAGTGCTATGCAGGGAAATCTGTATAGCAACAATGAATCTAGATATCAGCAGGTCTTAGCACGCCTAGTTAATTTACTTAGGTTACGCTTTATTCTTATTTCAATACTTTGATCAAAATTTAAAAAACGTTTATTATTATTTAAAGTCATATAATTATAATTGTTGTAGATCTATTATAAATTTTATAAATTGTTTACGAGGAGAATCGTCTTCCACATTGTTGAATTTGTGCATTTGAGATTAGCTCTGTTAAATATCCGACTGATGTTTCTTCATCCCTTCAATCTTCGTGGTTTGTTTTTTCCTTCGATATAAATGAAGTCATAATTGTTATTAATGATGATGATATGAAATGATGATTTTGTGACGAGCAGTTCATTATATGTCTAGTGAGCGTTAAATGCTCCCTAGATAAGTGCACAAGTTAGGGATAAAGTTAAGTGTGATGTATCTATGACTGACCACACTGGACATCTTTTACCAGAGCTGTTGAATAATTCTCCCTCCTCCAAAGTTTGGGGCAATGGTTGGTCGGAAGCGTCAGGTAGGAATTGAACCAGGCAACTTGAGATCAACGCGATGGCGCTGAACAAAATGGAGGGTAGGTGCCTCCATACTGCGAGCTACCATTTCAAACATGTAACATCAAAAACATAAATATATAACTTGTATGACGCAATCAATTTTCATACCAGGTCTGACGTGAATGGAGCAAGTGTAGCGGCGAATCTGGCGGATATGATGCAAGTTCCGAATCCAATGCTTCTCAATCTTGTTGGGTAGAGTTCTGCGGTTGTTATATAGACCATGCCGTAGCCACATGTCATCAATCCTTTCCCCAACGTCGACAATATCGTCACCAAAATATCTGAGATTGGGTTTAATTTTTTTCTTTTAAGTTTTGATTGATCTAATCTATCAACTGAAAAGCAGCACAAACGTGAATGAAACTCAGTGCTGCCTACATTTCCAATTTGTCTCGTTCACGTAGCATTTATATTCGCACGAAACGAAGCCACATTTTATTTACCAAGTTGTATTTCGATTGAAGTGAAATATTCAAGCAACAAACCAACCGTTGGATATGAAAATACTGATAAACATGAGGAGTCCAACCGCCAGGTAGCAACCGCTGATCGGCTGGATCCTACCCAACCTGGAGAGCAAGGGGACTGCGAGTGCATACGCGGGTACCTCCACGAGTGCACTGAGAAAAAAATTTAGGTAAGGATCTCCGGAAATTGACGTTGCATTCAGTGACAGGCCGTAATACACGAAACTGCCTGAAAACCTGGCAGCATTGAAAATTTTATTTATTATTCATAAATTTTCTTGAGAAGTTGTTTTTTCATTATCATTATAATATTATTTTACTTCTGGTTGATGATAAATAACGATAAATGGTGTAAAAGATGAACGACCAAGCTGCCATCAAGAGGAACGTTGATCTTCTGATGTTCGGGTACTGAAACAAATCCAACAGCGTGAAGTTCTTCACCTTCCTGTCAGCCTGCGAAGACATCAGAAATAGACTACTTGAGAAATTCCAATCAGGAATTTTTAAATAATGAAGTGAATACGCAGCATGTTGGCAACACGCACACAAGCACACACTCACCTTCAATTGATGTTCAACATCTGCCGGAAATTCTACATTGTTTATTTTTGCCATTTTTCTCAAATGTTTGATACATTCGTCCTTGCGACCTGCACTTAATAAAAATCTCGGACTCTCGGGAACGAAGCTTTTGTTCAGTTAGAAAATTGTTTTAAATTTCATTATAATTGCTTTAACTATTGATTTCATTGCTTTGGTTAATTATCGATAATGTATTGAATAATTGTTGTGTTTTTATTCGTTGGTCAGTAACACGCCAAGGTGCGGTTCCGTGATCAATGTTATGCTTTTTGTTAAAGTTACAGCAACAATCTATTAAAAGAACGTCTGAACTAACAAAAATATCAACAGCAGAAGAGATAGAGGGAATGAGAGGGTGACCTGAAGCCAGAATCTTTCCCTCACGAAATATGCGATAAGTGACAAGATGACAAGGCCTACCGACCAAGTTATTTGCCCGAATGTACCTGTTTCATATACATGCGACTACATATATGTAAGATATGTAAAAATAACTTATGCCTTTTAGTTAACATTAATTATAAAATAATTTTTCTTAGATGATCAAATTTTCGTGAAATGGAGATAGAACGAACCGGCATGAGGTCTATAATGTGGACTCACATTTTCCGAGGCTGTGTTTGTTAATTTAAAGAAGTTTGTACATTCATATTTCCATACATCATTTGCTAACTAAATAAACAAATTTATCAAATCATCATTTCGTGGGTGTTGTTCCGATAATTGAATAACGAAAAAACTGGAAAGTTATCCAAACATACGAAGAAATGTACATGAGAAAATGTTCTACCGATGACAAATGCGATTTGAAATTCGCCTGTCGTTTGTATGCCACTGAAAAATCTGACTATTAAGAAGAGGTAGACATTGGAGATCCAGGCAAGAGAGGTGCATGCCAACAAGCTGAGAACAACCGACAACATCAGTGAGGGGCGCCTACCAAATCTTCAAATTAGAATTTATTTCACTTTGTTCAAATTATTATTAATTTCATTTCGTTCAAATTATTATGAACTTTATATGGTATCAATATCATGGTATGCAGTTTCTTGTAAAACATTTAAGAGGATTTTTTCAATATTCCAGTTTAAAAGATTATGAGTGACTTACCTGTCGGAGAGATGTCCGTATATAGTTGCACCGACCATCCTGCCGAACATGTAGGCACTCTGTGTGGCCGATACAAGCCACCTTCGCGAACATACGAGATTCATCTACAAAAGTTTTCAAAGGTTTTTAATTACGTTTTACATATTTCCCGATAGTTTTAAATGAAATTTGTTTTTTATAAATACATATTTTGCGAGTGTAAGCATGTACAATAAAACATTAAGCTTATATAGGGGAATTAATGAAAAATGTGAAGTTATCAAAAAATTCGAAGCAATTCAATCTTCGGATAAATTTTCTATCTAATAAAGTTAGCATATTTAATGAATAAGTTGTGGTAGTTATTAAAGATTAAATGGTGATAATAATTAATTTATCACGTCGGTACCTCTTGGACGATGCTCGATTTCACAACTGAAAGGTCATAACTCCACGCATCACATTCTACTAAGACTGTTTCGTTACTTTCTCTTCCTTTCATGTTTTATATCACAATTTCATCGCTTCATTCATTAGATAATAGATAATTCTTAAAAGGTCGTAGTGTATTTTATGATAGTTGCGTTCGATTGATTTTGTTAATGAATTAAAAGATTCCTAAGTTAGAAGAATATTTTTTGTAGAAACTCAATCAGTAATAAAATAAATATTAATTTATTGAAATATTTCAACGTAAATTTAATTTAAACTAATGAACCGTTGAGAAAGAGATTGCTATGTTGATTGTATTTGTATTGGTAACATTTGCTCCTCTCGTCCAAACCGCCATCTTCTGGCTGCCACGGTGTCGACCTGTTCATCAACTCCTCTATGGCCTACGAAGTTGAATTTTTTACGTTACGTTCGGTTGGCTGAACTAACGAGTCGACAGCCGCATGTTGTTGTAAAGTGCTAATTAAAAATTTCATGTCAAAAGTTCAGAGTTTGAACAAAAATGATGTGAAGGTAAATATAATACGGCAAACCAAGGAAGAAGTTGCATTTGTTATAAGATGTTTCCAGGAAGAAGCATAGGTGCAATTATGGTCTAATCTCATTGCCCAGAATACGTAACCCATGTTGTTGAAGGCAGTTGATAAACTGACCATGAAAACTGTGAATATCAATCTTTTCTGGTATCTTCCTAGCTGGCCAATCTCTACCAAGACACTGTCCAAGTCTGTATGTGTATGAAAGTTTTGTTCTAAAAGTAAATTTTATGCGTTTAATATTTTATATCTTGGCAACTTTGCTGAGGCATTGAATTAAAGACTTAAGAAATTTGAAGTAAGGTATAGAAAAATCAAATAGCAAAAATAATTACTTTCATATGTTTTTTCATTACTCTTTTTAAATTTTTTTTTAATGTTTTCGACATCTTCATCATCATTATTGTTATCTTCGTCATCTTCGCGGACACACTTCGTTTCATTCATGGCACAAAAATGTTCAGAAAACAAACAGCAGCCAATTAATATACAAACTTGTTAAATGAGGAATGAGCTTAAGTTAGGATCACCAAATTACTCATTTTCGTTTCGTTACTAAACGTTACTGACTGCTATTTATGTAAAATATCAAATACTAGCTTATGTGTTTGTTTATTGTATATGAATATATATATATATATATATATATATATATATAGATAGAGAGAGAGAGAGAGAGAGAGAGAGAGAGCGTGTGACTGTGTCATCATTATACGTCAAAGTCTATCTATCACTTCTAATTAATAATGTTCTGCATGAATATCGTGTTTCATATAACGTGGAATATTCATTTAGAATGCTGCCGAATTTTTAGTTCTCAGCTGTTTATCACATTTCAATCCTAGCTATACAACATCTTTCAATTGTGTTTACAACCAGTTTTCATGTTTCGACAACCCTTATTATCAATACAACCCGCTTGGCTGACTCGCACACCTCGACGTTCATGAAAATGTTCATTTGTTGAAGTTTCAATGTTCTTCAATAAATAGAAAAGGTCTTATACTTTTGAATTAATAAGTGCACAATTAAGAACGACTTCCACTGTCTTTATTGATATCGATAGGTTCAGTGGCAGATCTAGGAGAAGGGGGCCGGAGTAGCCAGTGCCCCAACCGTTGCGAGCATTATTTGTGTTAAAAGTTAGAAAAATTTGTTGTTTTGACGAAAAAAGTAGTGTTTTTTTGAAAAAAAAATGGACATTATAAGCCCCCAAAAAGGTCGAAAGTAAAATTCTGACCCCATTTCCAGAAAATTTGGCCACCCCGTGAAAAAGTTAGCTCCCTCCTGTGAAAATTGAAACATTTCCCAAAAAAATTTGTGAAAATTTTTCTTCTTCCCATTCATCACAGCTTTTATTAAACCCCTCCCCGCTGTTGTCAAGTAAATTTGTTGGAAAACTCGAAAATTTCTCTTCCCGGTCGTAAAATATTTTGTTTTAAATCTTGGCCTCTCTGTCAAAGTTGTCTAATTCGGCCACTGTGTACGTGTATGATTGCGTTAATATATACGTGTGCGGGTTTGTTTCTGGACCTGGATACAAAGTATGTATGTTGTATATCTTTATGTATGTAGTCTATGTATCTGTGAATCTGTATGTCTGTGTATGTATATGCCTATGTGTATGAATCTATGTGTGTACGTACGTTACAGGCATGTCAATCGTAATTATGAGCTATATTGACCAATAAAGACCAAAGGCTTAAAGGTAGCCTATTAGAGCTAAAACGCCGTGAAACTGCTGAAGAATAAGAAGAAGAATTATATTAGGAATTTCTCTTTTGTTTGCTTTGTAAGTGGTCGCTCTTCATTTGATGTTTTTTATTAGTTTGTGTATTGACTCACTAAGTTGCCAGGTTAATAAATTCGTGTCTATTGATCTTTTTGTTTTTTGAAAATTTTTCACTCATTATATATCAATTTAACATTTACGATGTTCTCAAGAGAGATTAAATCATCATCGGATATGTGTTACAATAAATAATTCGTTCACTAAAACTACGAAACCAAAATAATCGGCATAAATCTTTAAAAATTACAATGTGTCAAACAAAAAATTTGATTTCAAAATGTTGTTTTTCATTTCAGAAACTGTGGACTTCTCATCCTTGTAAAAGTTGAAACATTTATTCGCCAACTCTGGAAGGCACCAGAAGGACGGGGATGGATGAATATCTTGAGATATATTCGGCCACCATGCCTCTTTTCACTGATTTGCTGCTTGATTCGCCAGCCCCCTTGCAGCCACAAACAACCAGGTCGGCATTCTCCTCAGAAGCAATTTTCAAAATGCCTTCTCCCACATTTTTCATTGCTTCTGCTCGCACTTTGTGTTTCATCTTTTAATGAAGTTTGATTGTTTTTATTAAAAAGATTGTTTAAATAATATGTTTTAATAAGAAAAATCCTATTTAGTAATTGTCTTAAAGAAAGTAAGCTCCAGTAGTATTATGGAAAAAAGTAACTCATCTAGCTCAAACACCATCCAACTATTAACTCATTAACTACATGGTCTAAACGAAGCAATCTTTCACTTAATCTCAATAAATCATTTGAACTCATTATTCATAATAGCCGTAAAAAAATAACATTACCTCCTGAACACCCATCAATTACTCGCACAAATCAACTAAAATTATTAGGCATCACATTCACCTCCACGCTCAATATAGCACCTCATATCAATTACATCATCACAAAAGGCTTTCAAACATTTCACGCACTCAAAACACTCCGTTCACATGGTCTCAGAGGCATCAAATTATTCGACATCACCGAATCACTCATCATCTCACGCATCAAATATGCAGCTCCCTCCTGGTCTGGTTTTGCCACGCAACAACAACTTCAGCAGCTACAATCTCTCATCAAAAAATTAATTCGCTTCAACTACCTACCTGCATCATATCCTACCATCACTCAGATATTCAACACACTCGATTCAAGGCTGTTCAAGAAAATAGAAAATAACAACCACGTCATCCATCCTCTACTACCACCAATCAAAACTACAACACACAACCTTCGTCAGCGCAAACATAAATATCAAGTCGCCGCCCAATCTACATACCAGGAAAAGACCTTCATCACAAGACACCTCAAACATATTAGCACTTGAGAAAACTTCATCATTACTGAACTAGTTTTTACTTATTGATCACCTCACTTTTATCGATCACCTCACTAACTCACTAAGTCATCATTTAGTCTATTAATAAGTCACCAAATATATTAATACTCATTAAACTTTTTCACACACAGGCCTAGCCTTTATCTATCGATCACCTCACTAACCCACTAAGTCATCATCTAGTCTATCAATTTGCCGTTACTTCATTTTATATTCCATCGTCAATTACTTTTCTTTTATTTGTCTTATTATTATTTATTTTATTCTAACATGTTTTATTTTCATGTTTTATCATTTCTCTTCCTCACTTTTTGTATTTATTTTCTCACTTATTTATTTAATTTTGTTTCACTGCCTTGCATGTTGTTACAGTTTCTGCGTCTGTCAGATCCTGATTATTAAAGAATAAAAAAAAACAAAAAAAAAAACTTGTAAATAAGCCGGTTCTGTTAATAAAACGTCGAATCCCTTGAAAATAACCCATAATTGGGCATGATCTCATTCTGAACATGAACATGTACTAAGCACGAACCTGTTCTGAACAGGAACCTATGAACTTACACTAAGCACGAACCCGTTCTTAACATGAACTTACATCAATACTAAGCATGAAGCCGTTCTGAACATGAATCTGACCTTTCGGAGTGTGCAAACAGTCTGATAGTCCTCCTCCAACTTTTTCGTGTTCTGGTTCATCTCTCCCAAAATTTTCCACCATTCATCAATGGGTGGAGCTATGCCGCCTGATTATTTTTAAGATTACTTTATGATTAACGCTATTTTCATAATTATTTCCATGGTTTTTCTATGATTATTCTTAAGTTTAGGAAAACATTTAGCTTATTAGTATCTGATTAATGAATTCATTAATTGATTATTCAATAATTTGAATATGATAATAGAATTCGAACTTTTGAATGAAAATGTAGGCAGTTTCGGAGCTTCGGGACAATGAATGAGGACTACGAAATCGTCGCTCTTCCAAACGTTCATCACAAACCCTTTCAAAATTTATTTTTCAAAAATTGGTTGGTTCATTTTATAGTTGAACAAACAAATAAACACAACAAAAAACACACAGACGACAAAACTGACATTCGAAAGCCTTCCTGGCGTGGTCGCTAGTGTCGACAGCAACGACGACAACCCTGTTAAAAGTTCCGTATATAGATGACCTTCGCCTTGAAGCTCTTCTCTGCGCAATGGCCTCATCAGATTTGTCCAGTAGGACGGGGTCCCACGTTACCCCACCCTCACTCGTACTGCTCGTTCTCTCTTTCGGTGGTGAACTCATTTATCAGGGTGCTGTGGTGTGTGTGTGTGTGTGTGCGTGTGTGTTTGTGTTCGCTAAAAATAATATTAGTGATGATGGTGATTAATAAAGATGAAGATTAAAAAAGATGAAATCAGCTTATAAATGTTCTGATCATTAAATTGTTAAAACATTTTTACCTCTTTTTATAAATACGAATTTTATATCAAATTTGTTTTAGAAAAATAGTAAACTGTTGTAAAAAAAAACCTTTAACTTAGGTCTAAGATTAATAAAGAACAAGTTAAAATTATGATGAATAGAAATCGGTAAGATAGTCAAATTGCAATTGAATTAAATTTATATTAATCTTACAACGAGCCAACTCAAAAATGACGACAATAACATTTTTACTACGAAATAATACTACTTTTATCGACAATTTTCAATGGAACTATTTAATTATTAGTTTTAAAAAGTTAGAATATCATGTTGGCAGCTAATGTGAAAGCATTAAGGTAAAAACTTTTTAAACTATAAACTGCACGCTCTTCAAACGACCACATATAAAAAATGAATGAATGGAGAACGAGTGGATGAATGAATGAAAAGACAAAATGGAAAGATGGTTGGACATATATGACACACATATACTCATAGTCATGGGCATCGATATATTGTGTGTCTATATGAAGAAATGCACAAAATTCAAACAAAATCGAATGTCAACCTTTGCGAATGTTAATTAATGCCTATTAAACATCAAATTATCATCATCTTCGTCCTCACCATCATCGCCATCGTAATTTTATTCAATGTGTAGACTGCCTTAGCAGGCGTATCTAATTAAATTCTCATGCCTAAAAAGGTACCTGTCTATTTTTTCAGCAGTGCTTGTTCGTTCGCCGTTTTGTTAGGTTGCATGTTTGTGTATGTTGTACATACATGTTTGTGTATTGTGTGTATGTTGTACATGTTTGTGTGTAGGTATGTACAAATGTATGTGTATCTCTGAACCAACTGACCTACGATGTGACATGATCCGACCGGGCATAGGCATAGTAACATGATCCTCATCCTGGCCTCATTTTATCGATACGTACATATATGCACAAGGAAAATATTATTGACTTTTTTGGCTTATTCGTGCACATCACTTATGACGTAATAGAAATGTCGTCATCGTTGTTTGCTCACATCATTCTTCAAGTCCTGCTTGATCGGACTCAATAGTGTTTATATCACGATACCTTTGTGTCTAGTTGTCTTACGTGTTGTATATATATAAAACAAATATATAACATATATAACATATAATTCATTAAATATTTATTTATAGCACATTTTATTCTATCTGTGAAGCAATTCAACAACTTGTCAATCATTTAATATAAAACTACAAAATAAAAACTATCAATCATCTCTTTAAGACTGTCTGTTTTATATATGTATATTGTGTAATATTATACAACCAACGAATCAATCAATCAAACAAACAATCAATGAAGGAATGAAGGAATGAATAAATGAGCAAAGTGCTCCTTAGTAGTTAGTCTTGAGGGGAATGATGAGGACTGGTATGTAGGAGTGCCTGCCGACATATTCTGCCACCGTGCCCCTCTTCACCATTCTTGACTCCCCGGTGCCCCTTGACCCGAGGACGATGAGGTCAGCCCGCTCTTCGGCAGCGATGCGCAGGATGCCTTCACCCACGTTCTTCTCTGCCTCTGCCCTCATCTTGTACTTTATCTGGTTGGTTGGTTGGTTGGTTGATTGGTTGGTTGGTTGGTTGGTTGGTTGGTTGGTTGGTTGGTTGGTTGGTTGGTTGGTTGGTTGGTTGGTTGGTTGATTGGTTGGTTTGTCAGTCGGTCGGTCGGTCGGTCGGTCGGTCGGTTCGTATGTTGATTGGGTGAGTTGGGTTGGATTTGGAGTCGTTCTTTCAGTATATAAATGAGTGGAGGAAAGAAAAAATAATTTAAATATTTTCCTCAATGTCAATGCATGTTTCACTAGTCGTTCGTACGCGCAATTTCTCCATTCATTACTTACAAGTCAGGCGTCTGTGTAAGTCTGATGAATTTAGTTCATTCTGCTCATGTTATTTGTATTTACTATCAATAAATAAGCTGTTTACTATCAGATATACATTTCGTAATTTACGAGTATAAAAATTAGTTTTTTCGTAAACTTATTTCGTCAGCTGCCCATCAAAACAGTGCTAAGGAGGACCGTTTGAAATTTGATTTTTAACGATCAATATTAAATAAAGAAAATGAATGATTGGTTAAAATATTTGAAACCTTCTTGCTCTGGCAGGTAATTGAATACTCTTCCTCCAACTTCTGTGAGTTAGAATTCATCTCGTCCATTATTTTTTTCCATTCGTCGATTGGCGGGGACAGGGCGTCTGATTCATATTTGCATTAGTTATGTCTTTCAGTTAATATAAATACATTTATCTCATTGTAATATTGAGTAATTTTTAAACTGCTTTACAACGGTCTCCTCCGAGCGCTGAGTCGTTTTGTACCTTCGGCGACATTCATAAAATTGAAAAAATAAATAATATTGTTTAAATCAGAAGAATGCATTCTCAAAGCTCTCTGCAATGAAAGGTTCAACAATTATTAAAAAAGACAAAAAAGGAAATAAACTTTTGAATGAAAATGAAGGAAATCTCGGAGTTTCAGGACAATGGACAAATACTACCAGGTCATCTGCTTTCCAAATTTGCATCACGTACCCTGTTTGAAAATATTCATTCATTCATTCATTCATTCATTCATTCATTCATTCATTCATTCATTCAATCATTCATTCATTCATTCATTCACTCATTTATTGAATTCGACTTAAAACTTTTGGTCAAACCCGATTTATTTCTATTTATTTCGAATTTGATCCGAATATTTCATAACGAAATTAAATTTAATTGAAAATTTGCCGACGAACAATCGAAAGCTCTCCTCGAGTAGTCACTGGAGTCGATGGCGATGACGACGACACGCGTGAACGAGCCATAACTTGATTTCCTCCTTTTCGGTTCTTCAAGAAGTGCCGGATTCAAGGCAGACATTTCTTTTTGCCAATTTATTTTGATGGTTCAAATGAAAAACTGTTTATATACTATATTCGGTGTTTGAATTTTAATTTAGACTCTTTTATATTTGTACAATTAAGATTAAAATGAACTGAAATTCTTTCAATTTACGATCAGTTTCTAAACTTTACCAAAGTTGAAAAATTTTAAAAGCCTTAAAGTTGTAAGCGTATGAATATGATTATCCACGGATATTATTCATTTCATGTTGCTTATATATTTCCTTACTTATATTTACATGTAAGTTTTTAAATTATCTCTCTTAACATACGAAACATATATCTTAGACAATAATAAACCTTTTAACGTTTTAATCTTTCAACAAACAAACTTCAATTATCAACTGACTTGAAAAACACACACGCACAAAATCACATCACAGAAATTTACTCAAGATTATATTACATGAGAATTCTAAGTTACAGTTTACTACGAAGGCAAACATAGAAATGTACATCGTAGATATCAACAAACAAGCAGCTAGATATAATATGAAGTAGCCATAAATTTAAATTCAACTGCGAATCTTGATAAAGAAATATTTTCAAGTATGTCGCATGCGTTGAAGTTCATCGAAGTTTCATATCGTTAAGGTATGTTTTATAGAAATTTATTTCTCCGTGAGTATTCAACAAATACTTACAGCGGTCTTGCAGAGTTAACCGCCAACAGTACTGACTTCAACGATCTTTCCGTGAAAGTCATCATTAGGATATCATCAAATTAGGAAAATTTGTTTAATATCCTAGCAACTTCGTTGATATGAGCATGCTTGGTGGCAAATATTAAATGTAAAGAGATTTTACAGGCAATAAATATTGTGAGCAGACTGCATCGCTGTTGACAAAACAAAGTCCAACATGAATTTCGAGTGTTTGAGAATGTGAGAGATCACTTGCATATAAACTGGTGCGCGTACATTAAGTACGAGCAAACACGTGCATTCATACATATAGGCTACCACTCTATACATAGTCCATATGCGCAGGTTCATTTTACCTTCACGTCACCTTCAAATACAGCAAAGTCAAACTCTCTCGTCTGTCTGCACACTTTAATGACATTTATTCGCTCGTATGTATCTTCTTCGCTCTTACTTTTTAAATAAAACAACGCAATACGTTAAACATCAGCGGTCACCAACCAACATATCAAATGCGTTTTTAACCGAAAATATTTTGAAGTGAATTGTATAGACGCTTAAAACCAAACTAATCATTTGAAAAACCAAACCAATCATTTTAAATGTGCTTTTTTTCATCGCACAATGAAACATACTTTGAAGTCTAAGTAGTAATGCAAGTCAAATAGGAATCAACCGCGTTAATGTACACGAAAAATGAACGAAAAACGATATACGCCTAAAATTAAAAGGACTAATGAACCCAACTGCAAAGGAACGAATAAAAGAAAAATTAAATGAGTGAAAGTAAGAGCAACATTAAACATTGGCGACTAGATTATAATTGCATGGGACGAGTAGAACCGGTATGTTGGACCGCTTGAGAATTGATTCGGCAACATCCCCCCTGCCTTTGAAGAAGTTTCCTGTCCCTTTTGAACCGCAGACGATCATGCTCGCATTCTCCCTCTCAGCCTGACTTGTTATCATCTCACCAACGTTCTTGCCGAATTCGAAGACCATTTTGAAGTTTATCTGGCGCGTAGTTTCAAATTGAATGGAAAATGATTAGAGAAGATTTTGAAATCTATTGAGTACACATGATTTAAACAATAAGTACAATCAGGAAATTGAAGAATAAAACTTTAATGATGAACCTTTTTCAAAGTGCAGAGAACGGTGTAAGCATTTTCAATATCTCGAATCTCTTTGTTTGCAGAGTCCATTATATCCTTCCATTCCTTAAGTGGAGGTGTCAGTGGGCCTGGAAGGGTTTCAATTCGTACCGAGGAATTCTACTTAGTTTAAAATTAGAGCTTGAATCAACGGCTCAAATATGAATTAAATGCTCATAAATTCGATCGATCAATGATCAATCTTATATTTGAAAATATGTTGCAGCTTGCTTTGAAGCCAAATAAATATTTAAAAAAGTATTAGAAAACTAACAAACTTCTTTAAATTGCCAATGTAATATAATATCGACTATGGATCGAATAATTGAATATATCTGACTTGAGAATGAGATGGTCGGAAGTTTTGGATTTGAGGTGCAGTGGATGAAGAAGACCAAATCATCCGGAAACCTCACGTTCAGTAAGTAATCTTTCGTTTGGAATCAAGCAATCCATTAAAAACATGCGTTCAAGATATATATATATATATATATATATACATATTCATCACCGGGCAAACTACGTGTAATGTTATTCACCCATCACCATCAATTTATGAGCAAATATGTGTTACTCTACCAATGTGAGCATTCTAAAAATATGAAAAAGAGAAAATATTTTCTAACATTCGAAAGCTCTCTTCGCGTAATCACTGGCGTCGACAGCAACTGCGACCACTCGCTTGTAACTGCCAGACAGTCTGCCCGCCTGCTGTTGGCTGCCAGACTGTCTGCCCGCCTGCTGTTGGCTGCTGGCGTCAGGTTCTGGAAGGTCGTTGAGGACGAGGGGGTTCCAACTGTGCAGCTGTCTGCTCGAGTCTTCCTTCCTGCCACGTGGTCGGTTGGATGGACAATTTTTGATTTATATACAAATGTTCTAAGAATTATACCATTGGTTTGGCCATTTAAATTTTCAACTAAACATTTACTAACACAATAATGAGAGCATCATAATTTTTAAACACATGACAGTCCACAAATAGGCATTCAATTCCCAACTAACTGCCAACATTTTGAAGACTAACCCTGTCTGCTTCGAAAGCGAAAATTTTTTCATTAAAAAACTTAGTAGATTTTGAAAAATTTAAACGAAAAAAGATTGTAACTGGAATGTTCTTAACGAATTTTCATTAGAAAGCCATAACTCTCAGTGTTTCAATCCTTATATCCCATCACCATTCTACAGGCTTATCAACTTGAGCAAAACAATCAACATCATCGTCGTTTAATAGAACGCGATGATGAATAAATAATTGAATCAATATTTTTGTTTATATATTAAACTCGCCAACGTCATCTTTCGCATAAATTGAAACTTTCTAAAAACTCCAAACCTCTATAAAAACTTCTTAAATATAATTGGAATGAAAATTATGAATAGCTGAAAAGATGAACACATGCTTATGCGAACACATACGAAGAAGGAACAATCAGAAATATACAATTGAGAGAATTCTTTTCGGAGTTTCAAATATCGAATCATTGAAATGAAAATATTTTAGCATAGCAAGCAGTCGTTGAACTATTGAATTCATTGATATGAAAGTTAAAATGTTGAATAGAACAGATGGATAAAGAATATATGAATTAATGAATGAACGAACAAACAAATGATTGAATCTGATGTATCAGGAATGACAAAATGCAAACGAATTACAAAATGTGAACAGTATTATAAGTTTCGATGAAAATAAGTTCAAATTTATATTTTGAAATTGAATTAAGTCATTTAGAAAGATAAGCGGCACGTAGATGAATACCTAATGTTAGAAGATTTAAAGCCCTTAAAATACCCGTTAAAATATAGATCAAAGATTAAGACACCTAACTCATACATACATATGTGATTTGATATACATATATATACATATATTTATTTCCCTATACATTAATATTAGCACCAGCATAACCATCATGACGTTTTGATTAAAATTTCTTCTGAAAGTCCCAACAACCCATCTACACCATCCATCATCATCATCATCACTTTTTCATCATCATCATCATTACCACTATCATAATTTTTCTTCGTCATCATCATCATACTCTCGTCGCCAGCATCAACCATCTCCCTTAAGACCATCTTGCTCTTCCTATTCAGACAGATTTTTTGCTTGCAATTGTTCTTCGTTTTGTTACGAGTGATGTTCTTCCCATGATCTTCAAATGAAGTAAAATTGCCGGAAAAGTTTGTTTCATTCCCGACTCCACCACCACCACCATCATCATCATCTTCTTCTTTTGCCATCTTTGATAGTTGCACTAATGTTGTGGCAGCATCATACTCAACTGTGTGATGATGATGATGTGACGATGATGATGATGTAATAAGATGATGATGATGATGTGATGATGGAAGTGTGATGGAGATTTAATAAAAAAAAACCTTTATTAGAGATCTGACGCATTTTTCCATCTTGAACGTCAGTGCCATTGCAAACATCAACACAATCGTCATCTACGCCTTCCTTATGGCATTCACGCTTCGACTGACGATGATTATCATTAATGACGTCACAGAAATTGGTCTTTAGTTGTACCTTTCCCCAGCTGTTGATGTAACTGCTGCTGTTGATGTGTGGATGGAATGACAAGCAGCTGACAGCTCTGACGAGTTCTGAATGGCACCTCTCGTCAACACACCACTGAGACTTCTTACCCTTTTGTGTCAGTCAACAAAAATGAAAAAAATTAAATAACCATTCAAACTTTTAAAAGTTCAATTAAGGAATATTTTAAAAAATTTCCAAAGACAACGTCAACACCAACATCCTCAACAACAACATCATCAACAAAAACTCCAGTAAGAACATCAAGAACGACCTCAATACCAATCTTCTTGAAGCACTTATTGAGTGACAAATTATGCCTAATTGAATTCTTCCATCCCGATCTGACCATTCGAAAGTATGGAAAGTTATCGAGGACCCAGTCATAAATTTTTTTAACGGGCAATTTTTTATGAACTGAACTTTCTATGGCCATAAAAATGATGATGGTGAATGAGAATGGAGGTTTGTTTTCACTCATCATCTTCTTATTCATCGTCACATCATAATCATCATCCTTCACATTTTTTCTCTTTTTTTCAAGATGTATGCCTGAGGGCATGTAGTTATTTCGTTTTTGTTGTTGCCGATGTAGTTGTTGACGAATTTTATAGCTGTTCAAAACGTGGTTAGTTAACTCTCTAAAATTTCTCAATTGACTTTTCACTTTGCCGTGACTGATGTTGTTGCGATGTTGTTGATGATGTATTTGTTGGTCTAGTTGGTGTCGTGCATTTTGTGACCTGTTGATGTTTCTAAGAAGGTTAGCATCTTGCAGCCATGATAAGTTTGTGAGGTCATCATCCAAGAAGTTGTTGTCCTGGTTCATCTCGATGTTGTTGTTGTCCTGGTTCTTTGATTATTCCATCACTGAATTAAAGTAATAATTAGAGAATGAATAATGAACTAGAACAACAATATCATCATCATCAACATCGTCACCATTAACATCAACAACAACAGCAACAACACCCACAACAACAACAACTCTAATTATAAGATGATGTTCTGCCTCAGACGAAATAATTAATGAAATTCAATCTACAATGAAGAAGATGCAACTGAAATAGTAATTGTGATGATGAAGACGACGACGATGAAGACGATTATGAAGACGACGACGATGAAGACGATTATGAAGACGACGACGATGAAGACAACGAGAACATGTGTTCGTTCCTCAATATTTTCCCACAGTGATTGCATTGAAAGTGATGTTGTAAAACTTTTATCATATGTACTTGATGCATTTCAAGATGTTGTTCATTATGATGACGATGATGGCCGTAAAAATAATGATGATGATGTTTATTTGTTCATTCATCCAATTATCGTTCTTTCATTTGAACAACCTTTCATTCACTCATTCTTCCAACCAACCGACCAACCGACCAACCAACCGACCAACCAACCGACCAACCAACCAACCAACCAACCAACAAACCGACCAACCAACCAACAAACCGACCAACCGAAGCAACAAGCAGACAGACAGAAGTATTGAAGAAATTATTTACAAGCAAACAGTGCAAAGAGCAGAAACTTTCATTTCATTGGAATTTTTATTGAATCAAATGTTTGCTCGCCAGGAATGCATGAAAATTCTTTCTTTTTTTAATTGAATAATAAAAAATTTCTTCAAAACCCCATTTAACTTTAAATTTATTTTCAATCCAAATGAACAGCAAATCTTAAACGACAAAAGAGTGAATGCAGTTCTTAACCTTAATATAAAATCTCAGGGATCATCATCAACACAAACATCTTCGTCCTCGTCATCATCAAAAACCTGATATTGATGTACAGAAAGTATATTACACAATGCCAACATGCATTATTCGCACTCTGCACTTTCAAAATCATCATCATCATCATCACCACCATCATCTTATTCTCCATCATTATCATCACTGTCTCCATCGTTATCATGACAACTCATGACTAACAAAAGCTTTTGTTAGCTAGCACCTCGTCACCATGGTAACAACTTCATTCAACCATTCTTCCATTATTCAATTGTTTGAGTGTGTGTGTGATGCTGTGTGTGTGTGCCTTGCAAAGCGTTATATCAAATTAAATGCTCGTCTCTGGAGCTGGTGAATGAGTGTGTGCATTCATAAATGACAATTCAGCGTCTGTATACTGATACTCTGTCTAGCATGTCTTCTTGCATTATATTATATGAGCCAGGTAGTGCAGTGGTGAATGTATGACACACCTGTACATATAGATATCTGTTTGTATGTGTGTGCGTACGTTTGTATGTGTATATATATGTATGTATGTGTGTTTGTATTTGTGTATGTTTGCCAAACATTGTTTGGGCATATTGCAGGCTTGAGTAATTTGTATGGTTTGTGCGTGCAGGTTGATGTATTTGTATAATAATACATATATTAATTAATTGTTATAATTAATTAAATATTAAGCCTGCAGTTTATAATTATAAATATTATATATATATAATTTTTATAAAATAAATTAAATTACCATGGCAACATGATTACACAGTATCATTTCTCTATTACCATTGTATTGAATTTAAAAAAATAATTATTCTTTAAAAGTTTAAATGAAAAAAAAAATTATTTCATGAAAAATGTCAAATGTCCTAACTCCCAGTCCTAACTAATCCAATCCCTAACTTTTTAATAACTTATCTAACTAACTAACTAAATTCAAACGACTACTAGTCCTAGAAAACCTTAAAATTAAATTAAAAGTAAAAAACATGGCATTGGAAGAGAAGTTTCCGTGTGAAATAAACTGAAGGCGTTTGAAATTCAAAATTATTTTATGAAATATCCTTCATTCAACAAGTTTTGAACGCGAATTCATAACGAACCAACCGAGAAAAAGTTTAATTGCGGACAGCAAAAAAAATTAGGAACTTTAGTGGAAATATTCAAGCGTACCCGCGCTAAAAACATTAAATAGCTCATAAAATAAAGCAACCAGTGAGTTATAAGTATAGAATTAACTTGCGTGATCGTAATATTTTATTCTATAGGGCATGTTTGTCTCATGTTTAGCATTGCATGCTTAGCATGTGAATTATTTTAAATTGAAAAATTTAAGTTTCAGTGTTTATAGTAATGTTTGAGCTAATTTTAGTCAAATAATTTTTTCAAAGTATTTTCAAATGAAGCTCTGCGTCATGTCTGTTTATAAACAAAGTAATCGATCAATATATCCATCTGCCACGAAAACATCAACCAATTCACTGAATAACAGTATGAATTGAGAACAAGAACGCGAAACAAACATTCGAGGACGTTTTTTAAATTAAATAAATAACATCAATGAAAAGAAACTAACTATAAATTCAACAATTCTCATTTTATACAAAATAAACAACAAGCAATTAAAAAATTTGAACAAAAAAATAAAACAACATATCAGTCATAATTAGTTAAACATGAACCATGCAAACTGATTTAACTCTTGGTATGTGCGGCCTTCGAGGTCCTAGGTATCAACTTTCAAACACAAAATTGATTTCATTTAATTCCTCAAAATAATGATCAAAAGTAAAAATTTCGAAAATATTAAATTTGCATCAGCTAAATTTAAACAAAACAACTTTATTCCGATTCGACCAGCCAAACAGAACAATCTTTCGTCACCAGAAGGAACTTCTCAACCGCTGAATCAGTTAAGCAATCAAAACAATCAAGCAGATAAGGAGAGTGAAGAAAAAGAGAAGGTGCCTAAAAATGAGCAAACTTTAAAAAATTTCAAAAAAGATACTTTTGCGAACTGTTCATCAAAGAAAGATCATATCAAAATAAATACTGAATCGGCCAAAACAAATGTAAATTCTATTCAGCCAAACCATACTACAAAAAGTGTAACAAATTCACCGAACAAACGTAATGAAAATACGACAACCAAAATTGGAAGAATAAACTATTCGGTTATTGCAAAGCAACCTCCATTTTTTAACAAGCAATTACTGAAACCAGAAAAAAAAACAGTTGATAAAAAGTCTCCAATCATTGAAGAATGCACATCTGTGAAAGACCAGTGTAAAGCATCCGAACGTCAAATCAAGCCATCAATAAAAACATCAAAAAATGAAATTGACGAGAAAAGAATTTCTTCCTCCCCCTCCTCAAAAAATTCTTCCCCCTCCTCCTCAAACCACGTCATTCAAATTTTTAATTCAACAAGCCAGGAAACTGAAGCAAAAGATTCACCCAACTGCAACTCCAGTTGTCAAATCATGCCATCTAATGACACACCGAAAATAAAAATTTGCTCCAAACATTGTAGTCGGAAAGATTCAAGAGGCAGTTTGAAAAATAATTCAAGTGAAGAATCGTTCCCAGTTAACAGAATTAAACCAAAGAAAAAAGTATCAATAAAAAGTTCTGTTCAACCTAAAAAAAGTGAATCAATTACATCAATTTCCTCAGCTTCTATAATTGACTTGGTTTCTGGATTGAATGAACAAAGTCCTGATGGCATCAAACGTTACACATATTCTTCACCGAAAGTCAGAAAATTGGAGCAGCTTAACAAAGCTAAAGAAAAAATAAATAGACTGTTGCTAAAAAAGTCTTACGAATCAGATGAAATTAAATACAAGAAGTGTTTCAGTCCCAACATTAACAACTGCCAAAAGGATAGCAACGATGAAAATCTGACTTTAAATAGATTGAAGGAAGGCAAAATATGCTGCGATGATAATCTGAGTTTTGTTCCAGAAGCTCCTTCCAAAGCTCGTAAACAAAGGCCAAAACATGATCCATATAACTTTTATCTTCATTTTCAACGAAAAGAAAAACTAAAAAAAAAGAACATAAACGAGGAAGAGAATATACCAGATGTCGAAGATCAAAGTTCCTCTGACGTCGATGAAGAAATGAACGAACCAATGGTTGTTACCAAAAGACATTCACGTCGCAATGAATCAGTAAATAATTCTTATGATTTCAACAAGAGAAAATTTGCCTCAGATGATTCAATTTATTACGATGTTGATGAAGGAAAGAGTAGCAACAACAGTAGTCTTAGACCTCCATCGAAAGGTTTGAAGAGGGTATCGTATGCGTCGTTTCGCGAACCTTCCCCACCAAGAAGGAGGAGAAAACGTAGTTTATCTTCAACTGCCTCAATTAATCGAATTAGAAAGTTAGAAAATAGACAACTGAAAAGGAAATTGAATCGACTGAGAAGACTGAAAGCACGGCGAAGTATATCAAAATTAACGCGGATATCACGACTGTCACGTCTATCGCAAGTTCCGTCATCGCTGAAAACAATCAACTCTGAACTTATTAGAAGAGCGAGGAGTAGAGATCGGCGTAGAAATATGCAAGTTAGGAAATTAAGTGCCATGCTGACAAATATGAGAAACAAGCAAAGGCGCAATTCTAACAGAAGAATTTTTAGAGAATTGGAACAAATAATGCAAAAATTAGATGAAAGGCAACATGAAAGGTACAACGAACATCTACGAAACAAAATGATGAAGAGTGAAAGTCAAACAGCCAGTGTATTATCTGATATAAAAAGCGTCTTAAATAAATTATTGGTAAAAAGTTCTGAAAAAAAATCGACAGCAAAGTCTTCTTCTTCAAGCGCTGAATTAGGTAACATTTTGAAACATTTACTCGATAGAAGCATCAACGCTAAGCGAGAAGAAAGTCACAGTCGCACTCGCGAAGACGCAAAAGCAGCTATGAAGAAACTAATAACAAAAATAACGCATAAAGTCGTTTCGAGAATGGAACAGAGGAATAAAAATTTGCCTGGTCCACAAAAAGAAATTGACCCGAACAAGATTTTGAAAGCCGCAAAAGCCGTCCAAAAGCATTTAAAATCCTTCATGATGCAGAGGAGAGGTCGCGTTGACGATCTCTTTAGTGATTACGGACGCGGACCTTCGAGAAATAGCCTAGACGAACTTTTTTTGAACGCCTACAACCGAGGCTTGTACCAGAGAGGATTGAACGAACAATTGAGACCAATCATGCAGGTCCCGTACTCAATGGCGGCTCCTCCTCCAGCGTCCGTTCACATGCCTCCTGCTCCCGTTCACATTCCGGTTATTCCATCGTACGCACATCATAGGCCAGTTCTCACGGAGGGTGATCTTCTTTATGCTAACCCATCGAGGTTCATTCTATTGTTTTTTATTCAATTTTATTATTCATTCTATCATCTAACGTTCACTTCCGATTTGTTCCCGTTTTTTATTTATCGATTCACAATTCATAGTTTAACATCAAACTGTCCACAGCAATACTTATGAATGATGCATAATGACAGATATCCTAGAAAATGACAACTATTGCTTTAGCATTTAAAAAAATTTTTGGAAGCATATTTGAAATAATAAGCATTTAAATTTAAATCACAAGTATTCATTTATTTCGTTTGTTAGAGATTCAAGTAGAAAAAGTGGCTATAGAGGCATGAATTACCCAAACTTTAGTTCTGTAAGTCATTTATATTTTATTTAATTTCTATTCGTTCTAGGTTGTATTATTAAGAAAAATAGAATCAGGTGACCATTACAAGTCTTTATCAGATCTAAGAAAGAGTAGGTATTCCATTTATTTTGCCTTCGTACGTTTATAATTTTAAAATAAACATTTTTTTTATATTTAGACAATTTTTCTCATTAAATTGAAAACTTTCATGACACGTCATGTTCGCCTGATTTTATTATTAACAGTTTTTAACACTTATATTAACAATGTAATGATTATTATCGCACGAGCCATGACTATTATTTAATTGCTACATATAATCACAAAACAGGTTCACTCCTTGCCTCACTGGCGCAGACCTTCCTTGTTTTCTCAGAAGTATCTGATTCCGAGACTGGCCCCCCCTCGACCTCTTCCTCTACTAAAAGCTTCCAGACATCCAATTCTCTCTGCTTCTTGTCTCAGAAATTTGAGATCACCACTTTTGAAACGTCGAATTTAAATAATTTAATTTTTGTAGACTTGTTAGCACTGTAGCTCTGTCTTTAACCTATAGTTTATGACTTAAATATTATTTGTTTGCAGTTGTGTAAAGATTTACCACTCTACCTTTATACACATTTGATGATCTTAGAATGAACTCATATAGGTAATACACGTAAGATTTTGAATGTACATTATCATATCTTAACTTTAATGGAAACGTGAAAATAAAATTGTAAAGTTCAGATTATTTGTTTTGACAACTTTGACTGTAAAATGATGAATGATTTTCAATAAAAAAGTTTTGATATGTGTTTAACCAGATGTATGTAATATAAATATGTACTTGTAATTGACATGTACACCTATATAACATTTTTATTTCATTTTATTTGAAATTTACAGATTTTTTGCATATTTCTTTGAGCAGTAAAGGCAAATAAATTAACAAAATAGATAAAAATGAAACAAAAACTCTTACAAAGGATCTCACTGAAGCTAATTTTATAGGCATTAATAAGAGCCACCATGTAAAAAGTAAATTTCGAAACTTATCGCCATCTATCAAAACCAAAAGGAGCTAATAAGATTTTGCCAGTTAGTTGAACCCCCCCGATAAATACAGATGTTGAAAAATGTTCGAAACAAGTTCTCGTAATTTTTTCAGAATATCGAGAAATGTACCGCAAATAACCCACATTATTAAGGTAGCAAATTAAATTGCTTTTTTTGTTTTGTATGAATTTTGCTTTTTTGTGTCTTTTTGATTTTTATTTTCTTTCAAAAGTGTAAACTGAAAAATGTGCCATGATTAGTTAGCATTGATTATAAATAATAATCAAACAAATGAATGCTTAATAATAAGTAAAGTAAGTACAGTAGTTTGTTTAATAATTAATTTACATTTTTTGGTTTGTCGTTTTTTTTGATGTTTTGGTGATGTTGTTGGCAAGTTTTATATAAAATATTATAAATCTTTAATAATCAAATAATCATAATGTTATTACAATTACACTAATTACTGTTAGTAGTTTAGTCTGGTTAGTTTAGTGTTAATCAAAGATTTGTATTACTTGTTACTTATCAACCAATATTTAATATTGAATAATTAATTTTATTAAAAAGTTGTCAGTGAATGCCACAGCCAGACCTCTTCCAAGAATAACCATCCCTCATCAAATCGTTCAATCTTTAGAAAAGGCCAAGTATAAAAACCTTTTAAAAGACATCAAATCAAAACCAGTGTATGACAAGAGTCAGAGTAATCTTATAATATTATGCAGAAGGTTTAATTGTTTTATAATAATTTCATTTTTAAATGGATAAAATATACATAGATAGTTTTTTTTGCATCATCCTATAATAATCATATAATTTTATTTATTATTATTACAACATCATTATAAAGGACAGAGTTCAATCACTACAGAGGTCAAACATACACCAATTTCACACCCGAGTGTTTGGCCTCACGGGGATGGAAAAGCAAGAAGTCAAAAGGAGATTACATAATTATCAATCCCAGACAAGGGGTAAGTTGGTTACTTTAAAATTAAAAGTATGATTATTAAAAGAAATGATTATTTTAGTTTTTGTTATCACTTGTATAGCCTAATATTTTAATTGTAAAATAATTTGATATTGTAATTTCATGTTTATATTAATTTTATGGTTCAATATCTTTTTTTTTAAATTATAGCTGCCAGCATTTGCAGATGAAGATTTGCCTTCATTCACTGATTTGAAATTATCAACCAGTCTCATTAATGTTTTGAAGGAATACCAAATCATTCAGCCCACAGTTGTTCAGGTTTTTATGCTTTCCAATTTGCAAAATATTATGGTGTCATTTTCTACAACCACATTAAATATTATTTATTTGAAATGTTATTTAATTATTTAATTTAAAACAGTCCAAAGTGATTCCACTGTTGGAAAGTGGTAGAAGTGTTCTGTGCGCTGCTGAGACAGGTGTTTTGCAACATTGCTGTTTTTTATCTAACTTTTGAATGTTCAAAAAGTGAATTTTAATTGTAAAAGAATAAAATTAAAAATATGTTTGTGTTAAAACCTTCAGGGAATGGAAAAACATTGGCCTACCTGCTGCCGATCATTGAACGAATTTTAAAACTAAATAAACTAAATAAACAAAATTCAACAACAACTAACAACAATGGTGATGTTGATGACATTACAAGGATGAGAAAAAGATTAAACAGTCCAGTTGCTGTTATCATTGCACCATCTCGAGAACTTGCAGACCAGATATATGTCAATTTTTTTTTATGTTTTAGATTTCAATAGCTGGATGATTCAATTATATTTTGTCGATATTTGAGAATGAAAATAACACATCATCACATTACATTTTCACATTACATTATCATCATCACAGTCAGTTGCAAGAGATATTTCATCATCTTTGGATGTCAGAGTTGATGTTAAGTGTGGGGGAAGAAGAACACAGGTTGATTGGTTTGCTGATCGGTTTGTTAATGGATTGATTGATTTGCTGATTTACTTTTGATTTGTTTGTGGATTAATTGATCGATTGACTGACTGGCTGGTTAGTTGATTAGTTGGTTGGTTGATCACACACGCGCACACAACTTCACACGTTCACATCACAAACACAATTTTCCACAGTCCATATTGAGAGAGATGCAAGTTAAGCCAGTTGATATCTTAATTGCTACACCTGGAATCTTGTCCAAACTTTTATCTAATAGTAAATAATTGAGACCTTTATATATTTTAATGTTATTAGCAGTTTATTTTTTTAAATTATTCATCTTTTATAATTATTCTGTTTTACTCTTTTGCAAATTTTAATTGATTTTGAAGATGCTTTTCTTATGTTTGACTTTATACTAGATATTTTGTAATTTGTTTGCTATTTACTTCTGTGCTGGAATCGTAAGCAACGCCAACATGTTCGATGTTTCTGCTTTCATTATAATTTTATTACTACTTCATCCTAACATCACACCGTCATCACATTATCATCACATCATCATGCCTTTACAGAGTTTTACAACTTATCTCGTCTGAACACAATTGCATTCGATGAAGCAGACACATTGTTTGACGAAAGTTTCTTAAGCATCATCTTAAACATCGTCAAAAAATTAAAAGTGCATTCTAAATTATTTGTTCTTTCATCATCATTTTTTTTGTTTGTTAATTGTTTGCTTTCAATTTGTTTCTGTTTCTTTATCTCGTTTCAATATGGCAGCCGGAAAATTAAACCTCAAATGAAATAATGTGCCGTATAACACAGGTCTCAACTGAAAAGCCAGTAATAATAAACCCCAGAAACAATGACGACTGTGTTAATGATGATGAAGATGTTGGTAGGGTTGCAAGCAGAAAATTATTGTTAAATGGCGGCTTGCAGGTAGTTTTTGTTGGAGCTACCATGCCTAAAGGTCTCCAGACCAAACTGAATGAAGTTATAGATGTTGGTGTTTTTGATAATTTTTTCTGTTATTTCGTTTACAGATATTATTTACAACTTGCTCTCTTGTTAAAAATTTTAGTTATGAATTTCAAATGTTCAAAAATTTTCTCACCAGATGGAAAGTGTGGAGGTTGTAGTTACGAATTATCTTCATCATATTCTGCCTCATGTTCATCAAAAGTTCGTTAGGTTGGGACCTGCTCAGAAATTAGGTCGTTTCCTCTGTTGTTATTATCATTATTATAACCTATAATAACATTTCTTGTGGTTGTAATTGTAAATTGTAGTTGTCAAGTTACAACTTGTTATTATTTCTACCTTCAGATCACCTGTTGAAGGTCCTAAACGGCAACCTTAACCGGCCTGACCCAATTCCGACCATCGTCTTCTGCAATCAACCTGACACAGTTTCCTATCTGGGTCACATGATGACGTCACGCGGCATCAATCACGTTACCTTACACGCACAAATGCCCCAAATAGTCAGCGTTTGAGATATTTCTGCAGAAATTTTGTTCAATAATTTTCGATAATGATTAAATTTCTTTCACGTTGTAATCGCATTGAAAATTAAACGCTTGTTGAATTGAATTTCAAAGTATTAAAATGAAAAACTTCGTATTTGAGGTGAGGGAAGGTAGGTATGAAACGTTTGCATCGGGTGAATCAAACCTCCTCATCGGCACTGACCTTGCCTCCAGGGGACTCGACACGACTCGTGTGCGCTCACGTTATTTCATTCATTCGCTTTTTTATTTAGATTTTCATAGATTTTAACTAAGATTTCTGTTTTTGATTTAACATGTAAACGTCAAATGCTGGGCAAGAAACTTACAGGTAAAACTTATTATATTAGAAATAAACGTTAATGTCGTCGTCCTCATCTCCTTCCTTCTCATAGGCTCAGCACGTTATCAACTACGATTTCCCACACTTCATATCTGACTACGTGCACAGAGCGGGCAGAGTTGGTCGGGTTGGCAGCCCCCATGGATGTTTCGTGCTCAACTACGTCGTCAGGCTGTGGGATGTGGAGTTGATGTGGAAGATTGAGGTGGGAGTTTGTTTTTCTCTGGAGCAGTTCGTAACAAGGAAGGAATGGTCACCTCGCTGTTATCTATTATTATATCTTATTTTGTATCTTATTGAAACAAAAGGCGGAGCCTGTAAGATGCAAAATATGATTAGATACAATAGAGATCGCCATGCCTTGATTTGTTGTACTAATATTTTTAGTGATTCTTCAGTCAACAAATAATTATATTTTAATTCATTTTTGGTTAAACAATGTTGACTGACTTTATCTATTTTGATCGCTTTATTGAGTTAGTATATTAACTTAAATCGAGTCTCAAATTTTTATATGTTTCTAAATTAACGACTTATCATCATTGCTGCCTAGATTGTTAACTGATTTTTGAGTAGTCGCCTTTGTATCGCTGTAATCATAATATAGGTCAGGTTCATCATTGCGATTCATTGTTTAATTCATTATTCAATTCATAATTCACCACACAATTCATCATATCGTAATTCATTGTATCATAGTTCATCATGTTATAATTCGCCACCAGACTTCAGTACGTCGCCGAACTGAACTTGCAAATGTGAATGCAAACATTAAGAAAAAACTGGTTGGACTTCATTCCCTCAAGATGTCGAAACTTTCCTCTACTGCCTCTCACGGCCCTCATGATATTAATGATAACGATGGTTATGATTTCATATGAAGTGTTATCATTTATTACTAATACCATTACTACAGGCGCCTCTTCAACTACATTTATTTGCTTCTTACCAATTTTGTTCCCAAGAAGTTCTGGCACGATGATGTAAATAATTCTCTGTTGTGTTGTCTTATGCTTATTAATGCTGGTTGCAAATTATTATTAATAGACAAGTAAATGTGTGATTGAACGATGTGATAATTATTTTATTTATGCGCATATACGAACCGAAAAAAATGTCGGTCGGCGTCATCTATTATTTTATTTTATGCCTTCTGACTCCCTGCGCTCGTTCACTCAGACAAACTGCTAAGCCTAGGAAATACAAATCAAAGGATAAGAAACAATTAATGTCGCCGTGATTGACACAAGCGTACATAAATAATCGCGGACTGATAAATTTTCGATGAAACGTCATTTGTTATTATGTAACATCTATGCAAAACATGAATTCATATGATTGGACCGATGCATTAACATCAAGAGCATCGTATGAACGATCGCGAAAATGAAACAAATTCGAAATGTTCCAGCTTTATGAGAATTGAAGGAACTTGCAAGTTGTATGATGAAAATACACCAACGCAAACATCTTCAATCGTTGAACGCTAAAAAACTTTGGCTTGAAAACATCGAAAATAACGAGGCAGCACGAAACAACTTTGCGGTTAAGCAGATAAAAAGCGAATATAACCCCTCCGGGAATTACTTCGAAGTAGAGGAAGATCAAACCGGTGAAAGATTTTCTTCCAGTTGTACATACGATTCAAACGAATATAAAGAGGAAGAGGATCGATCAGAGAGGCATCCAGCTACGGCTCTCAACTTCTCGTACAACAACGTTCGCTACAGAAAACGTTCACAACCCGAAAAAAGTGAGAAGAAATGCCACTACGAGCTTCGTTGTCCCATCTCGTTCCGTATCAGAACGCCGCCGTCGCCCAATAAAAAATTGTACAAATCAGGTTCTCCGCCGTTAGTACGAAAATTGAATTCGACCAAACGACCAGACAAGTCTGGTGCGAGTAGCATGCAACCGCGTCTCATTAGACGCTACAGATATCCCGCAGCTTCGTACGGCCCTCCACGTCCGCCTCGTGCTCCCTGTCCTTATCGACCTTGCAGCCCTCCCTGTGGACCTCCTTGTGTTCCTGGTTGCGTTCCTCCATGTGTCCCCACCTGCGTTCCTCCTTGCATTCCCCCATGTGTTCCTCCTTGTCCACCGTACGTTCCGTGCTGCCCACCGTGCAGTCCCTGCCCACCCCCCTGCGATCCGTTTGATCCCTGCGATCCATGCGACCCTTGCGACGAATGTGATGACTGTTGTTGTCTGCCGAGGTGTGCCTGTCCTTGTCCTCGAAATAGGTTGTTCTGCAACGGAGACGCTCTCGTCTGGCCGCCCCACCCAATGGCTGGAAGAGGTAGAAGATCCTGGTACTGTGATCCGTATGCATGGATGGGTCGAGGAATTTGTTGCGATCCTTATGCCATTTCGGGTCTTAATACGTTCGATGACTTCATGTGCGATTTCGATTTGTAAGTTGACTCTTTTTCATTGGTTTTTTATATCTTTACATTTTGGTTTTTTATATCTTTACATTATATGTTTACGTTACTAAACAACTGTTTGTAATATTATAGATAAATATTTAAGTTAAGATGTAATTATACAAATAAATGAACAGGATGAACTGTGGTTGCTCACCTTTCAAAGGTTATGAGCCAGAGTGTGATGATTGTTCAACCGAACTGACAAATGCATTTCTCGCTCATCAGCTCAGGCAGATAAGAGTGGTGAGTGTCGTTCATTCATCATTCAATCCTACTTTCATTTATTAATTTGTCCAGTCTTTGTTTTGTTTGTTTTTTGATTTAATTCTCCCGATTAACCACACACACGCCCATTCAAGTGGAATATAATTTATTGAATATTCTTATTTATATAAAATCTCTAGAAGTATTCTTCTCTAATACTGATCAGTCATTCGGATTCCATAAATTTTGATAAGATACCGTTAGCCATGTGATGAGTTTTGTCGTAATATCGTTATAAATATTTTCCGATATAAATCAAGCGAATAACTTAAAACATAGATGAAAAACAGATGTCGCAATATAAATTGTTACAAGAAACTTCATTGCATGGATGTCCAATTGACAGGTAGGTTAATAAATCGTTCCTGTACACTTATTAACATTACTCGATAATAATACTCTTATGTTTCAAAAGCGTTAAAATTCGTTACCGTTGTGTGTTTCAGTGGCGTGTTTGTAGCCATTTGTTGTAATAACCACGTGTAATTTTTTAAATGTATCCAACATACGTTATTTAATTATTTTTTATACACTGAAAAATCATTTTAAATAGGAGAATTGACAAAAATTGTGTTATGAGGAAAATATTGCCAACTTGTCATGTAGTTATGTAGGTCGCCTATCAAAAATTTCAAGTTTTTGTCCCTTCGTCGTTTTTAAAAATTAAATTCTTTATCAAGTTATTTAATCAGAAAACTAGTTTAACTTAATTTTTAAATGTAAGTTTTGTAATAGTTCCATCAGTCAAATATATTTTTTACTTCGAATATTTATTAACCTGATTGAAAAATTTTCAGAGCTCATTGACCAAGCTCTCAAAAAGAAAAAAATTCTAGGCAAGAAGGGATCAAAGAAGAAAAAAATGGGAGAGGGCGGATCGCAGACGGGTTCGGAGTTTGAGTTGGATGACCTGAAGAAGAAAATCGCCAAGTACAAACTCAAGTATGAACAGCTGAAGGAGTCTATGGGAGTCAGTGAGAAGCCAGCGGCAGAAGCGAAGCCCGAAGGAACGAATGATGGAATGACTGAATGAAGGAAGAATTAATAAAGGAATATCGGCTCGATTCAGTCAACATCATTTTGAATTACAATAAGAATGGAACCTGCTATGTTTTAATAACCGGAAAACAATCAAAAGACAATAGTCACAGATACTGAACACAAATATAAATAATAGTAATGATAATAATGATGATGATGATGTCATTTGTGCAGCGCCCTATGCATAGCGTCAGAGGCGCCGGATAAGCAAAAAAATGCCAGCAGGGCCGCGAGAGACATGTTCAAAGAGATGCTGTTTCAATCGCTTCTTAAACATTTCTATGGATGATTGATGACAGATGCTGAGTGGCAGACTGTAGATGTAATAAATGAATAGATTAATGTGGATACGAATCTACGTCATTTGTTATTTGTATTTGTTTTTAAAATACATAATGTAAACATGAGTTAATAACAGGTCAGCAATAAAAGCCGATAAAAATTGGAAATAAAAAATTTAAAACAGTCTGCTTTTTGTGAGTCAACAATTTCACAGATTAAAAATTTTTCTCATATTGACTTTTTATTATCACAAATTAATCTCAACAATTTTTATTGATGATCAACACACGGCAAATTTAAAAGTTGAAATAAGAACTATTTTGTGAACCGGACCGCACAGCCTGCATATGAATGTATCCGTACGCTCCATGCATGGGACACATGAATCCCGTGCCTTATATGACCGGTTACTCCTCGGTAACAAATGCTTCTTTCGTTGATTATATCAAAATCAAACCAGTGCATCAATTTCTTCTTATAATGGAATATTTCTAACTAAATAGCCCCAATAAAATAAATTAAACCACGACACGAACGAGCAGCCGTACATGATGCCTCCAATGTACCCTGCCTGTCAGAACGTCTACCCTCGTCCCTGCTATCCCGGAGTCTTCCCACCCATCCTGCCGGGTTATCCACCTTTCATGCTGGCCGACGGAATGGAATGTTCCTGTAGAAGGTGCAATAATGAACCAATTCAAATTCTCGTGACAAACAGCGGAGGCAAGGTGAGGAGCAGGAAACCAAACGTCTTCAAGAACGATCTCATCTGCACCAACAGTTTGAGGTATCGTTATATTGGCGGTATTCTACGCGTGCGTATGCACCATACATGCTGTTCTGTGTCTATCTATTTCATACCATTGTCCGATTCACGAAATTTCAACTTGTTTGTCAGTCATTTTACATTGTAAAAATTGATTCATCGATCAAATTATAAATTATTTCACGAAAAGTTCTTGCGATGTGTGCACAGACTCTTCGAACAAGAACACGATTCGATACAAGGATGGCGTTCCCATCATAACGCCCAAGATAATTATGTCGCAGAAGAAAAAGTTGAAGAGGGTACGTAATCACATAACATATTTATGAATAATTTTAATTTGAAAGATTAAAATAACCAATTGTCGCAAATTTTAATTAATTAATTCATTTGAAAAATACATTTCGATAAAATGTGTGTCAGTTGAAGAGGTTGTGTTCCGACATCGATTGCTACAAACATTTTCATTCTTTGGAAGAACTTATGACAGGTTTAAATGACAAAAAAATATAAATTATTCAATAAATTATTCTTAATCATTTGAAAGGTATTTTAGAAATAATTTATTTGATAAATTTATAAGAATTGTTGAAGAAACGTTCATCAGCGTCTAGATCAACCAAGCATTGCTTTCAATATTAGTTTTGTAGTTAAAGTCTTTTTCATAATCTTCTGATTTGTCGTAATTTTCAATGATATACCTTAAGATTTATAATTTCACTATCACTCTCAGCCATCTTGGCGCAGATGAAATCGACCGGCTGGAAAGGAAAGGTAGTCGATGGTGTACAAAGTTGAAAATATGATTGGTTGATCGATAAATTGATTGTTCGATTGGTTAAATGTTAGTTAGATGTTGGATTAAACAGTTAAATGATTGATAAAATAGCTTACTCAACGATTGGTTCTATCTTCATGACGGAATCATTGATTTATTGAAATATGGATTGATTTGTCGATCCATCGATTGATTTATTGAACAGTTAAACTAATAATTAACGATTGAATTTTAATGATTGCAACGAAACTTTCAGAAAAACCCTCAACCTCAAGACAAAGGTGAGAAGAAAGTTGAGAAGAAGGAAGTTGAAAAGAAGGCATCTGAACCATCTGATCAGGCGTCTGCAACCTCTGCTGATTCAGGTTGAATTTTTTTTATTTTCATAAAAAAAGTATTTATTTATTTATTAGATGTATTAAGTTCTATCAAAAACATTGTTTATTTAATTAATTTAATCACAAGGTAATTATTATTTGCGAATTCTTTGCTGTTGAACAGTTGTGTCACCGTCAAGGATGCCATGTCTGAAATGTTTTGTAAATTATTAACGTATCGAAACTTTTTCAGTGAATAATTATAATGTTTCTATAAATTAACTAATTAATTGATTAATTAATCAATTAATTAATTAATTTTTATTTCTTTATTCATTATAAGGAGCCGTCACAGAGGCGAGTGAAGAATAAAAATAAGCGTGAAAAGTACTTACTGGCTGTTGATGAGATTAATTTCTGCTGTAAACACCACGTTTCAATAAAAATTAATACATATTTGTTTGTTTTTGTTTAAACTTGATTTTATATTATATTATATACCTAATGTAGCTGTCTGTTTTCTCAAAGGAAAGCCATAGTCAATATGTTTTGATATAAAAATATTTTACTTTCAATGGGTCTTGGTAATAAACATCCCCAGAAAAACATCGCCTGAATAAATTTAATTGGAACTAAAACAAACTAAATAAATAATTAATAATTGATAATTGTAACGTTTATTATCAACAAAAAACAATTTCGATTATTTTAAAACAATTAAAAATTATAACACGGTTTGATGATTCGAATTCAAGTTTTCGAGTATTTCATGTATCATTAGTTTCTTCTGTTAATAATTCCTGACTTCGACAGGGATTTTGTAGCAGAGAATGGGGAAAGGATCAGAAAGAAGCAGCGAAAGTGATGATTGCCATGAGGTGTGCAAGGGATCGAGAGGTGGAACGATAACTATCATCCAACCAATGAATCAAGGACCTATCAATCCGTTTCAACCGTTTTACAATAAATACGACATAAATTTAAGCAGCTCTGAATCTCGTTCTTCAAACAGTGAGACTTCGAAAAAGAAAAAGTCTGGCAAGAAAAGGAAGACTCAGGTAAAAGCAGTTGGAGAACCAATTATGCCTACAACCCTTCCATTTATGACGACGACCCTTCCACCTCCCCCGTTCATCTCACCAAATTTTTACAAAAAACCTGATCCAGCATCTCTACTAGCCAAGGAAATCGAAGAATTAAATTTTTCCTTGAAAAAGTATTTATTTTTTCTGTCTGATCCATCTCACTCAATCTATTCTTGAATTGACCTTCATTTATTAGGACATCTATTCAAATTACATATTTTCTAAAATCCAACATTTATTGAGAAAAAAACATGAACGTTATCAGAACATCACACCCGCTCGATGAAATGAAATGGAACGCGCTTCGATGCAAATTTGGCATTAAGGACATCCCATCAGCTTTAATGTTTGAGCACAGAGCCAGACTAAAAAAAATTTCTAAAAAATGTGGAGATTTGAACAGCTATCGAGATCTGCAAGCGTTGGATGCTTTAGTTAGAGGTTGAATTTTCAATTTACTTTTTAAACTTTCATAATTTTCAATCTAAAATTTAAATTTGCTGATATATTCCGATGAAAGCTTTGCACAACAAGGTGAAATATAACGAGGCGGTTAAAAATCTCGCTCTGGCTATATTGCGCAAGAAGGAAGCGGAAGATATTGTACAAAATGTGAAGGATCGTTGTGAGCTGGATAGCGAAGACAGTGATCCAAATTTTCAACTGATGAAAGATCGGATTAGAAAGCTGAGAAAAACATTCAGACGAACGAATAAAATGGAGAAACCCTCTGACGTAAGAGAAGATGAGATCAAACAACTTTTGATTGAAACTCTTAAAGAAAATATGCACAGCATATTGACCAACGTCAGGTTGATCGAGATAGATCAGACTGGGAACATCTTTAAAAAGCGGATCGACTTGGCCAAAGATCCGGCGCTGTTGAGACAGTTGGAAGTGATGAAGGCTAAGAACCCTGACGCCAAGGAACTTGTCATTCAAACTAATCCAGTCACTAACCAATTTGAAATTGTTGTAAAATAAAATGTTCTGATACGAATCATTAGTTTATTTTGTTTAAAAAAATGCACCTTGATAACATAACCCTCAAATAGATTTCAGTTAAGCATATAATAGAAAACTATCGTAAAAATATCTTTCAAGTTCGAATATTTAGTAAACAAACGCATGTCAAGTAAATATTAAAACTTTCGTTGTCTTTATCATCCAAAGTTCGTGTTTTATATTATTTTGTTCGATGTTTTTATTTAAAAAGAACAAACCAAGCTATGTCGGACAATACGGCCACGATATTGGGTAGGCATATATATTTATATGTATTACACAAAACGTAATGTTAATTTTTTAGGCAATAATATTTCAAAACATTAATTAGAATATTACTTTATAAAGTTTTAAAAATATTCTTTCTGAAGCTTCAATGTGAACCGGCATAATGAAGGCGACGACACAAAAACGGATGACCCTCCAACTTCACAAGAACCGAAAAAGGTTGCAGGTAATAAAACGAAGCTTGATAGATCCAGTGACGAGGAAAGCAAAACGAAAAAGTCTCAAATCAAGAAATCTGACGATGAAGCAGGAAGTGAAAATTCAAGTGAAGACTCAGGCGTTAAAAAGTCTGCAGCAAAAGTTTCTAAAAAGGAAAAACTGAATACTAAATCTTCGGATGATGAAACAAAAACTACTACCTCTAAAAAAAGTACTGATAAATCTGCATCATCAAAAACTGGTTCGAGCACTCCTGCTACAAAAACCGGATCAACATCAAAAAAAGAAAAAAGTGTGACATCTACCGAAAAAGATTCGAGTGCTGCATCGAAAGAGAATGAAAAAAGTTCTTTAAAAACTGATTCAACGGTTAGTACTACAAATATTAAAAATAACAAAAAATCAGCAACAAGCACCGCCACGGGATCAACTGAAAGTAAAACTTCCTCTACAGAAACTAAAAAGTCAATGAGTACTACTGCTGGATCAACTGAAACCACAAAATCGGTGGCAAGCACTGGAACGACAGCGACAAAAACGCCAAGTTCAATAAATAAAATACCGAACAAAAGTGCAGTCGATGTCAAACCTGGAGAAAAAACATCATCAGCGGATGAAAAGAATAAATTACCTTCACTTTCATCCACAACAACAAACACAGGCACCGCTTCTTCAACAGGATCAGTCAGTATAAAGTCTAACGTAAAATCGGATTTGGCGACAACTCCATCATCACATATTAAAGCCCTGGAACAGACTCCTGGAAGTAAATCAAGTTCCCATGCAACTCCTTCAACCAGTGTACCCGCTTTTCCACCCGATGATCAAAGAAGAGTAAGCGATCAATTTTCAGACAAATCAAAAAAGAAACGTAAGAAGAAGAAAAAGAAACGAAAAAAAAAAAAAAGAAGGAAAAATAAAAATGAAGAAAGTGGCGAAACTAGTGAAGATAAAAGTGCTAGTGAAGAGAGCAAAAAAAAGGAAAAGAAAAAACGAAAAAAGAAAAAAGATTCTGGTTGTGAGAACACGGAGCAAGTAATTAAAGTGGTTCATCAGTTGGACGAAGGAATGATGCCACCTTTCAGACCCCCGTTTTTTACTCAATGCAAAAAATGTCCTAAATGTAAAGCCTCTTCTTCTCACAGTTCCGAATCAGGTTCTGGAAAGAAAAAAAAAAGAAAAGACGACGAGAACAATTTGTCCCATGAGCAAATATCTCCTTGTGACATGTTTCAAAATTTAAATATACCTCCAATGCAACCTTTCCTACCCTTCATGTCGCCAACTATGCTGCCTCCTCCTCCTTTTGTTTCAGCAGATTTCCACAAAAAATCTGACCCGAATACAATTCTTAAGGAAGAAATCAAAAGATTGAAAGAACAAGCCTTACAGTAAGATAATTTCACGTCCTAAAATTTGACAAATGATCATTATTCAAGATATTTATACGGAATATTCAACTTGAATTAATTCGAAAAATTAAATTAATTATAAGGAGTGCCAAACCTGTTGATGAACTAAATTGGAATTCATTACGCGAGAAATATGGTATCAGAGATATACCAGAAGCGTTGCTGGTTGAACATCGCGGTCTCATCGAAAAGGTGATTCGTTAAATATAAGAAATTATGTATCGTTTAAATTATTTTAGTAAAAATTAATAGATCTTTTTACTTTGAAACATTCATCTGTTAACAATTTTATGAAAAATATTAACAAACTATTTCCACGTTTTGTTTTTAATTTAGATCAAAAGCCATTGCCGTTATGTTAAAAGTTACAAAGATATTCAGGCATTGGATGCTTTAATCAAAGGTATCTAATGTATTAAATTAACTGATCTGATTAAATTAACAGCTTCTTAAAAAATTTTCTTCTATTAAACATTCTACCTATCCAGCCTTATTTAACAAAGTGAAGCTGAACGAAAGCGTGAAAGAATTAGCTTTTGCTATTGCCAAAAAACAAAAAGAAGAAAAGAAGAAAGCAAAAAAAGAAGGCAGACTGACAAAAGAATGCGATGGAGAAAGTGTATCAAGCGATTTAGAAATCGAAAATCTAAAAAACCAATTCAGATTTTTGAAAAGATCATTTGAAATGACGAGAAAATTCAACAAAACTAAGACGACTCTGACGAATGAATTGAAATCATTTCTAACGAATGAACTGAAGGAACGGATGGACAAAATGCTGACAGAAATACGTTTGAATGCTGAAGATCCAACGGGCAAAGAGTACAAGAAACGACTTGAAATAAAAAATAATGAGACTTTGACGAAACAGCTTGAATTAATGAAGGCACGCCATCCGAATGCCAAAGAAATTATAATTGGGACCAATCCCATCACGCAAGAATTGGAAGCTATTGTAAATTGATTGTTTCGTACGTAGATGTTTCCTACTTATAAATAAAACGTGAACGTTTTTACAATTTGGTCGTAAAACTCTTTGTTATTTATTATAAATTATTTGTAAACATCTTCTAAACAGTTGCAAACATTTTTACAAACTGGTCGTACATTTTTTTTTAAATTTGGCCGTACGCAAACAAAGTAAAAAAGAAATATTTTCGACAGTTTCTCTGAAAAGACTATTTAAGAATCACATTAACAAAATTTTCAGATCATACAAATTGATTTCTTGTCTTTGTCAAATAAGTTTTAAACATCAAAACAATGGATAAACTCGCTCTGGATATGGTTGATCAAATGTCTGCCCCAGTGGGAACAGAATTGCTTCCAGAACCACCAAAAGATTTACAAATGCCAAGTTTTGAGCTGGGAAAAGTTCCTCCGCCCTTGAAACTTCCTCCAATTAATCCCATAGATTCTGTTCCAAAGTTACCAAACACTCCGATTGAAAAATCATCGCCACTACCACCAGGACCTCCTTCAAAAAATATTTCTAAACCGGTCGAACCTTTAAAACTTAAAGAAGTTCAGTCGATTAGTAAAAAGAAAAGTAAAAAGAGAAAGAAGGAAAAAGATAGCGAAACATCGTCAAGTTCGGAGAGATGCAAGTATCGGGATAGAGATATAATCCCAATGTACGTTGGACAACCATGCTACACGGAATACAACTACAGTCCTTTCATGTACGCACCATTCACTAACATCCCAAATCCCAAAGAAGATATCTTTGCCGCGAGAGAAATTGATAACAATCCTTTTACGACATTTTCTCCGCTTGTCAACCCAATGTCCATGCCTCCATTCATGCCTTCAGAATTAGGCCAACCTTTTTGTGGAGTTGAATCATCACAACATTTGAAACATAGTTTTAACTTTTCTGATTTTCCAAAGCATTTCCCTGGTTTGAATCCAATGTCGGGAACCTGTCCTGAGCCAATAATAAACGAGATGCCTGGAACATCTGACAATGTTCATTTCATGGTGTTAGTACCTATTAAGTATCGTTAATTTTGAATTTTTAAATATTTATTTAACAATTTTGTAAATTTTTAATGAGGTTCAGTTGATTTCAGATATTTTAAATACAAGTTTACATTTAAAAATAAGGGATGATATAGAATGGGAAGTTTTGCAATCGAAGTATCACGAAGCTGATATTGCCGACGCTATTTATAAAGAATACACGAGAAGATTAGAAAGAGTAGTTTAAAATTTTTTCAATTCAAGAAAACGCTCGTTTATGAATAAAATATAATACCAAAAGTACTGTTGATTTCTTTTTCAGTTGAAAGATTTTCATTTCAAGCCAACCATTAAGAAACAATTGAGAAGTCTTCAACAAGTTATGAACGGTTGAACATTTGTATTTTTAACGGAGCTTTCATAATTGAATAAGATTTTGATATAAATTTTATCACAATATTTAAAATGAGTCTTCAAAAAATTATAGTTTGCATACAAAATAATTAAACGTGTTTGTCAATTTAACAGCTTTACATCTTCACGCCAAATATTCTGAAAGATCGAAAAGAGAAATATTACAACACTTGGTTCCTAAGAAGAAGAAAAAGCCGAAACATAAAATGGAAAACGACGACGACGATGACGAGATTCAACTGCTAAAAGACAGACTTAACAAACTGAGAGAAAAATTTAATAGAAGTAAAAAATTTGATCACGTGTTTCCGCGGCAGAATGAAAATGAACGTCTTGTCATGAAAACTTTTTCAGACGGCATGAGAGAAATTTTTACAACTATGACGATCAAATGCAAACAAAAAGCTGAAAAAGACATGAAGGAGCAAAAAGAGAACGAATTGAATCTGGAGCTACTCAAGCAACTGGAAATGATCAAACTTCAAAATCCAACTGCGAAAGAAGTCGTCATCGAAAAAAATCCCACCACTGGTAAACGAGAGATTATTGTCAAAAATTGAAACTTCATTCAACGTTGCTGCCAATTTTTAACAACCGAAAAACCTTATGAACATTTTCGCAGGGTACTCTAATTTATTTATCTTTAAAATTTATATGTTTCAACTAAACTATCAAATTTTTGTTAACTTGAAACTTAATACATCGTTGCTATCAATTTTCAACAACTGAGATACTTAATGAACCTTTTGCAACAAATTCCTACATATCCGTCATCGAAATAAAAACGCTTCAACAATGAAATGTTCCAAAACAAAATGTTTAATAACTGAAAACAACGCTCAATTTATCATCAAACATTAACATAAATTTTATTCTATTAAATATTTGAAAATTATGTGAAAAGTATTAAAAGAATTTGCTTAATAGATGAATAAAATAGAGTATTTTCTGCTCATAATTTTATCTATTCATTTTGAAATGTTAATAATAAATACATAAATCAACGATTGTTTTAAAATGTCTGGAAGCGATGAGAATAAGAATGGAGAGTACGCGATAAAAGTAGTTAATGTTGGAACTGACGAGACATCGAAAACGTTTAAAAAAGAAAAAAGAAAAAAAGAAGAAAACGAAAAATATAAAAAATTCTCGAAAGAGTCGTCATCCACTTTTAAAGGTCTTCCGATGTTTGCAGGACGACCAACAGCGGAGCAAAACATCAACCCCTTCCAACGCTTCCTCTACCATCCTTTCACATCCAAGAACAAAACTGATGATGATAAACAAAACATGACACATAAATTTATGCCTCCACTACCAATGTTAGCCCCAGGTTCTGCATCACCTGTTCCTTTGTTGCCACCCTTCATTGAACCGATGCCAGCTTACGGAGCCTTCCTAGAAACAACTAAAAATTTCCCGGATAATGAATCCGAAAAAAGTTTGGAGGAAGTTGAAGAAGATTTCAATGAATTGAAGGGCGAAAATCCTTTAGATCAACCACTATCTCCATTCATTCCATTTGCTCCCGTTCCCGCTCCTAAGGAAGCATTTGAGATCTCCACGGACATTCAGTGTATGATGTATGTAATCATTGAATTCACAATTTTCAATTATGTAATTTATTTTCGATGCCTGCATTCAAAAAAAAAAATGAAATCCATCCATTCAACTGATTACAATATTTTATTGGAAGTTAGTTAAACTTATTTGCTCGACTGAATGGAAATCATAATTTAAGTGACGAGATAGAGTGGCAGGCATTGCAATCGAGATACGGTGAGGAAATGATAACGGACGCTTTGTACCAAGAGTACATCAGGAGAGCTAACAGGGTAGTTCACATTTGTATTCTTGCTTGTATTTAAAATGTAATTTTAGAAAAACACTGAAACAATGCCCGTTTTCTTCTCACTTTTTATACATGTTTCGTTACTGTTCTGTAGATTATGAAAAGTCACAGAAATGAAGAAATTAATAAATATGGAAAATGTTTGAAACTAATTGCTCAGGGTGGTGAATAACTTTTTAAATATTTTTTATTACCTAGAGATTTTATTTTATGATTGAACGAACTAACGAATTAATGAATGAATAAAGGAATAAAATTTTATTTTCCCAGCAATGCACGCTCACGCGAAATACTCGAGCAAGACAAAGAGAGATGCATTGAAAGCTATCAAAGCCAGCAAAGCGAACGGGCCTGACAAACCTGTGATAGAAGAAAAAGAAGATAAAGTATCTGACGACGAAGAAACCAAACACTTGAAAAGAGAAATGTTACTACTAGAATATAACTTTTTGAAAGACAGAAAGTTCAAGGGTGTTTTTCCTGAGCAAGATCTTTTAGAAAAATTCATCGTAGATACGTTCGAAGACAACTTGAAACTGATGTTGACCCAGGCCAGAGAAGAATGTTGGGCTAAAGCAGCGAAAGAACTTCAGGCGGCAAAAGATAAAGCCCTGGACATTGAAATGTTGATACAACTTCAAAAAATTAAAAATGAGAATCCCCATGCGAAGGACGTTACAATTGAGATCAATCCGATCACCAAGCAGAAGGAGATAGTTGTGAAGAATTAATTAATCACCGTCAGCTATTGACAACTTTTATTGCTTATTAACAGTTTTTACAGTTTTTTAATTAAGTATTTCAATGTTCCCGTTTAAGGTCACAGCAGACAACCATGAGACGAGAGCATATTTGAGTAGAATATGTACTATGTAACTATGCGAGTTATATGGATACAATAACTAGATAGTAGCCATATAAAATAACACGTTATATATACATATATTTGACATACACTGTTGAAACGACGTCGTCAGCCCTTCGAAATGCTTGACGAGTTTAATAAAATTGAGTTACAACAAATGCGTCTTATTGAACAAGCCCAAAAGAAATTAATTAATACAAAATGGGCAAGAACATTCAACCAAATTTGTTATATACATAGGGATACTAACATAATTTTCTATTTATTGTACATTCAACAAATGAAATCAAGTAACAAAACTAGCAACTTTCAACTAATAAAGTCGACATTTATAGATGCAAGAATGGATACTTTACCTTACATTTACCTAGCGCATCACTGCTATGCATTTAGGCCAATGTACATTGTGCAACACATTACAGGCAACTATATATAATATATATAATAAGTTTTATATATATATATATATATATAACTTTATTATATAATACATATGTATATGCGTATGGATGGTTTAACTATATTTCTAGCCTAGACGAACGGTTATATTACACGTTGTATACCAGTTTTTGAACTTTACAGTTTCAAATTAATGTGAGGCTAAGAATAATCATATGTATATATATTTATCTATTGTATATATCTGTACGTATTGTATATGTGTATATAAAATATGTTTAACGAGATGCATTGAAACCACAGATGCCTATCCTAACTAATTGTTATCTGAGATACAACAGATTTTTAGCGAACACGTTTCAATAATTATTTAAATTAACTTTTATCATGTTCACTTTCAAGGTGTTTAAACATTTAAAAGTTAGTTTCATTCGTGAAGATCGCGCATTTTTTGTTTTAACTAAACTAAAACTAACTGATTCAAAGTCTGACTGTTTTTTTTTAAATTTGATTAGTGATTAGTGAATAAATGGCCACCGGTTATATATTTTTTATATGCAAGTGTGCAGTGATCAAAATTCAAAGTTGTCCATTGTCCTTTTGTATTGTGTTGTCAGTAGTTTGTAGTATGTATAGTTGTGTATTAGTACTGAATTGAGGATGGATAGATAGATAGATAGATAGATAGATAGATAGATAGATAGATAGATAGATAGATAGATAGATAGATAGATAGATAGATAGATAGATACCTCTGTTGTATCATATGCCAATCATATCAAAACATATTTTTAGCATTCTGATTCTTATGAAGTACACTATGAATAACAATAACAATATGTAATTAATAATTATTATTATATTTTTATAATAATCATTGTTATTATCATTTCCAGCTTAAATAAGAAGTAGCATTTGAACCTCTTAGCTTAGTCTTAAGTGGGAGAGTTATTGAGAGAAACATTTGATATCCTTGAAACTTTTTAACTTGTCATCATCTTTCAATTCAATACAAGCTTCATATTCTAAGAAAATTACTTTTTCATTTTTACTGTTCAGTTTAAGTTAACTTTTAAACAACTTTTTTGTTTTAAAAAGTTTATTTTTTTCATTTTAGCTCTCAAGTTTGAGTCAACTTTTAAAAAGCAGATCTATAAGCTTATATAGTTATCAGCAGTTTATAATTTGTTTACATATTTCAAAAAATTAATGAATAATATTATCTTAATTATTTATATAAATTAAACAATTAATTAATTATTTGTTCACATTTCAGACTAATGACTCTTACATAGTTTCATATTGTATGAGATCATTCCATAATACCAGTAGTGTTACCAAGAACAATCTTGCTGCTGAACCATTAAGAATGCTTGGGGTTGTCATTTTATTGTTTTTATATTAAGTATATTTTATTTATTTTCACATATTTATATATATTATTTATAAAGATTTTTTAAATCAATTTTTTTATATGTTTTTTAAAATTTTATGTCTGTCTACAGTGTTTGTTTGCTTGCTTGTGTGTGTATGTATGTGTGTGTTTATGTATGTGTGTGTTTGTGTGTAATATTATATAGGCATTATTATATCATCTCAAATATTTATGAATTTATAACACAAAAATTATTCAAATAGAACAAAAGAAGAGTTTTCGTGGTTGGTGTTGGGATGACTAAAGTAAGCCAGCTGCTGTTTATTTTTTACTATAATAATATTAATAATGATAACATTCATAATGTTAGTTTTTATTTATTTATTCATAATTATTTTTTATAATTATGCAGTTATTTATAATTATTTATTCATAGTTTGAGAAGCCAGGACGGAGAGAGAATTTTGATTATCCGGACATGGTTCTTGAAGCCGGTTCCTTAGTTTTGTGCTTTTGTAAAATTATTGAAATATTATTTATAAGTAGTAATACTATGATAAGTAGTTATTATCTTATATTAATTATTATAAACAATATTAATTATTAAAAATAATATTAATTATTATAAATAATATCATTCCATTTATTGTGATGCAGCTACAAAAGCATTACAAGATGCCAAAGTTGATTTCAAGAGCGTTCAACAGGCCTATGCCGGATACTGCTATGGTTATTACGGAATTTTAATAATTCCCATTATTATTCATATTTTTGTTATCATTGTTTATGATATATTATTTAAAATATCGTGGTGATGATGATGATGATTATGCAGGCGATTCAACATGCGGTCAGAGAGCCATATACCAGCTTGGCCTCACCGGAATTCCCATATTTAATGTCAGTTGCGCTTTTTTTATACTAAATTACGTAAATAGGTCGATAGTTGTTTAAAATTATTTAAATGGGTCATTCATTTTAGTTTAAAATCATGTAGATAGGTTGGCAATTATAAAAATTACATAACTAGGCCATTAATTTTGTTTGCAATTATGTAAATAGGTCAACAATAACTGTTCAACTGGGTCTTCTGCTCTGATGTTGGCTAAACAAGCAATTCAAGGAGGTAATGATGACGAGGACGGTGACGATGGTGATAGTGGTGATGATGATGATGATGTCATAATTTTAACCAGGAATAGCTGATTGCGTGATGGCAGTTGGTTTTGAGAAGATGGAAAAAGGGTCGATCGGTATGAAGGTGATTATCATCATCGTCATCGTCGTCATCATCATCGTCGTCATCATCGTCGTCGTCGCGTATTTATCGTAGTCACGCTGATGATAATTATCATTATTGTCATCACTATCACCATCAGTACACAGACCGGACAAATCCACTGGACAAGCACATAGAGAGTATGATGGAGTTGTATGATGTGACAGCTTCACCAATGACCTGCCAACTCTTTGGGAATGCTGGTCTCCAACATATGAAGAAATACGGTTGGTTGGTTGGTTGGCTGGCTAGCTGGTTAACTGTTTGGTTGGTTGATGGAATTTTTCATTAATTCACTCACTCACTCACTCACTCACTCACTGATATTTTGAATGATTATTTCTAAATCTCCACCACAGGCACAAAACCAGAACACTTTGCTAAAATTGCCTGGAAGAACCACAAACATTCAACCAACAACCCGTTAGTATCATAAACATTCTCATCATCATCATCAACACCACCACCATCATCATCATCATCATCACCATCATCTTCTACGACGACAATGTTATCAGGAATTCACAATTTCAAGACGAATATACTCTGGATCAAATTATGAATTCACCATCTGTTCATGATTTCCTCACCAAGTTGCAATGCTGGTTAGATGGGTGCACGGATGGATGAACGAACGAGTGAATAAGTAATTAAATAAATAGATGAATGAATTAATAAAGGAATTAATATGTGAATGAATGAATTAATGAAATAACGTTTGAGAGAATGAATTAATTTGTAAACTTATGAAATATTTACGCATTAGAGAATGCATGAATAAAATAATTTAACTGACAAACGTCATCTTCCAACTGACCAATCAAAACAGTCCAACATCTGATGGTTCTGCCTGTGCAATTCTAGCCAGCCAATCATTCGTTGAGAAACATTCACTGCAGAGTCAATCGGTTGAAATCATTGGTCAGGCTATGTCAACTGACCTCAGTTCAACTTTTAACGATAAAGATGCTATGAAGATAGTTAGTCATACAGCATAATTCTAATCACATCAAGCGAGCTAATGATGTGAGTAGAGCAAGCAAGCAAGCATGCATGCGAGGCCATGAACCGACTTTAGAAGAAGAAAATTGAACATTTTATAAAAATCCAGATGATTTATTCTGTGCACGAATAATTTATGTTTATTTCTTTAAATTTTCTAACGCTTTTGTGTGCAGAAAGCGAGGGTGATGTGATGTTGATGATGTAATGATAGTGTTCAACGGTGGCCTGGATGAAAAAATGAATGAATGTTTAACAGGTTGGATATGACATGACTCGAAATGCTGCTGATCAGGCATACAAGGAAGCTGGTATGATTATTTTTGAATGATAGCCTATCAAGATCAATTTATCACAAAGGACCACTTACGACCAGTTATTATCACAGTCTGCCAACTAATAACAATCAGTTAATCATAAATCATCAACCAATCAAAAATGACCAACCAACCAACCCTAGGTGTAACGGCCAATGATGTTCAAGTAATTGAATTGCATGATTGCTTCTCAGCCAATGAACTCATCACATACGAAGCTCTTGGACTATGTCCCGAGGGTCAGTTGATTGATTATTTGATTGATTTATAGATGGATTGAAGGAACGATTGATTGGTTGGTTGATTGATTGACTGATTGATTGATTGGTTGAAGGCAAAGCAGGAGAATTAATAGACAGTGGCAACAACACGTACGGCGGGAAATACGTGGTCAACCCGAGTGGAGGCTTGATATCCAAAGGTCATCCGCTTGGGGCTACAGGTTCGTTTTTTCAATTTGTCACTTAACTTTACCTAATTATAAATAGACTGGTTTATAATTAAATTTATTATAATTTATGAAGGGCTGGCTCAGTGCACAGAATTATGTTGGCAGCTTAGAGGATTAGCTGACAAGAGGCAGGTGGGAGGAGCCAAAATTGCTCTTCAGCACAACGTTGGATTGGGGGGAGCTGTCGTCATCACTATTTATAAATTGGGATACCCAGAACTAGCTAGGTTAGGTAGTTGATCATTGTTTAATCTTTATTTTAATTTTGTTTATTTGCAAGTAAGTGTACATGCTCGTACATACTTGCATGTATTTGTTAAGATATGCTTCAATAAGTTTATCGATTAATTGGTTTTATCTTCGAATGTGTGTTTATTTTTGACTGAAATGGTTAGTTTGTGGTGCATGTGTAAATGTTTGTCGTGTGAAATTCAATTGAGATTTTTTTAGAATTATTTCTAGATAGGAAACATGTTTACTTGTTGTGTTATTGCTCAAAAAATCTGGCAAATATTTACTTTTTGACAACTTTTTAAACTTTATTACAAATAAAATCATTTTTAAAAATTAAACTTTTTGTAAAAAATGTAAAGAAGTGTTTACAGCAGAAATTGTGAGCATTAGTTTATTTGATATAAATAACGAATGCACTTTGAGAACGACTGAAGTGGTTTTATCTGCTGGCTCGGTTTGCAGCCTATCTTGCTTCAAAGTTCAATTGGCTTTTCGCTATCAGTTGAACGCTAGATAATTAGCAGACGAGATTAAAAGTTAATTTCAGTTGCAGGTTAAAATTTGTTTTGTTGACAACGTCCAAGATATTTATTTTAGAAATTGTTGGTTGAGCAAAGTCAGCAAATTTTTAAATTTATTTATTTTAAATAAATTAGCAAAATAAATTTCAAAATATAATTAATAATAATAATTATTAAATATCTCTTGAAATTTGAAAAGGATTGAAAGTAAAAAGGCCACAGATTCCACCACAGCAACTAATTCTGACAGCAGCCAGAAAGCAGACGTCAAAATGACTGTTGGCGCAGACACGACGTCAGTGAAGGCAGGCGATTTCAAATTAAATCAGTCTTTGATGCCATTGAAAATGAATTGGAAAAGGTTTCTCTATGCTTTTTTTATGATATGAGTTATTTCTTTTGCCTTCTTTTTTCATTTTCTTTAGCTAAATTAATTGTCTGGTTTTTTGGGTTAGATTAGTAGAATTATTTGTTTTTGTATTTACAATTTGTAATAGTGTTAAAATTGTATTGTAACATGATCATTTAACTTTAATCTTTAATTAATTCCAATTATTTCAAATTGTTTTATTAAATCAATTTTGAATATGACATATGAAAATAAATGATTAGAAAGGTGAAGAACTGACAAAGAAAGTAAACGGGATCTTTTGTTTCAAAGTGGCCTCAAAGAATGGTGAAGGCACATGGGTGCTCGATGCTAAGAATGGTAAAGGTTCTGTTAAGTTCGATCCTGAAGGTTTGTTTTCCATGTCCAGTTTTTACAATTTATTATTTAGTGTTGTATTTATTTGCCTGTTAATATTATTACTATTAGCTATGATGACAATAGCTTATATTCATGTTATTTTAATTAAATTTTTATCTGCCATGACATAGATTGGTTTAATCTTTTAAACATTCAAAAAAGTAAACTTGTAATCAAATCTCATGTAGTTTATTTTATTAAGTATGTTATTTGAATGTTCAGTGGCGTTCATTCATATGTGCAAATCAAACAATTTAGATGACTTTTAATAAATAAATAAATAAAATAAATAAATAATTGGGCAAATAAAAAATCATGTTATCAAAAAGGCACCGGTGATGTCACACTGACAGTAGATGATGATAACTTATTCTCACTGATGATTGGCAAACTCAATCCTCAACAAGTTTATATTATATCATCATAATATCTCATCACTTCATATTACATCATCAAGTCTTCATATTATCTTATCATCACGTTGTCATCATGGTCAATTCATCATTTAATCATCATTGTACCATCATCATTTCACATTCCATTATATAGAGGTATAGTGTATTATCCTATAATGTAATGTTATATAATGCGTCTCCATTTATTCTGCCTACTTTAAATAAAAGTTCAAAATCAATCATTTTAATTTATTATTCTATAAACAGCTAATATTTCGGTTATTATTTTTAATGTTAATGCTATATGTAAATATATTTTATATTTAAATATATTGTTGTATTTTATTATTAATAATAAACAATTTCAACTCACTGTACATTTTCAGGCTTTCTTCCAAGGCAAGTTAAAGATAAAAGGTAACATGGGCCTAGCCATGAAGCTCCAGCAAATAATGCCTAAAGATTTTAAATCTAAATTATAATTTATTAATAATAAGTATAATTATTGTTATAGTTATCAAATTATTTGGTGCATCCACGTCAATTAAAATTATAGAAATTTAATTAGATTACTAATACTGATAGAAAACATTAATTATATCTTAAATGTATCATATAAAATCAAAAGATGATGACAATTAAGTTTAGCAGTGAATAAATTTATAAGATGTTACTGTTGAGTTGTTCTGTTATGCTATCACATTTCATTTCACAAACATTTCATCTTATTTACTGTGTAATAATTTTGTTATCATATATGTGTTGTACTTATATTCCTTCATTGTTAATAACCATACTATTTGATTGTATTTATTTTAAATGAGTAATTTATGTATAAAGTGACCGACTGTGTTTTATTGAGAGGGAGTTTTTTTTGACTAAATGCTATAATTATGTTTTTTTTTATTCTCCAAAAATATGAGTTATAAGAAAGTGATAGACGCACAGCACGGTTGGATGGTAGGCAGACTTTGTGGCAGGATGGTTTAATTATAAGTATGGAATAACATGTAAGCGACTCTGCATTATAAAGAATGAAAGAAGCTGATGATCGAATGGTTTTTTTTTTTGCTTGTCATTCTTAGTTCTTAATAGTGAGAACATTATTTGAAGTATGTAATATAAGGAATACCTTTATATATTATACACACATACATACCGTGTGTATATATATATATATATATATATATACATCAGAAATATATATATACATACAGAAACGTATGTACTTATACATATGTTATAATAATATTATACATAATGTTATCCGTGAGTACTTGGTTATTAAAATGTAATTAAAATAAACCGAGGAAACAAATAATAATTGTAGAAATATATATTTCTACAATATAAAAGTGACAACGGTTGTTATCGTTGATTGAGGTTCACGATCGTATAAATAAAGACCTTAACAAGATGTTAAAATCAAATCAAAGTGAAGAATACGTTGGTTAGTCATGTTTGTGTAAGAAGCAGTGAATTATGCCGCTACTGCTGCAACAAATGCTACAGCTGCTAACGCCGTCACTACTACGGCTAAAACTACTACTACTATTACTACTTTTCCTATCGAAAATATTATTTAAGGAAAAAATATCTAAAAATAACTCCTGACATATTGATAATAAGTTAATGATTGAAAGGTGAGACATTGAAAGATATACTTAGCCATAGTTATTCGTAAATGTGCATGTGTGTCAGTCAACATCAAATTTTGATATATATTTATATATATGTAATGTGTATATATATATATATATATATATATATATATATATTTAATATTCATGAATATTTCATGCACAACAAAAGTATTTGTATAATAAAATGATAGAATTAAGCATGAAATTTGTACAATAAAATTTTTAAAATAAAAATTTGTACAATAAAATTTGTAAAATAAAAATTTGTACAATAAAATGATAGAAATAAACGTTATTAAGTATGCCATATAAGAAATATCTCCATATAGTATGTGTGTGTGTGTATGTATATATATATATATATATATATATATATATATATATATATATAAACATACAGAAAATTTAGAACTTTCAAAAAAGGAAGAAAAATTCATACACATGCGCTTGTTCAAAATCAAACCAAATTTACACACACACACATATATATATATATATATATATCATGTATGTAGACATATTATGTAGAGTTTGAATTTTTCAAATCTTTGAAATTGAACGAGTGGAATGGCGTCGCGAATACAACGTCGAATTTACCATTTTGAAAAAAATATTCATTTGAATTTTACAATAAAACGTAATTAATAACATTAATAATATAAATAGTACTACTACTACTAATAATAATTATTATTATAGACAACAATAATAATAACACGTTTAAAACAACGACGTTTTTTGTATTTTTTACAAAGGATTAGAAATGAAACAATCTTTCTTTGTACACAGAGGAGTTTAAAAGTATTGCAAACTAGATGATGAAAAATAATAGATGAATGATAAGAGGAATTGTTAATAATAAGAATTAACACTAATTATAAAGTATTGAATTTAATAAACACAAACAATTTTATCATAAACAAGAGTATGTTCACACATACACACACACACACACACACACACACACACACACACACACACACACACAAATGTGCCTCTAACTGAACTATATAATACTGCTGACTGGTGCTAAGTAAACATAATCAACAATTAACTAAATGATTGGTAACATTCAGTAACAATGTTGATCAAGCACCTGAATGCTGCCAGCCCATTACAAACGACCAACCAATCCCAGCCAGCCAGCCAGCCAGTCAGTCATCCAATTTCAATCAACCAATAGAGAAACAGTTAACCCTTAAAAGCCAACCAATCACAGTAAAGATTGAATATAAGGATCAATTGACGAATGTTATTACGTTCCCATCTTCATCAGATTCAACCACAAATCCGCTGGGGAAATATCCAACCTAAATGATGGATGGATGGTTGAAACGAATGAAAGAATAAATGGATAAACAAAAGAAATGATTTTAAAAGCTTAAAATGAACCAATCAGTCAGCATGTTAATAAATAATTTGGTAGTCAATCACTTATCAGCCAGAAAATCGCAACTAGCCAATTATAATCAGCCAGCAAACGAATCCACCAATCGAATCTAACCTTTCCATTCAATCTACCTTTCCACCATCCTCTGGCTCCTCCTACTTTGCTCAAAATAGCAACTAAATCACCTTGCTTGAGTGAAAGCTGGCATGCTTCCGTGGCAGTGTAGTCGTAATTGGCCTGGCAATAACCAATTATATGTGCATCACCTGTGTGTGTTGTGTGTGAGTGTGTAAGTGTATGTGTGTGTATGAGTGATGTTGTTTGTGTTGTTTCTGAAACTGACCAATCCAGATCGGGGTGACTTCTTTGAATGGGAATTGGAGGGTTGTTGGAACTTCGGAGAAACTCGGCTGCAATGAATTCTGCTGGTAATATTTCACTAACTCCTAATTAGTGGGAAGGTGTAAGAGACTGATGATGATGATGATGATGATGATGATGGTATGATATGATCGTGAGAAGGCGCGTGGAAGAAGAGAAGGAACAAAGACAAGAGACCAAGAAAGACAAAATACATTAATGCAAAACAATTCGACAAACAGACAGAAACAAACAAAAAGGCACAACAATGAAAAAAGCCAAGCAGACAGACAGACAGACAGACAGACAATGAAATACTAACGGGTATACTTTTGAACATTTTACAATCAGCTATATAGTAGAGGCTGTCATAACTTCTTTGAATCTTTATGTGCTTCACTGGATGCCCTATGCCGTACCTTGTCGGGATGATGGTGGCGATGATGACGACGATGATGGCGATAGTCCAGATGGTGATGTAAATAATTATTTGGAAAAAGAAAAAATTTGACCGAAAAGTCACTAGAGAAAAAGTTTTTGACTGACAAAATAAAAAGAAAAAACCTGACCTACTAAAAAAATTATCTGACCCAATAAAAAAGTTGACCTACTTAATACTGAGAGCAAACTCGCCCCTCCTCGAGTCTGATTGGCTGAGTCTGACGAGGAAGGTGCCATCTTGAAACTTTTCTAACTTCCTTGACGCCTCGTCTCGACTCATGCTTCCGGCAAACCTTCCATTTTTATTATTATAATCGCTCATTATTAGCTGCAGTATCTTCCAATATCTAGTAAAATATTTTTTGGCCTAATAAAAAACGAATTTATATACTTATACATGAATAGATTATCTATTTATCCAGGCAGATAGATTTGGAGTGTATGTACATAGGATTATAAAGTATAAGGAAATATTGTTAGTGCCATTGTAACGATATGTTAGTAAGCGTAAGTACAAGTTGAAATGCTAAAATACGATTAAGCCAGCGTTAAAGAATGAGAAACACAGGCATACAAAAAATATATTAAAAAAAAAAACATGGACATAGGCATACATGCGCATATGCACACAGACACAGAAATACATACATGCATCCATCCATACATACATACATATCAATCAATCAATCAATCAATCAATCAATCAATCAATCAATCAATCAATCAATCAATCAATCAATCAATCAATCAATCAATCAATCAATCAATCAATCAATCAATCAATCAATCAATCAATCAATCAATCAATCAATCAATCAATCAATCAATCAATCAAGCAATCAAGCAATCAATCAATCAATCAATCAATCAATCAATCAATCAATCAATCATACATACATCCATCCATACATACATACATACATACATACAACTTGCACATCAAATACAACAAACACACCAAGGATATTGTTCAAACAAACTGCTATTAACTCCAATAACACAGAAGTCACCATCGACAACTTCATTATTAATATTTATATTGTTGTTGGGCCGGACCATTCTGTGATTGGGGAGGTGTGCAAGATTGTGAGGTGGAAAGGGTGGAGGGGGTGGAGGATGAAGGGGGGTGCTGCTGCTGTGTTGTGGCAGCTGTGGCTGGTTGTCGTACTGATGTGGTTTTGTTGTCGTCGTCGAGGTTGATGCTGTTGTTGAAGAGTTTATGGTCGAGTGGCGACTGAAACCGTTGTTATTGTTGTTGCTGTTGTTCTGAGGAAATGATTTTGTTGTTTGTTCTTCATCAGATTGTTTGTTGTTTTGTCAGTGCAGTTGTCATTGTTGATTTCAATTTTTACATTAAAAACATCCAACAGATAAATATATGCACATACATTCATTCATTCATACATACATTTTTTCATATACATACACACATCTAAATGTACCGTGTTTCCTCATATATAAGACATCCCTCAAATATAAGACCTAGCACGTTTTTTGTCTATTTTTCTAATATAAGCCCTCCCTCGAATATAAGCCCTCCCTCGATTATAATTTCTAGTATGAATCAGCTGACAACAACAAAAACTTCTGTCAAAACCACACCGGAAACGTCAACTGCTGCAAGATTTTTCGTTTTTCGAGGATTTTTCGTTTTTCGAACTGTTTTTCCTCCTTCAAGCATATCCTGAGATTACAAAGCTGTCAAAGTAATAAGGGTTGTTTTTTCTATTTAAATAAACTATTTTGTAACATTTTGCCCATATTTAAGATGAGTGGCAAGAGGAAAAGTTACTCTGTCGAATACAAAAAAGGAATTGTGGAAGAATGCAGAGATCAAAATATTACTGCATTTTGCAAAGAGAAGAAGTTGGACGTACGAATGGTTAGGAAATGGCGAGCACAGTATGATGATCTCAATCAAAAGGTTGAAGATAGGCAGGCAATAAAAAGAAAATGTGGCTCTGGAAATCGTCCATTCTTTCCAGAGTTAGAAGACATCATCTTTGACTGGATTGCTGAGAAGAGAGAAAACCGTATGGTTGTGCGCAGAGCTGAGATTCAAGCTTTTGCTCTCGAGATGGCTCCTACACTTGACATCCCTCCTGAGGAGTTCAAAGCTTCAAAATGTTGGCTGGATCGCTTCCTTCAGCGGTATGAACTCTCACTACGAAGATCAACAACACTGTTCAAGCTTGAGGATAAAGAAGCTGTCAAGAGAGCTCTCATGTTCAAGTCTTTCATGGATGGTTTGGATTTTTCAAAGTATCAGCTTTCCAACATGATTGCTATGGATGAGACTGCTGTTTACATGGGTCAGGACACTCAAAAGACAGTCGACTTCAGAGGAGCTTCATCAATTTATGTACCATCAACTGGATATGAAAGTGCACGCGTCACCTGCATTTTGGCAATTCGTCTGGATGGGAAAAAAGCTGCTCCACTTCTTATTACCAAAGGAAAGAAAGAAAAGATTGAATGCCAGGGAGGAGTTTATGTCTTGGAATCAGAAAAGGCATGGAGTACGCAGAATGTAATAAGAAAATGGGTGGACCTTATGCTGCCACTTGTTTTAAGAGGAAGTCAACGAGGTCTCCTCATTTGGGACTCTGCAAGCACTCATCGTGCAAAGGATATGAAAAACTTCTTGGCAGAAAGAAGGGTTGATCAGGTTATGATCCCAGCAGGGATGACAGCTTACCTCCAGACCTTGGACATTGCAATAAACAAGCCTTTCAAGGATTACCTCAGACTTGAAATCAATGATTATATTGAGAATAGGATGTCAAGGAACAAAAATAACAACTTCGTGAAGCCTAATCTGCAGGAGGTAGTCTCTTGGGTAAGGAATGCATGGGGCAAAGTCACTGATAGCTGTGTTGCAAAGGCTCTGAAAGCAGGGTACTTGGACAAAACATCGCCATTTGAAGCGAGCTACATCGCAAAACACGATAGATTGGAACCTATGATACTGAAGGAGCTGGAGTCAAATGAAATCTTGGCTGGAATTCAAGGTCTTGATCTGGAAGAAAATGATGATATCCCAGAAGATGATGATCTTATTGTATTTGAATAAAATATTATTGTATTTGGAAAAAATAAATGATGTCGAAAAAATTGGCATAATAATATAAGCCCTCCCTCGAATATAAGACCTAGGGCAATTTTTGGGAAAAAATTAATATAAGACTCTGTTTTATATTCGAGGAAACACGGTATATACATACAATCAATCTCACATACAATCTTAAGCGTCATTGTTGCTAGAACAGATGTTAAGTTGAAAGCAGATTCTATAGTTAGTTTCTTAGCAATGGTAGTTAAATGATTGACTGAATGACTGAATGAATGAATGAATAAATGAATGAATGAATGAATGAATGAATAAACAAATAGAATATAGCATTAATGATCCAAAGCAAATCTATAAAACATAGACATTTGAAAACTCATGTACAAGTGCAAACATCATAAATACGATTAAAATTATGAAGCCAAATTATAACAGGTTAATTAATGCAGAGGAGGAATTCCATTGAAATTCAACTGTAAAAACCTTCTAAAAATGCAAAATGAAAATGAAACTCAGATCGGAGTTTATAAGAAAAGACTATCATACATGAAATAAAAAGCATAACACTAAATATAATAACAATAATAAACATAATAATTATCATTATATTTGTTTTAAATGTTTTCTTATTAAAGTTATTACATATAATAATAATAATAATCAAATTGTTACATATACGTAAGGCAAGCTTAGCTACAGAACAAGTGCAATCATTCAATTGTTGAATGAAGGCAGAGAAATAGTATGGCACGCTGCTGCAATTTTCACAAGAACTTTCGAACATGAAAGAGTAACAGTGAAAATCATCTGATGAACGTTCCCCAAACGGAAATAACAAGTTTTATAAGAAAATAAAAACAATGAATTATATGACAATAAAAATTTGATGAAACGGCGCTAAAGAATTAATGCCAATGAAAGTACTTTTAATGATATATACATACATCTGTGAAAACCAACCGACCATGGATAATCTGCAATAGAATTGAAACACCCGCAACTATTACCACCACCACCACCATCATTATTATTATTATTATTATTAAAGACCACAGTACAATTACCATCACCACCAACATCACAGCGGCTATTATGATTGGAGCAGTTCATTTTATGCAAATTATGATATTCCATATTAAACATATTATTATTATTATCGTTGTTATTCTTATGATTGTTACTGTTATTACTGTTATTATTAATATGATGATGATGATTATTATTAATATGATTATTATTTCTTGAACTTGAGCATGGAACGCTGTTACATCTGGAGGTACCGTGGCCAGCAAAGCTTTTAACGTCTTTGCCTCGAGGCAGAGATTTAGCTACCACCGAACCATCTTTATCATTTATACTATTATTATCGTTACTATTATTACTATTATTACTACTATTATTATTATTATTATTATTATTATTATTATATACCTTCTGTCTGCTGTATGGAGCTGACATGGTGCTGTGCCTGGCTCTGAAGTTGCTACTTTCGTTCTCGAAATTTATCAACCACACATCATCATTGTTGACACTTTTATTATTACTAATATTATTATTATTACTAATATTATTATTATTATTACTATTATTATTATTATTATTGCTGTTACTATTATCATTGTTCATTTTATTAGCGAACCCAGGCGCAAATTTAATACTCTTAGGATTCGGTGATGCGGTAGATGGTGATGATGACGACGACGAAGATGAAGCCGATGATGATGGCGGTATTGGGGGCGGAGTCATAAATGTCAGCTTTTTCTGTTGTCGTTGATGTTGTTGTTGACGTTGTTGATGTTGTTGTTGATGTTGAAGTTGTTGTTGAAGTTGATGTTGTTGTTGATGTTGTTGTTGAAGACATTAAACCATTGTATATTATTCAACCACGCATTATGTAAATGACAAAAAAAAAGAATTTTGTTACAAACATTTAAAATTTGATGGAATTATAATGATATTGATGATGACGATGATAATGACGACGACGTACGAAGTGCCATTAATGATTCAAATGATGAGAAAGATTTGAGATGCAAGATTCAGCTGAATAAAGTAGCTAGAGCCAAATAGAAAGAATGAAAGAAAAGAGAACAAAATTACTTTCTTCAACTTTTTATCCATCCATCTATCCATTTATCCAATCATTCTTTTATTCAGTCATTCTTTCGCTCATTCAATCAATCATGTAGTAAATGAAAGCAAAGAAAGCAAACCAAGCTGATGATGGTGACACATTCCTTTGGAAAGTAACCCTCTCTTCCTTCACACCTCCCCTATTAAATCGTCATTAACTTCATCAGCACCGTCTTAATCATTAGCATCATTTTCGTCATCCATCTCATACCCTAACACTTTAAAACCTCCATCAAACTTGCAACGTCATCACATCACGACCATCACCATTACCATATTCATCGTCATCGTCACCATCACCATCACCATCATCTACTAACCATCCACCATTTGACGTCATCGTCATTGATTAGATCGATGATGCTGTCTGCTTCTATTTTTAGCGGGTTTTTCTCGTTCGGTGGCATGGGAATTCCGAAGTACGAGCATAACACTTTCACTTTACCTATCAATTATAATTATATTACATATATTATATTACATTCTGCGTGTGCTAGTTAGTGGTGGTTCGACCTCGAAGATCAACTCGATTTCCATTATTTTCACGTAAAAAATTCGATATCGATATTTTTCAAATAAAAGTCAACTTAATAATTTGCATCTTACGTAACATTTTATTGACACAATTTAAAAATAATAAATGTTAATAACAAGTTAAAATGAGTATTAGAGCAAAGTTATGAGGGGAGGGAGGAACTAATTAATTATTCGACATTCCAGACGTTCTGACTTGAGCCGGCCCTCTCGTTCATTTATGACTGAATCGGACCTGGATGGAATCTGCCGAAAATGTAGCAGGCCCGAATGCCAGATACTTCCAAACCACAAAAGCTCTTTCTACTGGAAAGCGTGTTGCTTTATTGAGTGCAACAGATTCTTCATGAAAAACAGTTCAGCTCCTCTTCACTCTATTTTTTGGTGACTCAGATTTTTGATGTAGAACTTACAAACGACCAAAGTGTTACGTCAGTACGGCAGCGATGTTTTGCATCCTGTCAGGCCTATTTCTTATAATAGTTTTTCGATTTGAAATGGAGTTGATTTCAATTGTCGGTAGCATCAACTTGGCAGGAAGCTACCTGGCATGCATGAACCTTGCGAAATAAATCATCTCCATAACAAAAACAACCATGACAACTTCTACGGTAATAAAATAATAATAATAATCATCATCATAATCATAATCATCATCGTCTTCATCACCATCGTCGTAACCTTTCGTGAGTTTTTCAATCTGGCTGGCATTCGTGGAGGAATTCGTTCTCAAAGTTACTGGTTTCGGTGGCAAAATTGGAGGGCCTAAGGTGATGATGATGATGATGACGTCGTTGTCGGTGATGGTAATGATTATGTTGCTGTCGGTGATGATAATGATAATGACGACGACGATGATCGAGGCCATACCACTCATATCTTTGGCCTTTTCGATGCATTCTTTATGAACTATCATTCCTGTCTCTGCGTGAATAATAATAATTAATGATGAAAACTATTATTATTATAATTATTATTATTATTATTATAACAATCATGATTACGATAACATTTATTGTTACGTTGAAAATAATTATAACACCAAATGAGAGCCTAACTCACTAGCACATCTGTAGCCTTGATAGAAGACACCCCTGTCAATTAGCGATTGAAAAAGGTATAACTTATAATAAATAACCATAATTATAACCATAATTAAAACCATAATTAATAAATATTACAACGACAGTAACCTCAGTAGTTTCCGGCAGACGTCACAAATGGTTGCTTCATGGAATGTGGCCATCTCAAAATCATGCAGAGGGCTGTGGGCGAATGGTGGCGAGAAATTCTCTCTGGATCATTGAGTACATTTTATTTCATCGTTTATTTCATCTATCTATATTTATTCATGGTTCGAAAAGTTCAAAGTTGTCGTACTTCGATCTATTTCAATATTTCAACAGAATAAACCTTATTTTAGTCATTTGCATGCAAGAGTTCACCCATTCATGGATGGTACAGGAAGAAGTTTTTGGAAAAAGTTAAACTGTCATCACTTCAAACTACATACAGGCAAGCACCTATTCGTTCATTAATCTACTATTCATCCATCTATCTATCCATCATTTCATTCATTCATTTCATTCAGTCAAACCACTGAACTGAGCAAGTCTAATTGATTTGATCCAATTATTTCTAAGTTCCATAGTCTTGCAGCCAACAGTGTATGCATTTTCTCTGCTGGCCTCACCAAGAATGAAAGTGAAACCAAAATTCTGGTTTTTGCAAAGTTTAAATTAAGTTTAATCATTACCAGCATCGTCACCAACAAACAACAACAACACCATCATCATCAGTACTGACTCGTTCTTTTTCTTTGTAAGCCACATCTTCTACCTTGAAAGAAGAAACAGCAAACGCGTCTTTGAAGCTGTAATAATTCTCGCCCTATAATATAAAATTGTAATATTAATATTAATTACAACCGTAATTATTATTAATTATCAACACAACGTAAATAAATACAACCAAATTACATACCTTAGGCTTGCAGAGTAGAAGTACTTTATCAAACAAAAATGCATACCTGACAAGTTTTTGTAAAAAATTTACCATTCATAATACTTGGCACTAACATTTATAACACAACTTATCGTTGTTACAACTAGCATGTTATTTTGAAATGCTCAATCTCAATACCTATTTTTCGTTTTATGATCGGAATGCGCTTTTAGTTTCAGCTCGCCATCATTCAATAGTCTTCCATAATCTCTCAGCGACATATTTTCAGGCTGTATAAATAACCATATGTGTGTGTGTGCGTGTGTGTGTGTGTATATATGTGTGTGTTTTGTATGTTGTGTGCACATGTGATTTTCTTTAGAAATAGAGTTTAAACAATTAATGATGGCAATAATTAACAAAATAATCAAAATGATAATAATTATAAATAGCAATAATAATGATAATAATTATAAATAGCAATAATAATTATCATGATAATTATCATAAGAATGATAGCAAGGAGTAACCATTTGGTAGCCGCTTATGCTGTGTAAGGGGATTAAAAAAGAAATGAAATATTGTTAAACCATCGAGATCATCATCATCATCGTCATCATCATCATTATCATCGTCGTCATCATCATCATTATCATCGTCGTCATCACCATCGTCAACACTACAGACATGAAATCAAATCAATTCCTGGTAGACTTTGTTTGTATCCATGATCAGCTCCAGCATTATCATTGCAGCAATCATCATTAAGATGATTACTGTCATCATCAACAACACAACAACAACAACACAACAACAACAACAGCCCAACAACCTCTGTTCAATTTCCTCTAGTAGGAGGAGGGCTTCATTATCTCTCTTCACCTCATTAACATATAATGATAAATCCTTCGAGGAAATATAAAAAGTATAAATGTATGATGTGTGTGTGTGTATGTTCGTGTGTGTGTGTTTGTGTTCGTGTGTGTACGTGTGCATGTAGCGAACTACAGAGGCGTATAGAAGACTAGAAACCAACTTGTATTTCCTCCAGGGCTCTTTCTAGGCTCTTCCTCTCAACGTGCGTTCGTTCTGTGTTCTTTATTAACTCCTAATCAATCAATTAATTAATTAATTATTTAATCAATAAATTAAATTAATGAATTAATTAATTAATAGATAAATGGACAAGTAGTAGGTGAATGAAAAAATGATTGCTCGATTGAACAAATGAATGAATGAACATCATCATTATCTTCAGAACATAAAATTTGAAAAATAAAAAGAATGATTGATAAATTAAACAAATGAATGAATAAAGATCGTCACCCTCTTCATCACTACCACTACTATCATCATCATCATCATCACAATCGTTTTTGCAAACATCATTATCATCATCATCATCGTCGTCATCGTCATCATCGTCGTCATCGTCGTCATCGTAGTCACTACAACGGTACAAACCTTGAGGAACAGATGGTACTTGAGAATCCTCTGCATTGGTAGTGACAGCAAATCCCTCAGTTTAAATCGACCTTCATTGGCTGCTAACTGGCTCTCCTGATAATGATGATGATGTCATGATGATGTCATAATGATGATGATGATGATGATGACGGTAATGATTTATTTGTCGAACCTCAACTTTCTTCTGCACCTCTGGATCACTGGTGCACAATTCATCAAGCAGGTTTTGGGCTTCTAATAAGTTGGAGCAATATTCACCATACACCAGGAATCTGTTAGTTAATTGGTTGGTCGGTTGTTGGTTTGTTGGTTGGTTGATTGACTGACTGATTAGTTAGTTAGACGGTTGGTTAGTTCCTTTATTGACTGAATGGTTAAATGATTGATAGAATGACTGAATGAACGAGGAACGAAATATTCTAGACCTTTCTTTCCACGTAATGAAGCAATCAGGAATTGTCAAATGATTATTTACAACTGCTGAACCGGCAACAGTAACTGGCGAGGACGTCGAAGAAGCTGTTGCTGAAGATGCTGAAGAAGCTGTCGTAAATAAGCTACCAGCGGCTGCAGCTGCCGGAAAAAAGCCGCCAGTCGAACAGCTGTTAGCACAAGCTACGGAAAGATCTGCTTGGAAACCGCTGTGGATTGCATGCAGGCGCTGGAGCAAGTGTTGTTGTAGTGTTATTGTGAACGAATGGGTAAATGAATGAATGAATGAATGAACGAATGAATGAATGAATGAATGAATGAATGAATGGACCAATCCATCAACCAACTATATAAACAAACATACAGACAGACAAACATAAAGACAGAGAGACAGACAACGCACTTCGATACAGAGAAATATGGTTCTGTAATGATGCGGTTGTAATATGTCTTTTAATGGTTTCATGAAATACTGTCCAAAATTATTATTATTATTGTTATTTATATAATTATTATTTTCGTTATTATTATTTTTATCGTTCTCCTATTAAAACAATTTCGAAAAACTTTATCACTATTTGATCTCCATGAAAATTCATATTTTTGCCATCACTGCCCCCACAACGTCATCATCATCATCATCATCGTCCTCATCATCATCATCATCGTCCTCATCATCGTCCTCATCATCACCTCTCTTATCATATGTAACGCATCTATGAAATTTCTTTCAGTTACTGCTAGCTCTCTTATACAAAGCTCCCGTTTCGAACATGGCAAAGGGTCCTGATGATGATGATGATGACAGTGATGATGATGATTATGATGACGATAGTGATGATGATGATGATAATGATAGTGATGATGATAATGATGATGATAACGAAAATTGAGGCTTATGAAAAAATTTGAACCATCAAATCAAATCTATTAGTCAACCAACAAACCAAGCAACCATTTAACCATTTAACCAAGCAACCAACCAACCAACCAACCAACCAACCACAATCAACCAACAGGTCAACCACTAAACCAACCCTGACAATGGCAGCAGGTTGGAAGTCGACCAGTCTGCCATACACGTCCCCTTCAATTCGTTCCTTATTACACGAGAAATGTAAATCGTTGTTGTTGATGTTGCTGTTGATGTTGCTGTTCGGATGATGATGTCTGAAACTGTTGACGTTTTTGTAATAATCATCATCATTATCATCAACATCGTCAACATCATCATCATCAACATCGTCGTCGTCATCATCATCACCATCAGGACAAACTTATTCAATGTTACATCTGATAACATGGCTCTCTTTTTGGAACTGGCATAAAAGGGTCTGTATAAATAATTGGATAATAACTGACTATTATTAAATAATTGTTAATAAATTAATTGATGATTAATTAATTCATTCATTTATATATTTAGTTTAATAAAATTTTATTCAATTCAAAATAATCCATCCATCCATCCATCCAACTCATTCATGTACACAAAAAAACTATTTTGTCTCAACCAATCCTATATGTATTCATTCATTCATTCCTTCATCTATCCACTAATTCATCCATCCATCCACTTATCCACTAATTCACTAACTGTATGCCAAGGACATAGCAGCAGGTAGATTGGGATAACAATGATAATGTGTGGATAACCTGTTTAAACAAATAAAAATGACAATATTATTATTATTATTATTATTATTAATTATTATTATTATTATTATTATTATTATTATTATTATTATTATTATTATTATTAACAATCATCATCATCTTGTATGAGAAAACATCAAATGGACAAAAATTTAGCCATAAAAAGAGGCATCATTATCAGTATCATTACTCTAAACACAATCATCGTCATCATCATTACTACAATAATATAGTCAGTATTGATGTCAGTATTGATGTCATCATCATCAATATTACCATCATCATCGTCGTCGTCGTCATCATCATAATCACCACCATCAAAAGCCATTATAGATTTAAACGCTTGTTTAAACTGCTACATGCTGTTGTTATTGTATTACTACTAAAACTATATGTATAAAAAATGTGTACGTATGTATGTATGTGTGTGTATATGTGTGCATGTGCATAATGTACACTCACATACACAATTATTACCACTACTACTACTGCTGATACTAATAACTTACAAGACTCTAGTACTGAGAAATAAATTGAAAATTACAGTTTCTATTAAAGTAATATTAGCATTAAAAAATTAAATATTCATTTTGAAAAAGAAACAGCAATTGTAGCAACAACTTTAAAAGTAGTGGTAGAGTTTTTTTAGTAAATAAAAGTAGTTATAGTACTAGCAGAAATACCAGCAATAGAATTAGCATAAGCAGACCCATAGCAAATAGTAGTATAGCACAGTATAGTAGTATTTCTGACAGTATGACAGTATTTCTTTACAATTTTTACAACTAACTTTAGTTAATGTTAATCTAATGAACAGAAAAACAAACTTTGGGTATGTGGTTCATATCGTACAGATCGTTAGGATCAAAAAGGTCAGCCTCTCTTATTGCAAATGAATTTCTGCAAGCATGCAAGAATGCTCTAATGTTCTTTACACACGCACACTGACAGTTATTGAGTAGACAAGTGGGGAAGATTAAGGAAAAAATTAATTGTATCACTCTTTCTCTAGTTTAGATTATTTTTTTAATAAAATCTATTGAATGCAAATCAATTAAAATACTCTATTCTTTAATTTAGATATTATTATTAAATTAATTAAAATTAAATATTTGTTAATTAATAAATAAATTATTACTAATGATATGATTGGTTTCTTTCAGATCTTCATTTTTAGTTAGAAGTAAAAAATTAAATAATTGGTTAGATTACTAACTTTGGACATTTGTGGCTTGTGACAATAATCCTTTGGATCAATGGCTTTTGGCATGAGTTTGTTTGCCAGTTCACAGAGAAGAACACCATCTCTGAGCAAATCCGCGAAATCTAAAAGTTCGGCTGCTTCTATGGAAACTAATCTATGGTCCCCGGATATGATGTCGGTCCGGAACAGCCAGTCAATGCAAAGTTTCATGTCTTCCATTGACATTATTATTATTCTATTAATTTTAATATGTTGCCAGTGTGATAAAATTATTTTTTATTAAGGATTTCTACAAAAAAAAGATTACTAAATACACTCATTTTTGTTAACTAGATCAATGAAACATACATTTAATTAATTAATTAGAAGCAAAACATTGAAGAAGTTCGCCTGCTAAGTAGATAGTACGATGGTTAAACCGGCAACGTTAACGCTCGGTCGCCTGTTTGACTTCCTTACACTGGTACGTGCAAGGGGGGCCTATTTACCAAAATACAACACTTTTTTATGGGTTAAAGTAGGGATATGCAAAGAATCACAATTTTTCAACTTTTAATTATTTTCGGTCAATTTTATTTTTTTGAATTCATACCAAATAAAAGTAATTAATTACCACATTGAATAACAATTACAAAAAAATTAAAATTTTAACTTTTTAAATAAAAGCAATATTCCGTAATTAGTAAATATACGATCGTAACTTGACTCGATAAAAAAATCACCCTCCGACTTCCCTTCGGAAGTAAGCTCCTTGTTCGACCGTTGAAAGTGAGCGAAGGCCGTTATATTTATTCTAGTTATATGTATCAAGCAGTATCTTATTGAACAAAGTAGTATCATAAAATGAATAAAAATACTTTTTTCGAAAATTTAAAAAATTCTTCATTTGATTTCATTGCGATATCAATGAAGATGATTGTGACCTGACTAATTAAATAACATCAAATAAAATTTATTAAATAGGATGGGTAATTCATTGCGAAATCGTTGGAGGGAATGACGTCATGTTAACAGTAGTGCATGGTAGTTAATCAGCCGGTATAAAGGTTTTATTCAATCCTATCAAATAAATTTGACCAAATATCATAAGCAGGCAGAACTAAATAAAGAAATAGATATATATATATATATATATATATATATATATATATATACGTAGTTATAATACATATATTATATTACATATATATTATAACATATATATATTATAGTTATTTACACATTCAAATTGTACAATTGTGTATGGCGTAGTCTCAAATTATTTTGAATTCTCTCAGAAAATTTTAAATTTTTTACTATATAGGGTATTAGTTACTCTTATCAACAATTTAAAAAAAGTTTAAATTTGATTTCATCGCGATATCGATAATGATTTTTGTGACCTGGCTGATTAAAATGCATAAAAGAAAATTTTTAAAATAGGATGGAGAATTTGTTATGTTGGGATATTTGTATATAAAGCGAGCAAAATTTTATTATAAAAGCACTTATAAATCTACGCGTATTGGCTCAACTAGTTTTGGCTTGTAATGGGATGTTAAGCAAGGTGTTGTCTCAAACTATTTTAAATTCTCCCCGAATATAAAGCGAGCAAAATTTTAATATAAAAGCGCTTATAAACCTATGCAAATTGGCTTAGCTTGGCTTGGCTCGGATGTTAAGCAAGGTGTGGTCTCAAACTATTTTAAATTCTATATATATTCAAACTATTTTGAATTATATATATATATATATATATATATATATATATATATATATAGCACTGATTATTGTTGCTTTTATAATGAATTTATATTATATATATATATATATATATATATATATATATATGTATATAAGTATATATAAAAAGGGATAATTAATAAGATTATATCTTTATAAAGAAATATAGCAGAATCAACTACCCTATCAGAAAGTTTCGAAGGCGTTCGTTCGATGACGTCAATTTAGTACGGTTAGCATTGTAGTTAAGAATATATAATAGTGTAGTACCTACATTAAATAAGTTTTTTACTGATGTGAATGATTGAAATGATGAAAATGTATGATTGAAACGAGTATAAATAAGAGCTGAGACGACATGAAAATCAGATCAGGCATTCTGCCTCGCTTGAAGCAGTTTGTCTGATCTCATTTATTTTATTTTTATAATTTTTTATTTTTATTTATTTTATTATATAGAGTTATATAGAGTTTGCATGTCTGTGGTTTGTGTGTTTGTATGTTGTATTTTTTTTATATTTTAGGTGGGTTCTTTAGCGGTTGCTCATGCATACATACATGCATCATGTTTGTTTGTGTGGTAGTATTTTATGTTCTGTTTTACTCTTTTTTCTCTTTCTTCATGAGTCTTGAGTTAAGTTAATGAAACATAGGTAGGTGAGATTAAAAATTAATTTATTACATAGGTAGGCTAGGGCGTAAGGTAATTTAGTTACATAGGTAGGTTAGGGACTTCTATTCTTTAACTCTACTTGGTGGTGTGTTTTTTGTTTTGTTTCACATTATACATATAACAGGTACGCGGTGGTTCCTGGTTTAAGTGGGATTTTTATCGATTGAATGTGGTAGTATGGATGGTTATATAGAGTTATATAGAGTTATATAGAGTTATATAGAGTTATATAGAGTTATATAGAGTTATATAGAGTTATATAGAGTTATATAGAGTTATATAGAGTTATATAGAGTTATATAGAGTTATATAGAGTTATATAGAGTTATATAGAGTTATATAGAGTTATATAGAGTTATATAGAGTTATATAGAGTTATATAGAGTTATATAGAGTTATATAGAGTTATATAGAGTTATATAGAGTTATATAGAGTTATATAGAGTTATATAGAGTTATATAGAGTTATATAGAGTTATATAGAGTTATATAGAGTTATATAGAGTTATATAGAGTTATATAGAGCATAAATCCTATATAGATACCTTTCTTTAAGGTTCTTTTCTTTGCCGACCGGTCGGCTTCTTTGCGTTTCTCTATTTTCATTTAATTAATTGAATAAATAAGATTTTTCCATTCATTTAGGTTCATTCAGGTTCATTCATTCAGGTTGAAGCTTCCAGAGGAGTTCATCGTGGATCAGAATGGTTGTGATGTCACGCTACGTTTGTTCATTCAGTGGCAAAGAATGCACGCCTGGCTGGGGTTCGTTTTACGGTTTCATTGCGGTTCCTTTTTTGCCAGTTGGCTGGCTTTTCCGGTTGGCGAGTTTCAGCCTGGCTTGTTTCTCTATTTTCATTTAAATTAATTAAATAATAGAAATTTTTTCATTTTATTCATTTCATTCAGGTTGAAGCTTCCAGAGGAGTTCATGATGGAAGATGTCAGGCTACGTTCATTCATTCAGTGGCAAAGAATACACGCCTGGCTGGGATATGTTTTATTCTGTTTTCTCTGTTTTTCTCTGTAATTTAACAATAGGTAAGAATGCTTACACGCACACACGCACACACACACAATTACATTAAGTAGCTATATAGGTAGGTTAGATAGGCATAATTTTAATTGTAGGTAGGATAGATAGGAAGCATCCAACACTAATGTAGTTGAATAGGTAGGCGCGTAAGTTTATCGCTTCTATTTTTTCCTTGCACCCACATTACACGCATCAGCGTATTACACACACAAATACACGCATAAACACATATGTTAGTATTTGAGCGTAATTTTATTTTCATTACACATTCTAATTTATTATTACTAAGGTTGAGAGTAATTTAATTTCATAGGTAGTTAAGAGCAATAATGTAATTCTAGGAACAATCTTGTAATGTAAATTAAAACGCTGTAAGTGTATCGATAGGTAGATTAATTATAAGTTTTACATTATTATTATTATGTTGGAGCCCAAGGCATTACGTAGGTGGTGGGGTGGGTGCCGATTGGCTAAATGAATTGGGCTCTTGAGTTTTGTAATTTTAGGTAAGCTAGGACCGTAATGTAATGAATAGGTAAGTTAAGGCTACGGTGTAACACATACTCATTAATAGATTTAGGGTTTAAGTTTTATATTATTATTACTAAGTTGGAGCCCAAGGCATTACGAAGGTGGTGGGGTGGGTGCCGATTGGCTAAATGAATTGGGCTCTTGAGTTTTGTAATTTTAGGTAAGCTAGGACTTAATTGTAATGAATAGGTAAGTTGAGGGTACGATAGCCGATTGACTCTTGATTTCAAAGTCTTTTGCCTGAGGTAAGCCTTGGTGGCCAGTGGTGAACCGGCAATGGTTTACTATCCGGACGGCAATGGTTTACTATCTGCACGGTAATGATTTACCTTGCGGCACGACCATAGTCTACTACCCGCACGGCTTCCGGACGGCAAATGGTTTACTATCCGCACGGCAATAGTCTACTATCCGCACGGCAATGGTTTTCTATCCGGTGCCCTGGCTGTCGGTGAACCTCTGTGCAAGGAGGGAGAATGAAGGGGGATTTTCGACTATCGTACCATTAACAATTTTATATAGATTAGTTAAGGTAATTGAATAGGTAGATAGGATTATTTTTATTAAGCAATTTGAGATGCACGCACCGCTAAGCTTTCTGGTGAGAATCTTCTCTTTATCTTTACGGGCCGTGTTTCAACAACAATCTCGAGGAGGACTGGCACCAGTTTTGGAGGACAACGTAGGAACAGGAACGCATTCAACATTCTGCCTTTGTCAAATGGGCGACGGTAAGTTTTTGTTTACATTTTACTCTCTTTATTATTTTAAAATATTATTTATTTGACATTATATTCATTTTATAATTTTTTGATCCTAAGATTCTAACATTCATTTACTACTACGCAAATAAAAAAAATTGTCTACAGAATGATGAGAGGTGGGCAGTGGTGGGAGTCAGCACGTTTCAAATGGTGGTCTCATGATGGTGGTGTAGGAAGAATCAGCTCGTTGGCTGGTCGACTGACACTCTGCAGTTCGGATGACATCTTGTGTGCCGACCAGATGATGGTGGTCGGTGCAATGGATAACAGTAACGACGATTTTTGAAGTATGGTTTAGTTTCTTTTTTTTATTTTTCTCATTTATTTATTCATTTTATCACTATCTTTCAAATTATTCCACCATTAATTGATTCATTGATTCATTCTATTCATTCATTAAATCATTGATTGATTAATTAATTAGTTAATTCAATCATTCAGCTGGTTTACCAACACGCTAATTAAAAATAACTTGTCTACAGAATGATGAGAGGTGGGCTGTGGTGGGCGTCAGCACATTTCAGACGGTGGTCTCATGATGATCGTTCCGATGACAATTTGAAGGTAATGTTAGAGGGAAATTTGTTTTTGTCCCATTGTATAATTGAAAGTACTCGAATTTGAAGAAAGGATTGAGTGTCATCTCAGTATAAGTTGCCTATTTTTTTCCAATGGCTTGTTTTTTATTTTTAAGAATTAATTTTTTTTCAATTTATTATTTTTCAGTATCCGGTCAAATTCATTCCGTCGATGCGTGTCAGATGTTGGTCGGTGCAATGGAGGTTTGTCCGTAGTGAGTCAAGAAGTTTCTGGAGAGTAAACGCGCGCACATTTACACACACACACACATCAATACAACACACGCATACACAACATCCATTCATTCAGTGTCGTTGTTGTTGTTTCTCTTCAACTTTCTATTTTCTTTACCGGACTTAATTTAATTCCTAGGTAAGTTAGGGATTGAGATAAGTTGAACAATCGTAGGTAGGCTAGGGCTTAACATTAGTTAAAAGTTTCAAGTAAAATAAAAAGGCTGAAATGTGTAAAATAAAATACCTAAAACAATGTAAAATTCCAAAAACGTAAAAATACAAATTTGTAGGTAGGTGAGTTGAGTTAATGATTATAAGTAAGCTAGGGCCTTGAGAGTAATTTAATTGTAGGTAGGTGACTGACTACTATTCTTGCCACTTCTTACTAGTTTATTGTTATGTGTTTGTTTGTTTTCGCTTCACAGCACCACACAACAAAACAAACTACATTTTATTCTCGTCGTCGCCTTAAATTTTACCTTTTAGATCAATCTTTTTAAAAATGTCTATTTATTTATTAAATGTTGAATGGTTTCTTGTTTTTTTAGTTTGATTATATAATTTTTGGATATTTCTTGATTTACTTTGTATATATGCATGTATAAATAATTACTGTTTGGTATGTTGATTTAGCCATTATGATATGCCGTGAACTGTCCTTACCTGGATTGTTATTCTTTGAGAACTACTAAGGAGTGTGTATAATAACAATGGATAATAATTATTTTTTATCAGTCGATATTTTGTTACATTTGTTTGTTTAAAATTTGAATTTTTTTAAAAATTTAAGTTTTTACAATTTTAATTAACCATCACTTTTCGTTTTTGAATGATTTCAAATAAAAGCAACTATTGTGTTTTTCTTTCTTTACTAAAATCTCAAAATTGTTTGTAGATCTGTACGGTTAAGTGTTTGTTCGAGTTTGAACGAGCCTTGCAAATATTTATTAATTTTTTTCGTTTTTATCACAATTCGTTCGTTTGTTTGGTTCATTCAATTTGCCTCATTGATTGGTTGATTGAATGAATGGTTGATTGATTGATCTCACAGTATTGTACATACGAAAAAAATCCGATTAAGTAACCTACGGCTTTGGTAGCAATCAAACCAAGATGATGATGATGGCAGACAGACAGACAAACCGACAGACAGACAAACCAACACACATGCCATACAAACAAACCGATAGCAAGGCACAAACCATATAGATGATATCCTTGAGGTACTCCATGCTAGAAACGTACAATCAATATATAATATTGATTAATATGGTTTTCTGTAGGAAAAATGTTTTAAATAAATCAGTAGGAAAAATGTTTTAAATAAATCAATAGAGCCATTCTACAACATTTTTGTCAATTTGTCTAGAGAACAAAGTTGGCTTACCAAAGCGTATGTTGGCTAGCGGGACGAGTGTAGACATAGCTTCAGTGGCTTACTGGGTTTCATAAGTACTTTATTGAAACGTTCTTTTGTTTAAATACCGATGAAAATTAATCAACGTATTCATTCGACATCTATGGCTCGTTAATTTGATTGACAATTTTGCTTATTGTCGCAAATAAGAAGTATGTAAAAAGCTATTATTATATTTCTTTCTTTTAATTGTATATGTTGACGTTGGCGTACACAAGGTTTAACTGTATATATACATACAGATATATGTATATATATATATATATATATATCATAGTTATATAAATATATATATATATATACACATCTGTACATATATTCATTCATATAATATAAACGACCCAATACAAAAATACGGCTATTGTCTTTTAGTATAGAAAAATATTTAACTAATTAATAATACTTTGTTCAAAAATACCCATATACATGTATAGAAATACATACATACATATATATATATATATATTACGCATATATATGCTGGTAAAAGACTATAATTAATGCATAATTACTTCATATATATATATATATATATATTAATGAACGAAACATTATAGAGAAAAGTGAACAGTAAATAACACCAATATGACATAATTATTTCAGACATCATATTTCAAAATGTTCATTGCTGATACATCAAAATAATTAATTAATTAAAAAATAATAAAAGAACGATGAAAGAATGCAAAAACAATAGAAAAATGAAAAAAAAAAGAAAAAATATTTATAGATGTAGAGATCGAAAATTTGATGTTTCAAAAGTAAACTGACTGATATGTTAGGAAAGTTAGGCACAAATTCATTCACTTTAATCAGTTTTTATCATAATCATAATATTCACCATCTCCGTACAATCAATCATTATCATAACTGCTACAGTCATCAACATTACAAACCTAATCACGACAATAATAACCATAACAAGCATAACGGCCACAATCACCACCAGAATCATATTCGCCAGAATCATAACGGTCATCATCACGGTCAGAACACCTCAAAAGAGCCCACAACTCTTCAAGTTGTTCCTAATGATGATGTCAGTAACAGATACGAGAACGAATTGGATGTTGTTGGTGTCGGTGGCGCACGTGAAATGGACGTAGATCTCCTTCACTTCCAGCCGCGTATTCAGCTGCTCGAACTTCGACTGGATGAACGCACCACAATCCTCGTAAGTGCTCGGACCTGTTGTTGTTGTTGCTGCTGCTGTGTCTATCTACATGCTTGCTCGCTCTCTATTATGTCTATTATGATGCTCTTTTTGGTCACGGTTATCGTCGTCGTCGTCAATTTGACCATTCTCTCAAAGAGTGCTCCGCCAGGCGGCTGTCCGCGGACCGTGCCAGTCCGCGGACAGCAGTCAAAAATGTCTGAAATTAATCAACGAAACTCGAGATCGGACGCGATAAAAAAATTCATTAAACGTTTTTCGACGTTAAAGTTTTTGAAATAATTTTTTGGAGCGGAGCACTGATCTCTAAATCATCGTTACCATCTCAACCAGCACTACCTTTGTAGTCGGGAAAGCAAACAGTGAGCGGCGAATTATGAATTTTCTCAGCAAATAGATCTTTTTTATTGAGGAATAATATGATGGAGGTCTTTTCAAACCACTTCGTACTACAGATGCTGTGGAAGAGGTTCATACTTTCTATCATACGGTTCTGAATTACGATGGCGTGATGAGTTAAATAAAATGAATTTAAATAAAATGAATGAATGAGTAAAATAACTGAGCCGGTAAGTAAAATGAATGAATGCATGAATGAATGAATGGTTAGATTGATGAATAAATGAATCGTGTGTAACCAATAAACAAGCAAGCAAAAACGAAATCATTAGTCAACCCAGTATATTTAAAAAAATTAGATCCTAGAAACAAGTACAATCATAAGCACAAGAACAGAAACAAAAAAAGTGAACAGAGATCCAACAAAAATAAAAAACATAAACAAAGAATCAGCAAGCATAAACAGAAAAACAAAGACACAAAAGCATACAACAGTATGATCTTCGTAGAGTACAAGATCATATTCACTCAAAGCCACGAGAAATATTATTGCCGTCACACCCTCGAAACAGTGAATCCACTTTTTACGCTCCGACCTCTGACCCCCGATGTCAAAGATTCTAAATATTTTAGATTTATTTTTCTGTTAAACTGACAATTGATGCAGAAGCAACATCATAAATTACAATTTTTAAAATCAAAGTTTTAAAAAACGTTCCTTGTACGTCTTTTACATCAGAGAAAGAGAGAGAGAGAAAAAGAGAGAGAGAGAAAGAGAGAGAGTGAAAGATTCTTTTCATATAAAGAGGATTGAAAGAAAGAGGAAGGAAGCAAAGTAAAACGAGAGAGAGAGAGGAGATAGAGGGGAGGGAGACACAAACTTGAAGGTTACTCCTCTCAATTTGTACGTCATCTCAACAATTCCTGTTGTCTTGACTCTTGTCCTGAGGACATCCTGTGTTGTCGGGATGTAATTTTCCTGACTGATTCGATCCAACGAGTTTAGAAAACTGTGTGTTTTATTTTAATGTAGTCAAGACAATAATGACAAAACTTTCTTCATTATAATTAAATTTAATATCATATTTATAATAATAATTACTATTCAGCGGAATCATTGAGTTGATAGCACTTGGACTGCTTAAAGCAAAGTTGGAGATTTGGATCGAGCCACAACCTCTTCATGATTTTTGCAAGGTCCATGTTCAAATCAACATCCTCCTTCTTCTCAACCAACTCGAAAAATAATCGTGCATCTGACTGATTGATTGGTTGAGTGAAAGTGATTGGCTGATTATGTGAATAGAAAAGTTGTTTGTCATAGGGTGATTGGTTGGTTGGATATTATATAAAACACGCATCCACACACACACACGCACACACGCACACATACAATTCTTTCAGGATCACTAAAGGTCAACTTAAGTCCTCCCAAAGCCCTCAACATGGCAATCAAACTCTGAATGGTGTTGTTGTGTACGACCACTTTGTACGATAGGCACTCTTCTATCGAGTAACCATTCTCATATATGATTCTGATGATAATAATTTATGCTAATTAGGCAAATGTCATGATGAACATACAAATAAATGATGAGTTTGTTAATAAATTATGCAAATTAAATTGGCAAGCTACTTCATCTGCTTTAGGAAGGTACTCTTTCCAGATTCACCAGCTCCTGTTAATAAATAATTCATAAATTTAACAGTGAAAAAAAAATTTTTATTATTAATGTTACTATCTTTACCAATAGAAACAGAGGAAATAAACCTTCTAGATGTAAAGAACTAAATCTCCATGGAAACAAATTAAAAGGCACATCAAAATACATGAATCTATACATAAACCCAGACCAACAAACCCACTAGACAAACAAGCCCAGACAAACAAGCCCAGACAAACAAGCAGACAAACAAAGACATGCACAGAGACAGACATACAGACCCAATAGTAATAATTTAATATGTTGGGATTGTGACTCGGCATCCATCTTCAGCCTCTGGTCAATCTGTTTCGACCTCACTGAGGCTTCTTTTTCTTCCTTGCTCGACAGACAACCCATCTGATGAATCAAATTGGCCAGTCGTGTTAGGCGGCTAATAAAATAAAAAAAAGTATATGATCAAAATAAATAAATTTATGAACAGCAACTCTCTCTCTCTCAAAGTCTCAACAAGGTTTTTAAAAAAGTTTTGGCAACAAGTTTAAAATACAAAAAACACACAGAGAACACATATATAATCGAATAATGGAATAAAATGTATAAAAATATAAATTATCCATAACCGAGGCAACAATTTGCGGTCCATTTGAATTGAAATTATAAAATAATTCTGATTTCTACGTTTTTATAATAATATAATTCATTTCAGTCTCATCCCCATTTGCATTTTAATAAAAAAAATTAACAAAGATAAAGGGACAATTAGTGAAACTAACAAATATTTGTCCCAAACTGAACGCTCGAACTAAAATTTTGAACGAAACAAGCGAATAATAAACTGATTTTTTATAATTTATCTTATAATAAAGTATAAACCGTAAAAAATTCGTAAGCGACAACGATGTGCGCCAAGAAATAAAAAGTAAGTAAGACGTTTAATGAGCTAAGGTTATCTCTAATGTACAGAGATCAGCAGCTAAATGCTTTAACTTAACAAATAACAACGTCCTAAAAGCTCTTTCTGGTATACCATTTGCCATTTGGTTAGGACAAAGAAACACTACTTCATACATATAAACTATCGGAATGCCAGTGCTCGAATATGCATGCCCAGTCTGGGCTCCAAGCACTTCAAATACCTTTAACCCGCCTACAAAAAACTTTCCATAATGCTTCCCTTCGTACCAACACAGGTTGTCACGATACGTTCTCGTAAAATTAAAGAAACACTTCGATGAAAATATAACTACACAATTCAAGTTATACTTCAGACAAACAAAAGTAGTTAGAAGCTCTATTCATTTGTATCAAGCAAGAGTTTTACTCAATGGATGGCCTTCTATCATACCTACAATAAATCATTCCGAACAAACACTACCAAGATCCGTTGGACAAACACCTGCAGAATTCGGTCCAGCTTTAGCATCCTTTACAATGGCTACAAATCAGAATTTAGCACCAACGATACCTACTTGTTTTGCCATCTCCACCCAGACAATGTGGCACGCCTGCTCGATCGCATTAACAACCTTACGCAATAAACATTTGGAATCGGAAAAATCCCACGAAGGGACATGACCAAATCACCGCAGACGGTGTTGCCGGCATTCGTCCTTTATATCATCTAAACCAGAACGACGCAGGATTTCGGTAGATTTGATGTGGTCCTTCAGACTAACTCGTTGCATCCATCGGAGCATTTTCATGTCGGTTCGTTGAAGTTGTTGTTCCAGTTTGGTTGTCATTGGCCATGTTTCTGCACCATATAACAACACCGGACGTATCACAGATTTATTAAGTCTTGATCGTAGTAGTAGTGGGATGTCACGCCGAATCAATATAGACGCAAGGAGATGCCATTTATTTCAGGCTGTACGTATGCGTGCTCGAACGGCAGCTTCAACTGTTCCAGTACAATCCAGAACATTCCCTAGATATTGAAACGATGTGACTTTCTCTACCTTAATGGCTTCAAAAACATTGCTATTTCGTATTTGTTGTTGTGGATTGATGCAAGCGGAACAAAATTGGACAAGCTGAAATGTGAGAATAATTCTATAATGAGGTTAAGCGATTTGAGTAGACTTTTTTTCGCTTAATGACAAGATACTTATTTTTTGGCGAAAATGTGAGAATTTGGCGGGAAAATTGACTCGAGACAACTGTGAAAACACGGACACTCGGATTTTTAGAATGAGACAACTTCAGTACAATTTCACTTTATTTTATTCAATATGTACAAATTAAAAACACAAAATATAATAACCAGCATTTATTATCTAAAAATTAAAAAAACAAAAATCAACAGTTACTGGACGCGCAGTTTTATATATCCTATTATGTTACAAATAACAAAACAGTACATTTACAAAAGATGAAAAACAACATCATCTCTCGACGTTATCAACGGCACTACATCACAACCAACAACAGATACATAAAAACACAAACATGTAGTACGCAGTAACAAATGTAAATAATGTTGCTGGATAATATTAATCACATGTATCGTAATCCTTAAGAGAATGTCATTATCATCAGTCCGTTATCTTTGTATCATTACGACGTATCAAAACACGTTCTAAACAGAAACAACAAACAAAAACAATAAACAAAAACATTTGACGGAAGAAATAAATAAATTGATAATATTACAACAATGTATATACAAGAGGCAGACAAATCAAACAATACCACCGGTCAAACAGTCAACCAATGGCCAATCAATCAGAACTAAGCAGGTGAACCAATTGAAACACACAGCAAGCACACACACATGACAGGGAACTGTATTTATAATTCATCTCTATCCTCTTCCTCTGCTTGCGTCGGTGGAGGAGCACCACCAGACTGTTGGTAGATCTTTGATACGATTGGCTGAGCTACATCTTCCAGTTGTTTCTTGTGTGTCTTAAACTCTTCAGCTTCAGCATCATGATTCTTCTCGAGCCATTTAATCTGCTCCTCTACTGCCTTCTCCAATGTTTCTTTATCATCGCTGCTCAGTTTTCCACCCAATTTTTCTTTGTCCCCGATCTGGCTTTTCAGAGAGTAGGCATAACCTTCCAATTCGTTACGAGCTTCAACCTTTTCTTTAACTTTTTTGTCATCTTCAGCAAATTTTTCAGCATCATTTATCATTCGGTCAATATCTTCTGGTGAAAGTCTGTTTTGATCATTGTTGATGACTATGTTGTTCTTGTTACCTGATTTGGAAGAAAAATAGAGATAACTGAAAATTTGGACAAATACAAAGCAAAGCACTGCAAACAAACTAACGGACAGACAGTGGTAAAAAACTCAAAAATAAATAATACATTTACAATTGAATACAATTATATACAAATCAATCAACCATCAGAAGAGCATGTCAATAAAAGAAGTAAAAAAAAGCAACCTGTTCCCTTATCTTCAGCAGTGACTCTCAAGATACCATTAACATCAATTTCGAATGTGACTTCAATCTGTGGTACACCCCTTGGTGCAGGAGGGATGCCTGTCAGATCGAATTTCCCCAACAAGTGGTTATCTTTTGTCATTGGTCTCTCACCTTCATACACCTGGATGGAGACAGTGGGCTGTTGATCAGCAGCCGTCGAAAATATTTGAGATTTTTTTGTAGGAATGACTGTGTTTCTTCCAATGAGTTTTGTCATGACACCTCCAACTGTTTCAATACCGAGAGTCAGGGGATTGACATCAAGAAGTACAAGATCACCTGTGTCCTCTTCACCTCCCAACACACCGGCCTGAACAGCTGCTCCATAGGCAACTGCCTCATCTGGGTTAATGCCACGACTTGGCTCCTGAAATTTAATAAGAAAAAATTTGAGGCATGCAAAAAATGTCCACTATGTATGTAGTCACATGCACACAACTCAGAACAGAGACAACCCATAAGAGAACAATTAACTAATGGAGACAAAATAAAGTGAACCAGTACAACAAATATCCTACAGAAAACAATCATAGAAACAAAAGATGACAATCCTACCTTTCCATTAAAGAAATCCTTAACAAGCTGTTGCACTTTGAGGATACGTGTGGAGCCACCCACCAAAACAATTTCATCAACTTGATCTTTCTTCAAATCAGCATCTTCTAATACTTTCTGCACTGGTTTGATTGTGGACTTGAATAGGTCCTGCAGAGAATTTTTAATAACACTATCATCTAAAACCATTTAATTTAACCATGGTTTGATAAGCATTAAAAAATTCAAACTTGATGAGATTAAATTAAAACACACATAATTGATACAAAACAGGCAGATACATCCTAAACCAACTACTAACAATGTTCAGTTCCTCAAATTTAGCTCTTGTCAGTGTCTCAGAAAAGTCATCTCCATCAAAGAATGATTCAATTTCAATCTTAGCTTGATGTTGTGAAGACAGAACTCTTTTTGCCTTTTCCACTTCTCTTCTTAGTTTCTGAACAGCCCTGTTGTTTGAGCGGATGTCCTTACCCTTCTTCTTTTTGTACAATTTGATGAAGTGGTCCATAACACGTTGGTCAAAATCTTCACCACCTGTTGTTGAATTAATATGAAATGTTGTATTATTTCCAATTTATAAATAATGAAGCAAGTTTAGATTTAAAATGCTGGTGATTATACAAATTTTAAACACCTCCTTCTCAACAAACCTAAATGAGTATCTCCATTAGTTGAGAGAACCTCAAAGACACCATTGTCAATTGTGAGTAGAGTGACATCAAAAGTACCACCACCGAGATCAAACACTAGAATGTTCTTCTCACCTTCCTTCTTATCTAAACCATATGCAATGGCAGCCGCTGTCCTAACAAAAAACAACAAGAACTTCTCTTAGAATTTTGATATAACATATGAAAGATGTTTTGAACTATTGAGATACTAAAAACAAACAAGCAATTTAAAAAGCAAACAGAACTAACGGTTCATTGATGATCCTCATAACATTAAGACCCGCAATAGCACCTGCATCTTTGGTAGCCTGTCTCTGAGCATCATTGAAATAGGCAGGCACTGTGACAACAGCATGAGTGACTTTTTTGCCAAGGTAGGCTTCTGCTACTTCCTTCATTTTTATCAGAACCATAGCAGAGATTTCCTCAGGGGCAAAAGTTTTGGTTTCTTCTCCAACTTTAACTTGAACGTAGGGTTTGTCATTTTTGTTGGTGACTGTGAATGGGTAGAACTTGATGTCTTGCTGTACTGATGGTTCATTGAATCGGCGACCAATCAAGCGTTTAACATCAAAAATGGTGTTTTCAGGATTTGAAGTAAGCTGATTTTTAGCAGCATCGCCAATCAACCTCTCGCCTTCAGGTGTGAAAGCGACATAGGATGGTGTGATACGATTACCTTGATCATTTGCTATGATCTCTACACGACCATTTTTGTAAACACCAACGCTGAAAAATCATTAAAAAAGATCGTTATAAGTTTTATATCAATTAAAAATTCAGCTAATACAACAAAATACAAAAACACAAAGTAAGTTTATACTTTAATGGCTAGAACATATAAATGGAAAAGAAAAAAAAGGATTGGAAATAGATTAGTACCATGAATAAGTAGTTCCAAGATCAATACCGATGACTGTGCCAACACTGTCTTTTTTATCATCTTTCTCATCTTTGTCTTTGGCGTGACAGGCTCCAAAGACCAGCACAATTACACTCAGGAATCGTAAATTGGAGAACATTTTACGTCTGTAAAGTAACTTTAACGTTTGAAATCAAGTAAACACAAATATACCAACGATCAGCTTAAATTTAAAATTTAATAAATGGCAGACGCAAGCAACACATGTACGCTTTCGGAAACGCCGACAGCACGACTAACAAAAAAAAGTAGCTACCAAGTTTACCTACCTAATTACAAAACACAGTGTACAAATTAGGAATTCCACAAAAATATTTGACTAATTAGAATAGAAAATTGAAAGAAAAATATCCTAAAAATCGTAAACTTAACGCTCGAATTGATTACAAATGAAACATAACCTGCTATAGAAAAGTATGCCTTTTAAGCTACGCTAAGAATGACTGCACATTATCGTGTCTTAACGCTATTGGTTCGAGTAATCGGCATACTTTGATAATATTGGTCGAAAGTAGGTCACCATAATACTGACGTATCAAAGAATGTTCTGTACCGGCAAGTAACGAATATTAGGGACACGTCAGTGTTAAGTTTGTTCAAGATCGAGAACGTTCTCCCCGACATATTTTCAGATCGAAAAATTAATTTCTACGTTTCTTGCACCATACAGTATCAAACATATATATATAGATATAGATATACATCAAAGTATCCCAATTGAACTACGCATAAAATTTCACTAATACGTTATTGTTAAATCAACGGTGCAACACAAATAATAAAATGTAGTATCTAGATTTAACATAGAGTGCTTAGAGTACGATACGTGTATTTCGAGTGCAAATGTCACGAATAATTCAAGTTTATTAAACGGAATTAGAGTTATAGTTAATGCTACAAAACTAATTTAAACATTTTGCTTATATTTAAGACCTGAGGAAATCTAGCAAACGTTCATCGCAAAATATTAAGGCGTGCAGTGAAAACTTAATAAGTTATCAAACATAGACAAAGATAATCATTTAATATCAATTTTATTGATTTATTACATATGCATGGCTTCATCTCAAATGATTCATCAAACAAGCTTTTCTCTTAACCACTGTTCCTGATTTCTTCAATACGTAGGCACGACACTAAGTAAAGAGGAACGGTTGATGTCGGGTAACAGATTAAAACTTGATTCACCAAACTAAATTTATGTCGGGATTTCCATTATCGAATTAAACCTTTTCATGCTTAGAAAATTGAGTACTAATGAATCTAATAAAATAAACAAACGGCCTAATACATTATAATCAACGATTGGTTTTATTTCAATCCTAGTAAGCCAACCTACAGTTTCAGTGAGCAACGGTATTTCACCGGACAAAAAGCGATTTTTGCATTCAAATTAACAAAAATAATTTTAAAATACATAATTCAATTTAATTACCACATTTTTTAAACATGATAAGTCGAATAAATATTTCATATAGCTTGTTTGTTAAAACAATTTAATATGTAAGCCATTAAGCCAAGAAAGTCAAAATAGCCCAATTCGTTTTTAATGGTTCTTTCACTTTTAACCAAAAAAGTTTTATCAAATTGCCGAAAACGAATACAAAAGACACCGATGAATCCTAAAACTCAAATTAGGCATGACGTTTCGATTGCAGAGGTATTATTTTTTATTATATATTATATTTATTATATAATTTCTACGTGATGTTACGATATACTTGACGTATTCTCCTTTTCCTGCCAAGCAGGGTTGCAGTTTTTTTATATTTATGGTAACCAATAAGTAATTTGCTAATCTAAGTAACACCGACGCATGATGACTAACTAGCCTAAATATAATTAATTAAAAATTAAATATTCAATAAATAATTCCTAATTTTTGTCAATTTTTTAATTTAATAATTAATTTAATTTTTAATACAAGTTAAAAGTAAACAAAAAATATCTTTTTTACAAAAATTTTATTATTTTAATTAAATTTAATTAAGTCTTAAAATCCAAACCTATTCTATATCTACAAGATATATATATAATAAATAACTAATATATTTATTGCAATGACTTTATGGGTATCTTTATTTTCAATTAAACTTGAAATTAAAATACAAAAATTAGGAAATTCAAAAGTATGTAAAGTTCTTGACAGAGAGCCCCAAAGAGGTATTATCAGATGCAGAGGAGGAGGAAATGATTAGGTTCATATTGGTGAAAACTTCGTCAATCCCATTCACAGAGGAAGCTGCCCTTCAGTATGTTGGCCATCTCTACAAAAAATCTGTTGAAGATCATTTGGCAAATCTTCATACAACAAGCTCAAGTAAGAATTTATTTTAGTTGAAAATTTTTTTTACTTCTAAATCTCGTACAACCATTCGATACAGACACTCATGCATATAATTAATTTTTTCTTTTATTTTCAAAGATAATTATGATGATGAGAATAAGTTTGAGAAGAAAATTGACAAAATTGAAGGTTTATTTGTTCAACTTCTACATACAAACAGCCTTTTCTGGGCCACCAAGCTCTCCAGTGTCAGTTTTTTAAATGGTTTTATAATTTTTTTATACCCAGTTTTGTTTTTACATTTTTTGGCAATTAATTCATTTTTATTGAAGTTAAATAACACCCATCCATCTATTAACTCAAATGCAAAACTACTTTTCTATGTATCAATAAAATCTCACCAAACTCAAATGAATTAAAATTTTATTTAAATCAACTTTTAAATATAGTGGGCCTCAAGTTTGTTGGGCGAAATTGGTCAGGAATTTTCAACTCATAGTAATATAGTTTTGCTGTCATCTGGTCTGAACATGTTGAATGATCTTCTGCTACTATGGACCAGTTGTTATGCTACAAGATCTCTCGTTCAGATTCTGGCTAGATGTATTAATTTATTGTTAGTTTGTGTTTGTAATTTTGTGTATGTGTGTGTGTGTGTGTATGTGTGTGTGTGGTGTGTGTGTGTGTGTGTGTGTATGTATGTGTGGTGTATGTGTGTGTGTGGTGTGTGTGTGTGTGTGAAAGTGCATACATACATTACATACATACCTTACATATATACATACATGCATTGTCTAATCAACAGGCCAGACATAGAAATGGACAAGTGCTTTGATTTGCTGCTCGTGACATCTGTCAAATTTTCTCCGCATTTTGATTGGGTAGTTGCTCATATTGGGTGGAGTTTTATTTTATTTTTGTCATTTTAATAAAAATTATTGTTTTTGTCGTTGTTCTCTTTGTTATAATGCTTCATTTGCAACTTATTCAGATCATGCTTTCCGAGGCAGGTCATTAAAAGAATGCTCCACTGTGGCCTCAATGATTATTTCATTAAAAATTACCCTAGCAGTATTAACAATAACAATAATAATAATCATAATAAACAAATGATGTTTAAATCATCATCATCGTCGTCTCTGATGAAATCATCATCATCATCGTTGTCTTCATCATCGTCATCGTCTCATTTGATGAAAATGCAAGCTGCCGCTGCTCTGGCCGATAGAGGAATACAAAAAATACCATCTGTTATTGGTATTCTCGGCTATTTATCGTTGCACCATTCTTTTACATTGGAATTGGCTGTGCTGAATTTGATTAGGGTTAGTGAAAGTTTTATAATGTGGTTCTTTTCCTTTCTGTGTTTGTGTCTGTGTATGTGTGTATGTATGTGTGTGTGTGTATGTGTGTGAGTGTTAATGTGTGTGTGTGTTATTTATATGTTATCATTGATAATTGCATGGCCTAGTGGTATAGTGCCTGTCTGCTGACAAAGTCTTGCATTCCTGTGACTGAGTTTGAACGCGATGCAATGACAAACTCTGCATATCATGACATGCCTGCCTGTGTGATGTCTTACCTTGCACATATACTGTCTATTTAGATAGTTTAATTCAATTATATTAAACAATTAATTAAACAATAGATGGGATGGTTTTGTATTCATTAAAGAACTAATTATCTCGCCAGGAGTACGTTAATGATGATCAAACTACAACTTCTTCACACTCTACATCATCATCATCAGCAGCAGCAGCTGCTGCAGCAGCAGCAGCAACGACATCAACATCGACATCACATGAGGAGATAATAGCAACGCCATATTATGTATTGCATTTGATGTCACAATCATCTCCGTTGTTGAGAATCTGTTCTAGTGTATTTCTTAACGAAGGTAGCTGTGTGTGTGCGTGTGTGTGTGTGTGCGTGCGTGCGTGTGCGTGTGTGCCTGCATAGCTGGATTGTTTTGGGAGTTTTGTGAAACTTGCATATGCCTGAATGCTTCTTTGCTATTATTAAATTTTATTGTTATAGCTTTGTCATCCTCGTCGTTATTATTGTTTTTTTTAACTTCATCATCACCATCATCATCACCAGCCTCATCAGATGTTCTCATGATGATGGCCTACAAGATGAAACATCATCCTCAGTTTATTGATTATATGAGGTGAGGTTTGTTTGTATTTCTGTTTTTAATCTAAGTTATCTTTTAATCATTCCTTTATTTATTTATTCATTTATTAATTCATCTTGTCATTCATTCATTCGTTCGTTCGTTCGTTCACCAACAGTGCATTGTACATGTTGTCAAAATGCATTCTCAATATGGACTGCTTATTCTTGAAAGTCATCCAAACGTTGATGAAACATGCTTGCTACCAAACAGGTACGCACACGTACACACACACGTACACACACACGTACACATACACACACGCAACACAACATACACATATACACATTCATATCTTACAGACAGATGCATTGTACATTATTAGCTAGTAATATTTTAATCAATTTTATGACAGAATCAAACCATCAAGAAAAAATGATGATCGACCACGATGGCGATAATAAAAACATAAAAACCAATAATAATAATAATAATAATAATAATAATAATAATAACGTTGGTGTTAAAATTGCCATGGAGAGAGAGATATTGTTGAAAGATATCTCAACCATGTGCCAGCATTTACTAGTAAGTTCATTACATACATATATACATACATACATACATGCATGCATGCATGCATACAAACATACATACAAACTTACATACAAACTTACATACAAACTTACATACAAACATATATACAAACATACATACATACAAATATACAGAACCAGGTATGTGTACAACTGCAGTCGGCAACATACACTCAGCTTGACACCCTTGTCTTTTCTGTTGAGATTCGATCCTTTGCTTCACTGAAACAGGACATTCTAGATTTGTGTGACTTTTACATCAAATTATGCTGCAATAATAATAATAATAATAATAACGGTATTAATAGCCGAGATAATGTGACTACACTGAGGTAGGTGTCAGTGTTATTATTTTTTTGTTATTGACAATTATTCATTCTTTTGTTCATTCCTTTGTTCAATCATTCACCAATCCATTCTTTTCCTCATTCATCTACCCATGCATTCTTTCAAATGGTTGTCGATTTATTCATTCAGTCTTTCATTCAGTAATAAGTCTTTAATGGATGCCAACTAAATAATAAGCTCGTAATTAATTAATTAATTGCTTCTTTTTTAGATTTATCGAAAACTATTGTAAGTGCTAAATATTTTAAATATTTCTCAAGCGTTTGATTCTATAGCCATCTTATAAAATTATCTAAAAACCTTACAACGGCTTTTAACATTCGTCACACTTTGTACGTAAGCTCGGGTTTTGTGTCTTGTAAACTTTCGCAATTTAAATGAGTTGTTTCCGTCCGTTTTATTAAATCGCCCAACTTGGTCGCATCAATGCCATGCAAGGTTTGAGTATTTTGATAGATTCGCCTACATGTCTACATCTTCAAGGTTGCGTGAAAGGGTTTATTAACGTTCCAACGTGTTTCTTATATAAGCATCAAATGTCTCGCCTATCCCCGAATGTCGTGATTTATTATGGAAATAATAACTGAGTGAATGTTAGAAATATTATTAACTAGGTATTAAATGAATTAATTCAAGTTCAATGTGGATTTACAAGCTGTTGACCTGTGCCTGCCTGCACGAACCACTATCATCTGCCAAACCTTCCACCGTTTTAGCTAGGGTCTTCATAAGATCACGCGGCAATGTTAGTGGCGGTGCTGCTGATGATGATGACGGTGATGATGATGATGATGATGTTATGTTGTAACGATAGTGATGAGATGATGGTGACGATACAGATGGTAACAGTAATCATGATGACCAATCGATCAACTGATTGATTAATCAGTCATTCGATTAATTAGTTGATTAATTATAGATTAATGATATTGTTATACCTTTATATTTCTAGTTTGACGGGTTTTCCCAGCTGTTACTTTCACTTTCCATAAAGCATCCAGCCATCCTTGATGACTGTGTGGATAAAATTATGGACTTCACAGCAGGCAATTCATTCAAAGTTGATGACGACGACGACGACGATGATGATAGCGGTTTTGATGATAGTAGTGATAGTAGTAACAACAACAGCAATAACAACAACAACAACAACAAGAGAGATAGAAAGATAGGGAGAGTAATACAGAATTTGTACATTCGCTGCTCTGAGGAAGTTAAATCTGATATTACAACGAGGTTGTTGTGGTTGTTGTGGTTATTGTTATTATTATTATTATCATTATTATCATTGTTATTATTATTATTGTTATTGTTATTTCAGACAAACAGTCATATCAGTGTTGAAACGTCGACACCTAGAAAGTATAGGCAATCTCATATCTTCATACTCCACTGATGTCCACAGGAACTTCAACAGGTCCTCAACGCTGCTCAAACTTTTTAACTTGGTTCAAATGTTTGACAGCAGCAGCAGCAGCAGCAACAACAATAACAACAACAACAATAATAATAATGTTGATTGTTGTGTTGCGGTGTTGTTGAGAATTTCTGACATACTCATCGAATGTTTTTTCAGATGTATTCTTTTGAAAGGTAGTTTGTTCGTTCGTTTGTTTGTTCGTTCGTTCATTTGTTCGTTCGTTCGTTTGTTTGTTGTTGATGGTGTTGTTCATGATGCTAACGATGACATCTTTTATTTTTGTGGTGCTGGACACGTTAGTGATGATGTTTGTCGATATTAAAATCCACTTTTAGAATGAAAAATAAACAAACATTAAACAAACAGATCTCTCCAAAAGACAGCAAATATGTTACGACTGCATCAGAGTACTGAAATATCTATGCACAGAAAATGCACCAACCCAGATTAAAACTATTAGATCTATCGTTAAAATATCTTTGTTGGAGGTACATGTCTGTTGTTGCTCATGAAGATGGCGATGTTAATAATGACGTGTTGTTGTTGTTGCATGCACTCTTTGTTGATTTGGAAAAGTACACTGATATTTTTTAAAAGTTAATTCAATTATTTATTTAAGAAAAAAATGATTTTTTCATAATTTAGTCATTCTGTCATCTCTTTGATGAATCGAAACAAAGAAATTTTTCACTGGAAAAACGAAAGATGACGTCATCGCCATCAATGGCGTCATCAACAACCTCTACGACGAGCCTGTTGAGACAAAATCAAAACCTATCCTTACAAACCTTCTATAACAGCAGAAATAAAAGAAATAATAAAATTACTACTACTACTACTAATAATAATAATAATAATCATTTTGGCGGATTTAATACTTTAATATTCCACAGTGGAGTTATTGGCAAGGGTCTACAGAATGCTAACAATAACATTAACACCGTTAACAATGTATCTCACAATGACGATGGTGACGACGATGATGATGATGTTGATATGGAAGTTGAGGGTTTTGAGGTGTCCATTCTTTTCTTTTCATTTTTTTATCACTTCGTTCATTCATTCGTTTCTTTATCCATTCTTTCTTTCTTTCCTTCACTCTTTCATTCATTCCTTCATTCCTTCCACAGACACACTGGCCGGCAGTGACGACAACACTAAACAGGCAGTTACTAATACAGTTGCTCTGGGAATGTTGCTTCAGAAGAGTTAACAACAAAAACAACAGCAAAAATAATAACAATAATAATAATAAACAAAACAACAATAATAACAATAATAATAACGACCTCCAAATAACCTCAGAAGTAATTAAAGCCATGTCGTCCGTACTGATAGAAATCGTCATGCCAGACATTCTGTACAACGGACTTCAGTGGCCCGACGAAGATTTTATTAGGGTCACGGTCGAAAGGTCAGTCATCGAATGGGCCAAGGTTTTTTTATATAAGGAGGTCAAGGTCGTTTTTATAATTAGGTCAAGTTTAGTTTCATTTTTTCCTTTATTAAACAGGGATTTGTCAGTCCAGAGGAAATTTGAAAAGCATCCTATAATTTGGGATTTTCTAGATTTCTTAGCAAGCAGTTAGTTTTGATTGACCAAAATTGAATTTTCAATATTATTTATTTATTCTTTCGTTCATTTATTCATTCAATAATTAGTTTAGCCAATCAGTGATTTCTAATTAATTTCAACCTGTTAGACGGAAATGGACTTTGGTACTGTTCTTGCATAATAAGAAGCCTACTATCCTGTCTGATTCTACAATGGGAGTCTACGAGGATGACCTCAGCCTCCGAACTTCAAGGTCAGATCAAGTTCACCATGAAGGTTATTGACTTGATGAAGAAGGTTGGAAGCGTTGTGCTGGAGATTTTTTTTTCGTTTTTATATTTGTTTATTTTGTATGTCGTTGTTTCTAGCCTTTTGTTATTTGTCGTCTTTTGCACGTGACAACATTATTAACTTTGTCATCGTCAACAACATCCAACGACATCATTATTTACCGCAACAACGACAACAACAACGTCACAGGGTCAGTTGTTGACGGAACCGCTTAGTCACACAGACAGCCTACTGCAGCATTTGAACCCTTTTGAAATCTATCTACTGCTATTAAATATTTGGAAATATGTAAAGGTAGTGATTATGGTGCTGGTTGTGGCGATGATGAAGATGGCATCGTTTGTGACGGTGAAGAAGATGATGATGCTTTTGATGAATATTTGAATGATGGCGTATTAGTGAAATAATAATAAACTGTTGAATGATTATTCATTTTCATTGCAGGAATATTCTCCGATGCCAGGGCAGAAACCGCAAATAAGTAAAACACAATAAATAAATAAATAATTATAGTTATAACGATGATAATATTTTTTAATAATTTTCATTTAGGTTCCAAGTATACGGACATCATACATATAATAATGCAGAACAACATTGAGAAATGTGGTCACTTATATGCATTATTCTTTAGGCCCGTGTAAATCTTCTTTCACATCAGCCTCACATATAATGTGAATGAAGTCACACTATCATCAAGGACTACAACTTCAACAAAGACGAGATTAACTAGTATTTAACATGGCATTCTAAATTTATTAATATATAAAAAAAATACAATTTTTGAAGTATTTCATTTGTTCTTTATTCATTACTATGTTTATGTTATCATTCTTCCTCATTCTTATTCACTCATGTGTTTAATTTTTAAATATTTTTCATTATTCATCAATTCAGTTCTGTACAGTTTACAGTAGAAAACATTTTTATTATAGTAGAAACTCGTTTATGAAGAACAATGGCAAACATCTGAAGCACCTAGCTAATTGTCTAAAAATCTTTGAATACATGAGTTTATTGGTTTTTACCTCCAGTTAACAAACTCGCGACTGACTGACTACTCTGCGTTTGAACCAGGAGATAACAAAATTTCTTGAAAATATTGGTGCATGTATTACACGTTATTTTATGTATAGTGTCTTGAATCGAACCGGGTAGTTAAAATGCAATACTGAACGTTATATACCATTTATGTATTTGTCGCGTACTATAGTTCAATTTTTTATTTTGGCTTACCATGAAATTTAAAAATAAATGTAAACAATAATAACAATGGCGGTGCCAGTTCAATTCTCTGATGGCGATTTCAACCGAATGCAGGTTTTGAGATTTAAACTTTTACTTGGATTTTTGTTGGGAATTAGTGCAGAATATTAGTTTATTATTTTTAATTTTTATTAATTTATTAAAATCAGTTATTGTCATTTATTCAGTAATATTGCTATTTTAATTTTAGTTGGATGTTGATCTCTGTAATTTTTATAATATAAAGTTTTCCTAAAATAAATAGTAAAGAATCTAAAAATGAAAAAAAGTTTAAATTAGCTTCAATATGTCATTTAACAAAATTGTTATTTTGATCTAATGTATTTATTTTTACAATCTGGTCATAGGTTAATTTATTATTATTATATTTATTTATAATTTATTATATTTATTAATTATAAGGAAGAGATCTTAATATGGATGAGTTTGCTTGAAGAAATGATGACATTGAGATTGAATTGAAGGAGATTGTTTGAATGATTGACTGAATGATTGATTGAATAAGAGAATGAGTGAAAAAATTTATAACAGGCCAATAATTTGTTTATTCATAATTTGAAGAGTAAAGTGAAATAATTTAGTGTTCTCCCTAAGAGTCTACTCTAAGTTTACTAAGTTAGACAAAATAGATATTATTCCTGTTCTAATATATATAAAATAACATTTATCTATTAATATCATTTGTGTTATATAATTATTAATAATTAATTTTAATATTATAATAACATTGTTAATTAAATTTGTCATTAGAACCAACTGCTTGAATTAAGAGAAATGCTATATAAGTCAGATGAAAAATGCAGGAAGCAAGAGAAAGGTGGTTTAATTTGAATTAATTTCATTTAGTTATTATTTGAATAATAATAATATTTTATAATTATCTTTATATTATTTCATTTTAAAAAAAACTCAGAATTAAATGCAGTAATTGAGGAGCAAAGAAAATTAGAGAGAGACTTAACAAAAGCCAATCAGGTCATTCATTTATGTATGCTAATATTATGATCCCATAACAATCCTTATTTTCTTTCTAGTACTTTCTTTTTTTATAATATTCTTTCTCTCTCTCTTTCTCTCTTTCTTTCTCTCTCTCTTCTCTCTCTCTTTCTCAATTTTATATATACTAATATTATGATCCTCACAACAATCCTTGTTTTCTTTCTTGTATTTTCTTTTTTTATAATATTCTTTTTCTCTTCTCTCTCTCTTTCTCTCTCTCTTCTCCCTCTTTCCTCTCTCTCTCTCTTTCTCTCTCTCTCTCTCTCTCTCTCTCTCTCTCTCTTTCTCAATTTTATATATAATTATATTATGATCCCCATAACAATCTTTGTTTTCTTTCTTGTACTTTTTTTTATTTTTTTTTATAATATTCTCTCTCTCCTCTCTCTCTTTCTCTCTCTCTTTCTCTCTCTCTCTCTCTTTCTCAGTTTTATATATACTAATATGGATATTAGAATGGAAGAATAGTTGTTGGCCACACAAATTTTGTTCCATTGTTCTTATAAATATAAAATGAATACATGGTAGGAATTATTTATAGAGAAAACAAACCATTACTTTCACTATTTTATTATGATAATTGTTATTTTATTATTTTCTTATCAATTTTTTTATTTTTAATAATAAGTTTTGTATGAATATTCTTTTTTCCCTATCATTCAGATCATAAACAAAAGCAAGAAAGCGAAAGTGATTAGTTAATTTGGTTCATTTAATCATTATTATTATTATAATAATTATTATTATTATTAATTTAATAATTATTAATAATAATTATTATTATTATAGGATTATGAGTTAGCACTGAACGAGATTGACTCTCTTCGGATGAAGCTGCGATGCTATGAAGATGATTTCCGGATTCAGAACGAAGCTCTGATGAAAGAGCTGGGAGAGGTTTTGATGATGATTGCGTCGATGATTGTAATGATAATGGTGGTTGTGGTGATGATGATGATAATAATGGTTGTTGTAATGATGATGATAATGATTGTGAGTTTGATTGTAACGGCGGTCGTTCATTCGTTTGTTCGTTTCTTTATTCTTTCTTTCGTCCATTCACTCATTCATCTACATTTCCATCCGTTTTTCATAGCTTGTGACGACAAATGAAACACTGGAGAAGGAGTTAACCCACTACAGAACGACTGCCAGCACCTCTGCCAGCCACAGCAGCACCACAAACAACAACAACGACGACATCGTCGATGACGTCAGCATCGACGTCACAGCAACGTCATCATCACTATCAGGAATACTAGCTACGACGCCCGCAGCCTATCAACAAAAACAACTGCTACTGCAAGATGAAGTACGAAGACTACAAGCCCAGTGTAATGTACTGTTGAAACGTTAGCATTCATTTCTTTTTAGAATGACGGAGAGAGAGGGAGAGAGAGATTGAGAAAGAGCTTAGTTTATGTAGCTAATTACAAAAGTGGTTTTATTTCTGTATTTAAAGTTTAAGCAATTTTTTTGTCTATTATAAGCTGGTGTGAAAATAATATTGGATCCTAGTTGCTTACTTATTGTTTTGGCACACACAAAGTTCTTAAGTTAATTTTATTTGATGTATGTGCTGATAATCTGTCCATCATTGTAGAGGTCACATATTCCTCTCTCTATCTAGTTCATATTAAATATCTAGTTGAACGTTTTGCTGCATTTGTCTTTGACCGGCATTCAAAACTGAACGGTCAAAGTTGAAGTTTTTTTCTAGCGGTTCTTATTAACACTGGGTATCTGTCTGTAAGATTGGAGGTAAGTTAGTGGCCGGAATGAAGCTGACAGTATTTTATGCACCAACCTCACGTGCTAATTTTACAGTTTTTTTCATTATCATCATCATCGTCATTATATTAAATTGATATAATTACATTATTATTATTATTATTATTATTATTACAGAAAATGCCACACTGAAGTTGCCATCGTCAACAACTCCAGCAGTACCAATTCTATCAGATGTTGAGGATGATTTATCCATGCCACCATCATCATCATCAACAGCAACAACAACAACAACAACATCATCATCAGTAACAACAACAACAACAATAACATCATCATCACCAATAATAACAACATCATCATCAACAGCAGCAACAACAGCTATGATTACAACTGAAGATGATATTTCAGGTTCATTATAATTGTGATGTGGTTTATGATGACGACGACGACGATGATGATGATGATGATGAAGATGATGGCGACGATGGTGATGATTTTTGAAGGTAATAGTTATAGTGATGACAACGATGAAGATGATTTCATTTTTTTTAAAGTTGATCTAGAAATGAAACTGTCCATAGAGAGAGAAGAAAAATTTTTATTAAAGAAACAATTCTCAGATTTGCAGGTCGGCCCAATTAATTAGTTCGTCAATTAGTGGATAGATGGATGAAATTCAGTGGATGAATGGAGTGTATTACATTTGGAGAATGACTGAATGAATAGATAAATAAATAAATATATGAAAATAAATATATGTAATTTTAATAACGTTAATAAAATGCTGTTAACCAGGGCAAGTTTGTGGAGAGGAGTACTTCATTGCAAGCTGAAGTGGACCGATTGAACGAGAAGTTGAAAAAGAAACAAGAGAGGTGACGCAGATGACGATGGCTGTTGTTGTTGTAATGGTGAAAGAGATGATGATTTTTATGGTGATGGTGATTTATCATAATAATTATAATGATTATAATAATTATCATTACAATTATAATTATAATATCAAACAACAAACAGTCTCTTACAGTTACAAGAATCCAAAGATCATTTATATAACGAAATGGAGTTAGTTCATTCATTCATTGATTCACCCATTCGTTCGTTCGTTCGTTCGTTCGTTCATTCATTCATTCATTCATTCATTCATAAATTTCTTCATTCATTTCTTCATTCGTTCATTTATTTATCCATCTATTTAGCTCCCATCAATCAATTATTTAGCCAATCATTCAAGTATCCAAGCGTCAAAACAACTTATCACATTAAATTAACCACTGAAAGTTATCTAGCCATTCTACTCCAACCAATTAAAATCACTTAACCGATTAACTAGCCAATGAAAATCAACCACCATCAACCAATCACATCACAGCACAAAACTCCAAAACACGACCAAAGACCTCACCCTATCGTTATCTCATCTTCGGACATCGTACGAACAAAAAGTGAACAAACAGACGCAGGAAATAGAACAACTGACCAAAGATATTAAATCACTAAAGATGAAATTAACAGAATGCGAAACCCAGGTTATTGTGATGATTATCTGATGATGATAATAATAGTAATAATAATATTTATAATAATAATAATGGTTAATAATGTAATAACGACAACAATTAACAACACTCTGAACCACAGAAACTGGAGTCAGTGGAGAAGCAGAGGGGGATGGACGAGCAGAGAGAACAAAGAGTGAAAGAGATCGTCAATGACTGCCAACTCAATGTTACGAAATACAAACAGGCCAATGACCAGTTGAGTGAGAGATTGAGCGAAGTTAAGGAGGAATTAAAAGTATGTCGTTGTCGTTGTTGTTGCTATTGTTGTTGTCTGTCGTTGTTGTTGCTATTGTTGTTGTCTGTTGTTGTTGTTGCTATTGTTGTTGTTGCTATTGTTGTTGTTGCTATTGTTGTTGTCTGTTGTTGTTGTTGCTATTGTTGTTGTCTGTTGTTGTTGTTGCTATTGTTGTTGTCTGTTGTTGTTGTCTGTTATTGTTACTGTTGTGGCTGTTGTTGTTACTAATTGTTATTATTATTATTTCGTTTTTGTTGTTGTCGTGAAATATTGATAAGAAAACTTCAGCAATGACATTAACAACAACATCATCAACAACAACAACAACATCATTAACATGGCATCAACAACAACAACATCATTACATGGCATCAACAACAACAACAACATCATTAACATGGCATTAACAACAGCAATGCACAGACAGCAACACTAAGTTGACGGAGGATTTGAGCAAACTCCAAGCAGATTTCACAAAGCAGTCTGACGTCTTAAAGCAAGTCACCGAGGTCGTTTAATTATAGTTATAATTAATAATTATAATTAATAATTATAATTTTGATTAGTAATTATTATTAATTATAATTCATTTATTTATTATATTTTTTTCTTCAATATATCTTACATATGTCTTGATGGCTGATAGCATGGAAGAATTGCAGTTAAAATTTGACAGATGGAAAAGTGTTATTGAAAAGAAAGGGTTAAAAGTTAATATTGGTAAGACGAAGGTAATGGTGAGTGGGGAAGGTGGGGAGCGAGTGATAAGTAAAATAGACCCCTGTGGGGTATGTGATAGGAGAGTGAAGGCTAACTCAGTATTGTGTATAGGATGTCAGAAATGGGTGCATAAGAGATGTAGTGGTGTGAGGGGGGCACTGAAAAAGGTGGAAGGCACGTTCAAATGTAAGAAATGTGTTCATGGTGTGATTAATAGGACGGACGCAAGGACGGGGTTGAGTGGTGGTATTGAAAGAGTGGAAAGCTTTGTTTACTTAGGGGATAAGCTGAATGCGGATGGAGGATGCTTGAGCGCAGTTACGGCTAGAGTTCGTGTTGGATGGATGAAATTTAGGGAACTGGGTGGGGTATTGTGTGGAAAGAAATGGTCAGTGAAGATGAAAGGGAGGGTATATAACGCATCTGTGAGAGCAGCGATGGTATATGGTGGTGAAACTTGGGTGTTGAGGAGAGAGGAGGAAAGTGTACTGCAGAGGGCTGAAAGAGCTATGGTGAGGATGATGTGTGGGGTTAAAGTGAAGGATAGGAGGAGTAGTACAGAGCTGATGTCAATGATGGGACTGAATGAGGACATTGTGACATTGATAAGGAGATCAAGATTGCGGTGGTATGGACATGTGTTGAGAAGGGATGAAAGGGTCGGGATTAGGCGAGCGTTGGAGTTCGAGGTTGAAGGAGTGGTAGGAAGGGGTCGTCCGCGATTGGGATGGAGAGAGCAGGTGGAGAAGGACAGGGTGAAAGCGGGGTTGCGTGATACTGAGGCGAGTGACAGATGTGGATGGCGTCGAAGGGTATTTCGGTTTCATCATAGGTAGCCAAACGGCAACCCCCGATCTCGGGGAAAATGCCGTCTAAACGTGTGTTGTATATCTTACGAACATCTGCAGCAAATATACATGAAACAACAGACCTCATAAATCGCATGTGGTAGATGGATATCTCTTTGCGATCAAATGCAGTCACAATTCATTTATAACCAACTAGACAACTCATCGTTCAATCAATCAATTCATCAACCAACTGACCAATCAATCAATCAATCAATCAACCAATCATTCATTCATTCAGTTAATCAAACCACCACTCATTCAACCAACCGACCAACCAACCATTTCTTAGTTAGCAGATAACAGAAAGAAACTCTTAGACCAGCTGTCGATAAAATATCAAGAAGTTATGGATAGCCACAAAGCAGCAATGAAAAAAGTGAACTCAGATCACGAGCAGGCTGTAAATTCTTTGAACAGTGAATTGGGAAGTTTGAAGGTTCGGTAATTTTTAGGTTTCATTTAATTAATTCTCTCTCTCTCTCTCTCTCTCTCTCTCTCTCTCTCACTCTTTCTCTCTCTCACTTTCTCTCTCTCTCTCTCTCTCTCTCTTTCTATTTGTTTCTTTTCCTCTGTCTGTTTCTTTCTTGCACTTGATCTCTTTTATTTTCTCTTTATCTCATTAATTTGTTATTCAATTGATTATTTATTTATTTATTAATTACTAACGATAATTATTAATAAATACGAAGAGTAATTGTCTTCTTTCATGATTTTAACTTGGCTGGCTGCATTCGTTCACAAGATCCAGATAAGAAACTTGGAGATAGTCGACGGGGAGAGGGTGAACTTGAAAGAGAGATTGAGAGAAAGTGAGAGTATGATTAAAGACTTGAATCAACAAATTGATAATATGAAGGTTGGTTCGTTCAGTCATTTATTAGTTCCTCCATTCGTCCATTTATTTCTTCGTTCATTAGTTTCTTCCTATCCATTCATCATTCATTCATCCATCCATTCATTCATTCATTCATTCATTCATTCATTCATTCATTCATTCATTCATTCATTCATTTATTCATTCATTCATTTATAGGCCGAAATGAATTTAGCTGAAGAAGATAATGCTAAACAAAAGCAGCTCCAGAGGATTGAGCATCAGAGAATAGTGGATGAACTGAATGAAAACATAAAAGAATTAAAAGAGGTGACGATGACGATGACGACGACGATGACGATTATGGTGATGATGATATTATTACTATTATTGTTATTATTATTTCAGTTACATGATAAAGAGCTCAAGTTGAAAGATAATGAAACAACGAAAATGTTTGACCAGATAGCTGAATATGAAAGCGTAAGTTCTTCTTCTTCTTCTTCTTCTTTTTTAATTATTTATAGTTATTATTGTTATATTATTATTATTATATTTATTTATTATAGGTAATAAAGGAACACACAGAGGACAGAAGGCTGCACGAAAGGAAAGGCAACACTGTGGTTGGTTTCCTCCCACGTTGAAAATAATTATTAATATATTTCCTATCATTATTATTACCATAATTATTATTTATTATTATTATTTATTATTATT